AGGATTACATATGTGAAGGATGAAAGCCCTAGCTCTAACCGTTCAAATGTTATGGCCAAGGTTAAAGTTTTTAAAAAGTAGGTCAAACTCCAAGGTCAAAAGGTCAAAGTTGTTGGTATCCAAAGGAAGGCCTTGTCACAAAGAATACACGTGTGAAGTTTGAAACCCTAAGCACCAACTGTTCAGAAGTTATGGCCAAGGTTAAAGTCTCATAAAATTTTGCAAAAGTGGGTCAAACTCCAAGGTCAAGGTCAAACGGTCAAATATGATGGTACCCAAAGAAAGGTCTTGTCACAGGGAATACACATGTGAAATATGAAAATCATAGCTCCAACCAATCAAAAGTTATGGGCAAGGTTAAAGTTGACAACAGACAGACAGACAAACAGATAAACAGACAAACAGATAAACAGACAAACAGACAGACAGGACAAAAACAATATACCCCCGGGATCTTTCGATCCAGGGGCATAAAAATTTGGTGTGGCATTCCTTCTTAAATTCTTCCTTCAGACTTAGAATTAAATGCTTACTTCAAGTGTTTTACAATTTATAAACTTTATCTCTATAATGTTATGTACAGTAAATGTAGATTGAGGAGGGTTCCTATGCGCGACAGAGGCAACTTTGGAGCAATTTTTTAAGCCCACAATTCGCTTGACTTTTTTTTTGGATTGATTGAATGGCTCTATTACTTAAGTGAATGATTTTAATTTTCCCAGAAGCTTTGCTAGGATCTGTAATAAGGTGAACACTTACTCAAATTACGTTGATAGCCAAACGGTTAATCATTTAACACTGTACATTCAAAACCGTTTAGTAGAGATCAATGGTTAGCAGAGTAGAACCATACAACAAGTAAAGATTATACATAGTTTTATTAAGAGTACGTATTTGAACAAACACCAAACGAACCTTTATATGCAATAAGAAAATATGAAATGCCGGGTAATGCGTAGAAAACGAGTGAGTCATGATGCAAGTGCATTTTGGTTAACATTGAAAGCAACGACATGATGTCTGAACAAGATAAAAATTATGAAAATATAGTAAACTGAACGCATACAAGGGAAAAGGATAGTGAATGTCAAACCCTTATTACATACTAGATCAAATAAAGGATATTTATAGACCTCCTCTCTGCATGTGGATAATTTAGGGCATTAGCCGCACATCTATTTTTCATAACGGTACAACAAATAATATCCAACTTAGATTTCAAGCTGACGTATGTTCCTTGCATGTTAGTGAGCATATAAATATTGTTTCCAAGCATATAAAATTAAATGCGCAAACATATAACGCAATGAACAAATTGTGAACAGGGAAGCAGTATTTTCTGTTGTTTGAAGTTATCGCCCTTATAATTTTAAATTACATTCATTTTTTTGCAAAAATAAACAAATTTGCCAAATCCAATTTAAAGTAAAAAGATCAAGAATAAACATTTTATAATTCTTTTATAATAACTGTAAGAATTTTGTCTTTTTTTCTAGAATAAGTATTTTTTCATCAATTTTATTGTAAATAACTTTGAAACATTTATGTATTATGCATATATTTAGTTTTTTTCACACGGCGTATTAATAAATGAGTCAGACAGTCAAAAAAGAAATAAAGAGAGGTAGAAAGTGGAGAGAGAGAGAGAATGTGTGTGTGTCTGTGTAGAGAGATAGAGAGAGGGGAGGGAGTGGAGAGGGAGTGGGGAGGGAGTGGAGGGAGAGTGGGGAGGGAGTGGAGAGAGAGAGTGGGGGAGAGAAAGAGTGGGGAGGTAGAGGGGAGGGAGAGGAGAGAGAGGGGGAGGGAGTGGGGAGGTAGAGTGGAGAGAGAGGGGGAGGGAGTGGAGAGAGAGAGTGGGGGAGAGAAACAGTGAGGAGGGGAGGGAGTGGAGAGAGAGGGGGAGAGAAAGAGTGGGGAGGTAGAGGGGAGGGAGTGGAGAGAGAGAGGGGAGGGAGTGGGGAGAGAGGGGGAGAGAAAGAGTGGGGAGAGTGCGGGGAGAAAAAGTAAGGGGAGAGAAAGGATGGGGGAGAGAGAGAGAGAGGGTGTGGGAAGAGGGATAGTTGATGATATTACTGTGTATAGATTTGTGTAAAACACCTCTCTTTTTTTTAATGTAAAAAACCTCATTATGTGAAGGCTTTCTTGACACTAGTAAACAACAAAAGACACATGTAAAAATTTTGAGCTAATCACGTTTTGTGCCCCTGATATCGAAGATCACAGGCATATTGATTCAGTCTTGTGTGATATTTTTAACATTTATTTATTTCACATATTTAATCTTCCCTATATTTTTATGAGAAGAAGTTTGAGACTTCATTCATAGAAATCGAAAGATACTAGTAATTATGAGATCAAATTTCCTTAACAATCGCCCTTTTTAAAACAAATTTAATTGGGAAGAGTTTTAAAACGTTAATCTTTCTTATAGCTTATGAAGAAGAAAGAAGACTTTATTTTGATTTTTTGCACGTTTAGATAATTAAAACTGTGGAAACTGAAAATTTTTAAGGTATTATTACTAAGGTATTCCATCCCTAATAGCAAAAAATTCAATGAAATTGAATACATATCAGATGTGTAGATGTTGAATACTCAGTATATTATACATAATTCCCATTTATTATTATAAGAATGGAAGGATGGCATGTGTCCTAATTTTTTTATCATGAATTTTGGTAAGAGTTATCTATAAAAAAATAATCTTAAAAACTTATCTGGTAAAAAACCGTTTTCAATTGTCATTCTATTTCTAATGTTTAATGCATCTTTCTACCACAATATTTATTGATGTTATTATTCGAATTTTTAAAAAAAATTCTTGTATTTAAACATATTTTATTGAAACATAATCAATAGGATTGGACACAAGTTTTACCAACTTAGAATTGTCCTCTCCAACATAAACAAAATGGCATATACATAAATTCTTGTCCCCATAGACTTCAAAACAATTTTTGTTAATTAATTGCTGCTTAGTAAATTACATTTTTGAAACTTTCTCTTGGTAAATCCTTTTGTACTATAAAATGCTTTAATTTAATATCAAAGTATTATGTACATGATGAACATTTAAGGATAGAGAATTTGGTCCTATTAGAAATGGAACCCTTAAATGTGATAAAACAAATCAAAGAAAACGCGTATTCTTAGTCTAATAGTCAAAGAACATCATTATAGCCTTGTTATGTTTTCTTTTAATTGGGATAAACCACCTTGTATTATTTATGTAAAGTATGGTAATACCTTTTAATTTTGTTATTTAAACTTTAAAGCTTTAAGAAATGAAGACTTCATATCCTAAGACTTAGTGATTTTAATTACCCCTATGTATTTGCCTAACAAAAAATTTCTTTACAAAACCATATTTTATCAAAAAAATAACAGAGGGTCATTATTCTACGGTGTCATTTTTCTACAATCCACACGGAGAAAAATGACCCAAAGGCCATAATTTTTACGAAAACGTGGGTCACTTTTCTACGTAGAATATTGACCAGGGGGGGGGGGGGTCAAATTTCTACATAGAAAAATGATCCCCGGTCAATATTCTACGGGGGTCACTTTTCGTCGTTACACCGGTAAAGGTTTACATTAAAGCTGAACACGATTCGTGAAAGGAATGTGTCCGCCATATTCGATTGGTCTCTCGCTATATCTGAGGGCCCCTGTATAAAGCCGCTCATTTAGTCAATGTTTAGTGTAATCACTGGTGCAGACGGACGTATGCTATACAGCACTCGGTACAAAAAATAACTGTGTACTTCTTCTAATGCAGCAGAGTAAGATACCAAAGAAAATTACAGCAGTTACACAGGTCAGTGCAGTATACAAACAAACACACATACACGTTACTGCAATAAAATGTAAACAACGGTAATACAAGATGACCAGCAGAAACACGGGTCGCCATTCCACACCGATACCCGTGACAATAGTCAGGTGTAACGAATGCGAAGAGTATACCCCGGTGCTGATATCGTAGATAGTAATATCGAAAATGACGTATGCCTATATTTACGACTCGTGTTCAGCTTTAAGGAAACCAGTACAAGATACATTTGTAAATAAAATAAAATAAACAGAGGATATTCAATGTTTTGTAGATGAATATGAAATTTATTTCACGAGTGGGACAGGATTTTTTTTTTATATTTTCACGAGTGCGAAGCACGAGTGAAAATATCAAAAAATCCTGTCTCACGAGTGAAATAAATTCCATATTCATCTACAAAACATTGAATTTTCTGTTTATTACATTTTCTTTGATTTTCGTTTGCCTCTGTCTTTTCTTAACACATTGTCATAGCTAGGCTTGACGTCATATTTGAGCGGATGAGACGTCATAGCTTAGCAGTTGTGAGATTGAAAACATTACCTAGCATGGATTTTAGCAACATATTTGGGAAGAAATTTGCAGTTTTAGCTCTATGAAGATGTTTAATTACTATCTCTATCTTATGACAGGCCAGAAATTATTTTTTACTTACTTTGATATCCTTTCACACTGTGAGAGAATATCATTTTGGTATCCTTTCACACTGTGAGAGAATATCACTTTTATTCAATAAATAAATCACAGTATTTCACTGTTGAAAATGTAATAAAAGGTATAACAAAACATTAAATTGACTGTGTTCTTGGGAAAAATGCGTATTGTCGACCCTCAAACCAAACCTTCATTCTAACGGCCCCAGGCAAACAGTTTGGTTCTTGGGTCCAACAAAACGTATGTTACCCTCAAACCCAGTCAATAAATGTCAATAAATCCTATTCTATTCGATTCTATTCTATTCTATTCTATGTATATTGTTATACTTTTGAAAAAACATGCAGTCAGCGTTGTGGCCCATGTGCCTCTTGTTAAATGTTATAATTATGGGGGGATGTATTTATTATTAAGTTGAAATATCCAATTTTTTTTTTAAATTTCATTTTTTTTCATCAGATTCAGAAGGAGTTGGACATATATATATGACCTATGACAACACATCGGAATGTGTTGTGGTACGATTGAAACTTCACCTGTCGATTTGTCACAGCTGCAACAAACAAAAAAAATGTGATCTTTGTACTCAGAACCTCAAATCAGCCTTGGCCACGTGTAAAAATACTCACTGTAGCCTTTATAATTAGAATAAACACGTTGGCGCTATTTCGACATCTCTCAATTTAGTATTTTCATTTGATTCCTGAGGTATTGGAACTGTCTATTACAGAGGAAGGTCGGACTAAAACATTTTCTTACAGAAACGTGAGTATTTGATGCATTTTTCTTATTTCCCATGTGATGACAATTGATATTAATACTGTGGCTACTTGAAAAAAAACTATCTTGTGTCTACCTGTTTTACTCTAGATCGTTAAAATAGCGCTTTTATAGCATTTTCCTCTTTGACTTAACGTTTTTACTGATTACGACACGCCCCCTTTAAAAAAAATGATTTAATATTATAATCAAGAATGCATCTTGATTGTTAGGAATCCAGACTTTGACATTTTGTAGTTTTATTTTAAATATTTTAAAAAAAAAATATTTATTGGTCTAGTTGATGTGTGTACTTCAAGCTAAATACATGTGGCCAGATCTTGGACCAGACTGCTGCAAAGGAAAATTCAACTTTAATAATGTTTATCACTTTAATAAAAAAAAAATGTATTACTTAATACTATTAAGTAAATCAGGGATGGACATAAACTTTCAGATCCATTTGCGCTTTGAATAGGCAAGTAAACTCGAACTTTGACTTGTCCAAATGTTAAACTTAGTTGGCCAATTTTAGAAGAACAAAAATAACTCGTAACTCCATTCCTTCTTTTTTTCAATAATTCAAGATGCAGGGTTGGGACACTGAAGGATGATGAAAATATGCTATTATAAAATAACAACTCATATTAAAGAAAAAAGTTGAGTCCATTTGTTCATTTTCAGTTTGTATCCCCCAAAATACAGTTACTATGAAGCATATCATGATCAAAATAAGTCATATGCAACATATTTAGTCTAAATTCTTCTGAAAGCAATCAAATAAATTACATCATAAATTTTATTTTGTAATAAGAATGTAAGAAAATAGTCAGATTGAAAGTGTTTTCCAGTATTCCTATTTTAACCAACATTGAATTCAATTTCATACAGGAAACAGAATAAAGAATATTATTGTTGAATGAATGTTGATACAAAAAAATTTGCTTTGTGATGAAAATCAAGTGAATATTCAATTCATTATGATTATATTTATGAAATGTTTCAATAAAATAGTCACTTGCCCAACTGAATAAGTAAACTGAAAGTTTCACTTGTCACAGGCAATCAGGCAAGTGGTCATGTCTATCCCTGTGAATGTCAATCTTATGCTAATTTTTTTTAAAAATGTCATTAGCAGGTAAAAAATACAATGTAGAAGCTTAAAAATGATTGCTAATCAATACTTGAGCATTTACGCAAAGGTACATGTAGCATGGTTTGAGATCTATAGTATACTTGTATTTTGCCATTGATTACGCAGTGAACAGATGTGAACGTAATGGATTTAAAAGAAAACCAGTTCTGTAAAGAAAAAAATTACAGGTCAATATATCAGAATTGTAAGGTGTAGCAGGTGCAATGGATTAATTCACTGACATACATTCTCCCTGATAAATTATTATTGACAATATACATGACATTCGAAATATTATGTCAAAAACAACAAGGGTAAGTCAATAGTCAGAGGACCATAACAATTAATTTTTAGTACTCTAGTAAAATCTGTTCTTAAGATACTTGTATGTAATTTGGTGTATATAAGCTTTTCTTTCGTAGAGCCTATTTTATTCTTTAAAACACACAATGAATGTTGTCAATTAAATGTTCTTTTCTTACATGTTATACAGGAGCGATGGATATGAGATTTGTGTTAATTGGTGTTTTACTGTACGTGGTACAGACCGTGCTGTGTGTTAAGGAGGAAGCAGCACATGGAGCCCATGGCAAAGATCACAACCCGATCCATAAAGAGCACTACCATGATGGAGAGCATGACCCTCACTATGATCACGAAGCCATTCTGGGTAAATAATTAAAGTAGTATGGTGCTACTGGAGCATCTGACCCTTTCTCTCCTTTAATAAAACAGATAGGACATCTGGTCTATCTTATCTATACTTAACAAACACAATTACAGTATTTTCCTATTTAGTTGATTTTTAACTAAACAACAAAACCTGAGGAACATTGGAAATTTACACCATGTTTTCCTACAGCTTAAAAGTATCTTGTTCACACATGTGTTCTTAGTCTGTTACTATGGATCTATTTTTGCAGGTGACAGACAGCTGGAAAAGGAATTTGACGAGTTGGAGCCTGAGGAAGCCAAGCGAAGACTTGGATTACTGGCTAAGGAAATGGATAAAAATAAAGATGGATATGTGTCCAAGGAAGAACTTGTTGACTGGATTATGAACTCCTTCCGGTACTTTTAAAACTGCTTAAATTTAAGACTTGAAATAAGAGAAAAAAAGTTCATTTTTGAAAGTGCCTATGCACTTTGAATGTTGAGTGAGAATATCAGATGTCATGTAATTAAATAAGATGACTGTGAATGTTGAATTAGAATTTCAGATGTCATATGAATAAGATAAATGTTAAATTTTCTAGTGAATCCCCACTTATAATCTTTTTCTTTTGAAGTAATGTGTAAATAATTTTGAACTGGCCAAGAAACAAAGTACCTATGATCTATTGGTGATATATTCAAAGTCACACTGTCTTCTTTAGCATAGCACAAAGTTGAACAATGGGATAAAGCAAGATGACCTTTAAAAAGTATTTTTGTAGCATTTTGCTGTAGATACATTACTTAATGCTTTTTAAAAAATTTTTGATTGTTTCAGTAAATTGGACATGGAAGATTCGTTAGAACAGTTTGAGGAATGCGACGAAAACAGTGACAACAAAGTCACCTGGAGAGAGTACCTCACACGACACCATGGCTTCAACATCAATGATTACAAAGACGAATATGCCACTGAAAAGGAAGCCGTGGAGGAATTCACAAAGGTCAGGAAAACAATAATTACTTCTAGAATTAATTTACATTATTTACAATTGATAAGTCAAACTCTGTGTAAATTGTTCAACATTTTTTTTTTTAAATTCATTTTGAAATGCATGTTGATCATAAAAACTTCTGATTCAGTGGTAGATAATGTGATAATACTTAAACGAATTTAAACGATGGTAAAGAATTTCTGGAAATTCTGAATACTGGAAAAATAACAATTTTTCTTATTCTACGTGGCTCAGAAAACTAAGGTAAATTCTTCATATGATTTTTTTCCATAAAAATTGGTTTATATATAGGTTTATATATTTAAATAGGGTGAAGGATGTTTTATTTTTTTATTTTAGAATTTTTTTTTTCATCTTTTTTAGGTGGCAGGTTTACAAATTTTTTATTTTCAAATAGAATGTTTTTTCTCTTTTTTAGGTCACCTGAGTCACTCAGGTGACCTATTGCTATCTGTTTTCGTCCGTCGTGCGTTGTGTGTTAACATTTGAACATTTTCAGCTTCTTCTCTGAAACCACTGAACCAATTTCAGCCAATTTTAGCATATGGCATCTATGTCTGAAGGGGAACAAAATTTGTGAATTTCATGGTCCCTGCCCCCCTGGGGCCTGAGGGTGGGGCTAAAACCACCAAAATTAATGCAATCTTTAAAAATCTTCTTCTTTACCCCTGGACATCAAGCAGTCAAACTGTTGACATGATTGTAATAAGCATTGAGCCCTCTACCAAAATTGTGAAATTCATGGCCCCAGGGTCAGGGGTTCTGGTGCTAAGGCGGGGCTATATAGATCATATAGTGAAAGTGCATTATTTCTTTGAAAATCTTCTTCTCTACTCGTGGGTATTATTTAAACAAATTAAATACATAGTTATGATAAGCAAGAGTGACTCTACTGAAAATTTGAAATTCATAGCCCCAGGGTCAGGGGTTCTGGTGGGGGGAGGGGGGGCTACATAGATCATATAGTGAAAGTGCATTATTTCTTTGAAAATCTTCTTCTCTACTCCTGGGTATTATTTAAATAAACTAAGTACATTGTTATGATAAGCAAGAGTGACTCTACCAAAATAGGATCAGGGGTTCTGATGTTAGGGTGGGGCTCTATTTTTTATATAGTGAAAATGCATCAATGCTTTAAAAATCTTCTTCTCTGCTCCTGGGTATTATTTAAACAAAGAAAGTACATTGTTATGATAAGCAAGGATGCCTCTTCCAAAATTGTGAAATTCATGGCCCCAGGGACAGGGTTTCTGGTGCTAGGGTGGGGCTATATAGCTCCTATAGTGAAGGTGAATTATTTCTTTGAAAATCTTCTTCTCTGCCCCTGGGTACTATTTAAACAAACTAAGTACATTGTTATGATATGCAAGGATGCCTCTTCCAAAATTGTGAATTTCATGGCCCCAGGGTCAAGGGTTCTGGTGAAAAGGTGGGGGGGGGGGGGCTCTATTGATTATATAGTGAAAAAGCAAATTTTTTTTGAAAATATTCTTTTCTGCTTCTGGTTAAAAAGCAAAGAAGCTAAGTATATAGTTATGATGAGCAAGAGTGCTTCTTCCAGAGTAGTGAATTGAATGACCCCTGGGTCTGATGTGCTGGTGTAAGGGTGGGGCTCTTGATAATATAGTGAAAATGCATTAATTCTATTAAATAATCCTGCCTGCTCCTTAGTGTTAAGCAGATAAACAAAGTGATTACTTATGATGAGCAAACTTCTGGTCCCAGGGTGAGAGGCTCTGGTGTTTCTCGGTGGGGATGGGGGGCTCTATTGATAATATAGTGAATCTGTAGTAAAAATACATTATTTCTTTAAAAATCTTCTCTGCACTTGGGCATATCAGAGGCAAAAAGAGTAAAGGTTTTAATAAGGAAGGGTATTTTTACCAGATTTTTGAACATCTGGACCATTTGGTCAAGTTTTCTGGTCCTGGCCAGGGGGCTCTATTAATTTTTATTCTACTGAGAGGAGTTATTCCCCTTTGCCATTTACTTTTGATAATTAATCACTGTAAATAATGTACTTGAAAGGTTAATAGAATTAGAGAATTATGCAAAAATTTTTATTGTATAATACAAAAGTACTTTCATAGTTTCAATGATCAGATGGACTTGTAAGTACTGTATGTGTACTTAAAAAAGTGGGCTTCATATTTTAGCGCCTTTGGCGCAAACAAAAATGTGCTAATTCATGAATACCACTAAGAAATCATTTTTAAATACCATATATGGCACGGATGTATATAGCGCTAATTCATGATTACGCCAACAACTGCATACCCAGAGACTGCGCTAAATTTTGAATACACCAAATTATATAAACGTACAGTAATAGATAAATAAAAATGAGACAAAAATAACTTGTCTTATTAAATGTTCATCAAAGACCAAGAGAGGCTAATGTAAGAGATTTCAACAAGGAATTAAAATAGTACAGAAGCACTGATAGTTTGTTAATATACTGTATGGTGATAGTGATAAATGGGGAACAGATTAGAACCTAATTTATTAACTGTTAATGAATACTACACTAATTATTTTGTTGATCCTGATCTCCCTATTTTTCTTGCTTTTGGGCAACAAAGCTTCACCATTCATTTCATTTAATACTCTATGGATCCTCTAAATTGTTGTATTATACTCAGGTGACCATTAAAGCACTTGGGCCTCTTGTTTAGGTGGTACGGTGTAGGTTTACAGAATTTTTTTATTTTTAATTAGAAAAAGAGGTGTAACACCTCAAAAGTTAATTAGCAATGATTTAGTAGTCATGATACACATCCATGTCATTTTACCTCACACAAAATAATTTATATATCAAGCTTTGTGTTTGAGCACCATGTTCAAAAAAATTAAAATATTCAGAGTTGGAAAAATTCAAACTAGATAACTGCTCCCATTTTCTGTGTAGGACTTTGAATGTAATACATGTATAACAAAATTAGATTCAAAACAATTTAAATGATCAATTTTACTTTAAAGGAGTATAGTTTTATGACAAAACAATTTTATCTTTCCAGAGCTCCAGTTATTTAAGGAATGGTTTAGCACAAACAAGAACTGATTAGCTCCGGTTAAAATGCCTGTCTCACTGACAAATTTACTTGTTTGGTTTCATATCTATCTGAAAATCACCAATGCATTTTAAGTCTCTCTTTTAAAGTCTAGAATAATTTTTGATTGCATTTTTTTAAGGACCCTCTCTACACTGCACCCTAATTTCAGGGTACTTTTGTGTAGTTAGACTGACCCGCCACTTGACATAAAATAGAATACGTTGTAATCTGCACTGTATGACATAATTTAAAATAAATTCAAGTGTTCTAAACATTATATTAGACCAAGATAGATTAGTTGAAGACATTATTTGCATGTATTTTCTCCATCTGAGTAAGGAAAAGCGATTTTTTTTAATCACTACTTCATTGTCTTTGAAGATTTTTCCTGGATAAAAAAGGCAGGCTCCCTATATTAAAAATGAATTAGTTTATTTCAAAATATCCTTCTTTACGTTATATAATTTCTTTAAAGTCCAAAAAACATTTTTCATCGGTGTATAGAGGGTCCTTAAGTAAAGGGCACAATTTCATAACATCTCAAACTAGTCTGTTTGGTACTAGACCCAAGTCCATTAAAAATGTTTTGCTGTCACAGGTTCTTGATGACGATAAAAAGAAATTTGATGCTGCTGATGTAGATAAAGATGGAGCCCTGACTAAAAAGGAACATGTGGCTTTCCTGTATCCTGCAGACTTTCCTCACATGCATGATATAGAACTGGAGAGAACACTTCAGGAACACGACAAAAATGGGGATGGTACCATTACAAAAGAGGAATTCCTTGCAGACAGTGGGTGTCATTTTTACATGCATTACCAAAAACACTATGTCGGGAAGATTTTACATTTATCATGTTTCTTTTTCTTTCAGTATCCTTCAATTTTAAATTACTGGTAATTAAATTCACTACATGTAGTAAAATCTTGTCCAGTACATAAATGTTATAAAATAAAATCAAATTTATTCTGTAACTCTTAATGATAGGGCTAGGTGTACTGTATCTAGTAGATTTCTTCGGAAAATTATTAGCATCATATCTAATATCATTATATTTCCTGTTTATGCTTACAATTTACAGCTGATAAAAATGACAAGGAGCTTTTATTACTGGAAGAGGAAAGGTTTGGTGATTTTGATAAAAACAAAGATGGAGTCCTTGATAAAAAAGAGATCACAGATTGGGTGCTTCCTGACAATAACGAGGCAGCAGTCGAAGAGGCAGAGCACTTAATCGAGCGGTCGGACAAGGATAAGGACGGCAAACTGTCCATAGAGGAAATCGTCAACAATCACGAGGACTTTGTCGGAAGTCAGGCAACCAATTATGGAGAATTTCTTCCCAAGGATGAACTTTAATGATAAAATTCGGCTAAGATTATTTTTATTGATTATTTTTTACATGCTTGTTAGTATTTTTCTAGGTGAACAGTTTTTATGATACAAAGATCATTTATAATATTTACACATGGATGTAGTTTTACACAGTTCTCTAAGTTATTTTTATTAGATCATGTTTTTTTTTTTTTTTTTTTTCATACAAACATTACTCTGCCTAGTCATATTGTTTCACAGAAATAAATAAAGCAAATAATTAGGTTTAGGATTTTTTTTTATTTTCATAAAATCATTCCATGTTATGTGAAGTATATTTTTACAGATGTGTGATTGTGACATTAAATATTATTTGTAAGCTCATACAAGGTGGATATGTACTGTATGTTTTATGTACAAATAAAATTCTGTTTTAAACCTTATACATGCAGTCTTGACCAGTAACTATATTTTGTGTTCATACATATACAATCTTGACCAATAAATATTTTCTCTGTTCTTTTGCACTTTACTTACTTCATACTTTGTTAAAGCAATTTTTATTTAAAAATGAGATAAATGTAGAACAAAATTTTATCCTTCAGCTGTAAGCATATTACATGCATCTTAAATGTCTACAGTTATTAAAACCCTTAATTTTTCCCAACAGAATACAGATAATATAATATGCTTTGCTTTGAATGTGTTATGACAATGTGTTCAGCAATACAGTGTAAATTATGTTCTTGAAAGCTTCCATGAACAATATGTATTTAAAAATTCAATTTAAATTAAATGTATTACTCTAAGTATCACAGTTGTAGTTCTTAGTTCTCTGATTCTATATCATCTATACACTGACGGCAAGAAAAGATTCCTGTAAAAGTGTGTTCCCGTGAGTACGATAAATGAAACAGAGTAAAATGATGGAACATCTTGCCATGGAATATTATGTATTGTTACACCTGTAGATTGGAAGGGAAAGTTCAATGTAGACGTTATCATCAAGAACTTAGTTTTTGGTTATTTATGACAACTCTCCTTCTAATGATGTATATCACACAAAAGAAAAGAACCCCATCAGGCCTCATGATCATGGGGAAAAATTTCAGTTAAAATCAAGGTCTTGTGTTCTTTTCACCTCCTTTAATTCAGGCTTTGCAAGACTTCAGCACATCCTGTTGAATAAAAAAGTTGATACAATGAAGAAAAATTGCGCAACTTAATAAAGTATACAGTAGCATTTGATGTTCAAGTGTACTCACAACAATGACAGATATTTGTATGCAAGTACAGTCGAACTTCATTATCTTGAACACTGATATCTTGAATATATCATTATGGATATGTCGAAGTGATTTTAAAGTCCCGGTCACTTTTTCTTTATGTATTTAACCTTGATATCTCAAATCTTCATATATCTTGAGAATTTTTCTAAGGCCCATAAAGTTTGAGATATCAAGGTTTAACTGTACATGTAGAATTATTGACTACCGGTACTCAGAATAATTGAATGAAAAGAGAATGAGAGACAATATTTATATTTCAGTAATAAATTCAACATAGCTGTAACTTCAAAGCTGAGACAAGCCTTTAACTGGGTTATTTAATGGTAAAGAGTTTTTGAGACTAAAACTGGTGTGCTCTTTTCTGATTAGGCTCATGCAAACTTTTATGAGGTCAATCAGAAAGTGCATTTCCAAGCCTATCAAATTCTGTCTATACATTCAAGGGTTTTTGTGGAGTGGAGTTGCTCAGAAACTCTTGACTTGGGAAAAATACTAACCATGGCAACACCATTCATCGAAAACAAAAAGGAATAAATAGAGTTATGTATTTTAGTGTAGTCTATTTGTATACCAAGTCATAATGAAATCAGACCAAAACACTAAAAGTAGTGTTTGAGAGAATCTCACAGAATTTTTAGTAACTTTGGCAACACTGTTCATTAAAATCAAAAACCAATAAACAGAATTAAATATCTTAGTGTTGTCTACCTGTGTGCCAAGTTATATTGAAATGATATCAAAACTTTTGGAGTATTAGTGTTTTGAAAGAATTTCACAGAAATTTCCATTTTAAGTAACCATGGCAACACTGTTTATCAAAATAAAAAAAACCCTGCTCATCCCTAAAATGGCCAATTAACATCCCTACTTCTTTAATTGTTTTCAAACACATCATGCATAAGGCCAAACAAAAAAGTATGTGTGGTTCCGGTTACACCTCCAAAAAAATTAGGGTAGGTAGGTAGGGTCTTCTTTTTTTTTTTAACAAAATGATTTTCTTAATTTTTCTAAATAATACCTATCACTACTTTGCAAGTGGCATTTAGATGTGGTGTGATAATATACTAGTCAATATTGGTAGGGGACACCTACATGCTAGCTTGCTTTGGATTTAACACTATTAAACACTTGCACTGTGTTTTGCAAGGAGGCCGTCATTGCTGAAACTAAAACTTAAACCGGAGCCATTGATAGAAATCTGGGAAAATTTGGGAAAAAATATGAAAATTGCCAAAAAAAGTTTAGGGTCGGGGGTATAAAATAGGGACGGTCGGGTAACCGGAACCACACATATTTTTTTATTTGGCCTAAGGTGAATTGTTGAATGAAGAAAAAAAAAAAAAAATGTTCCTTAATTTACAGTATTAAAATTTACAATAATTAAAAAAATGAAGTCTTTGATAAATATTATGAAATAAAATTAATTGAAATAAAAATAGTTTATTACATCTATTAACAAATAGGAAATGGTTAAAATTCAACAGAAATATTAAAGAAATATTTAAAAAAGGGCCAACTGGATGTAGGGTGAACAGGGTACAGGGTGAACAAAAATTATGGCGAACAGACTCATGCGAACACGTAGATAAGATGATCACAGACCAGATACCAAACACCAACCAGACTCTCGTGGGCAGTTCTTTCACCTGTCACTTCCAGGGAATGGCACAGAAAGGGAGGGAAATGCAATGGACCAGACCAGGATACAAACATCCCCCCCAATCTGTAGTCAAGTGCTCGTTCAACTGAGCTATCTGGCCATCAGCAATAGAACCTGTCTGACCACTATACAAGAAATGACCTTGACCATGAATATATGACCTTTAGTGCATATCTAGGTTTAGTTGATCTGACCTCATACAAAAAGACAAAAGACATATACTGTGGTGTATCACAAATTTATAAACTGCAAGACTTACATCTGCCACTTTTCTGATATGGTAGCTGTTCACACAATTGTCTTTTTCTTCTTTGGCCTGTAGCTGTGCTGCTGTTGATAACTTCTGCATCATGGATATATATCCCAGCCAGATCTATATATAAAGCATAAACTTTCAAGTTCTGTTATGTGTAATTATCACTGAAGAGCAATTTCGACATAAACATTCTCAATCTGTCAAGATTTGATCATATACGCTGTATGTTTAATACCTATACTATTATTAAAACGTCCTACATGTACCAATGAAATGTAAACATAGTTAATGTGTTTGTTATGTCTTATATAAAGTTATATTAGAAAAATCCCTACGCTTTTTTGTTTTAAGTCTTACCAAAACATCAACTTTAGCTGGTTTAACATATGCTCTTTTTGTTTTCTTCTTTAAGGATACCTTTAATTTGTTTTTAGGACACTTCGGTAACATTTTTGTTTTGAATAACCCGGTAAGCGGTAGAGAGGATCCGCTAGGCCGCCCTACGTCATCCCTCATGAATATTCAATATTTTACTTTCGATTTGAATTCCACGTGCACGAAAACAAGAAAAGCAAGCATGAATGATGGAAAGTAAGCACGGATGGGAAAATTTATGGACTTCTGTCACACAAGATGGGTATTGTGGATATGTGAACTCCTTAGCTGAAGCAGAACAAGTTCGGAAGGAATTTGAGGTGGAGAAAAGTCTGACTTTCGTGTCAGGGAAACGGGAAGCTGATTTCGGCAATCACGGCCATGGTTAGTATTAGTAACTTTATGTTCATTCTCTTTTTATTTTAACTTGAGATTGATGATATCTGTCACCGCAATGAAAAATTAGTAAAGCTCTGTAAGTTTAGATTTTACCACTAAAAGCATATATATATACACACAGATTTGATTTCTGATTTCTCTGGACAAAGTTTCATGTACATTATGTCAATTTACACCCCCCCCCCCCCAACACACACACACACACACACTCATACACACAATCACACAAATACACACTAAATTTATTGAAAAATTATTGTCCAACAACTTATTAATAATTGTTATGTTATTGATTAAACACATAATCAATGATTCAAGTCAAAATTATTATTCTCATTTTGAGATTTTTAAAAAATTTTAGTGATTGGAATTGTCATCAATCAGTAATGTTTCACAAGAATAATGTGCTTATTTTGCTTAAGTCATACATGTATATCCAATCTAGTTGATTTATGGAAACCAATTTATGTCTTATTTTTAGCTTAAGTTACAATATTTTCATAAACATGTGTCACAAAAAACACATCATTGTAAATGATGGTAACATTTTTTTCAAATGTCTCGATTCTGCAGAAAATAATATATATTTATTGACTGTGTGGGTTCGAGGGCAACATGCATTTTGTCAGACCCAAGAACCAAACTAAACTTTTTAAAATTTATTTCAGATTATAATTTTACCTTCTAAAAAAATTTATACATACATTCATTTACAAATGATGTATAACTTTTGTCAAAAATATTTCAAAATTTATCTAATTAAATTCTATTTAATGGAAGTTATTGTGTTTTTAATTTCAGATCTACCAGATAAATTCCGTTTGAGATTCACTGATCTTGGCGAGCATGAAACAATTAAATACACTGGCATGCCATTTATCATTGTTTCCAAATATGAACGCCATTGTTTGTTTGGAAAAGATAAGAACAAGAAAAAGAAAGAAAGATATCAGAATTCAAGAAGCCAAGCCTTATCAGTAAGTAAATTAGAGTAAGAATCATTAAAACAAAAATAAAAAAACTCTTTCATACTATGGAAAACAATATAGTACAAAAGATTTAAAAATTGGGTACATTTAAAGCTTAGATTTAGTCAACGGGATCCTAGGTCACTCTACTGGATCCTCCCAGGTTAGAAGTACTATTCCTTAGTTCCTGACTTAGTGTAAGTACAATACATAGTCCCCAGTGTGAGTACAAACACAGGGGCGGTCTACTGGATCCTAGGTCACTCTACTGGATCCTCCCTGGTTAGGAGTACTATTCTTTGGTTCCTGACTTAGTGTAAGTACAATACATAGTCCCCAGTGTGAGTACTAACACAGGGGCAGTCTACTAGATCCTAGGTCACTCAACTGGATCCTCCCTGGTTAGGAGTACTATTCCTTAGTTCCTGACTTAGTGTAAGTACAATACATAGTCTCCAGTGTGAGTACTAACACAGGGGCGGTCTACTGGATCCTAGATCACTCTACTGGATCCTCCCAGGTTAGGAGTACTATTCCTTAGTTCCTGACTTAGTGTAAGTACAATACATAGTCCCCAGTGTGAGTACAAACACAGGGGCGGTCTACTGGATCCTAGGTCACTCTACTGGATCCTCCCTGGTTAGGAGTACTATTCTTTGGTTCCTTACTTAGTGTAAGTACAATACATAGTCCCCAGTGTGAGTACTAACACAGGGGCAGTCTACTAGATCCTAGGTCACTCAACTGGATCCTCCCTGGTTAGGAGTACTATTCCTTAGTTCCTGACTTAGTGTAAGTACAATACATAGTCTCCAGTGTGAGTACTAACACAGGGGCGGTCTACTGGATCCTAGGTCACTCTACTGGATCCTCCCAGGTTAGGAGTACTATTCCTTAGTTCCTGACTTAGTGTAAGTACAATACATAGTCCCCAGTGTGAGTACTAACACAGGGGCAGTCTACTAGATCCTAGGTTACTCTACTGGATCCTCCCTGGTTAGGAGTACTATTCCTTGGTTCCTGAATTAGTGTAAGTACAATACATAGTCCCCAGTGTGAGTACTAACACAGGGGCGGTCTACTAGATCCTAGGTTACTCTACTGGATCCTCCCTGGTTAGGAGTACTATTCCTTAGTTCCTGACTTAGTGTAAGTACAATACATAGTCCCCAGTGTGAGTACTAACACAGGGGTGGTCTACTGGATCCTAGGTCACTCTACTGGATCCTCCCAGGTTAGGAGTACTATTCCTTAGTTCCTGACTTAGTGTAAGTACAATACATAGTCCCCAGTGTGAGTACTAACACAGGGGCGGTCTACTGGATCCTAGGTCACTCTACTGGATTCTCCCAGGTTAGGAGTACTATTCTTTGGTTCCTGACTTAGTGTAAGTACAATACATAGTCCTCAGTGTGAGTACTAACACAGGGGCAGTCTGCTGGATCCTAGGTCACTCTACTGGATCCTCCCAGGTTAGGAGTACTATTCTTTGGTTCTTGACTTAGTGTAAGTACAATACATAGTCCCCAGTGTGAGTACTAACACAGGGGTGGTCTACTGGATCCTAGGTCACTCTACTGGATCCTCCCAGGTTAGGAGTACTATTCCTTAGTTCCTGACTTAGTGTAAGTACAATACATAGTCCCCAGTGTGAGTACTAACACAGGGGCGGTCTACTGGATCCTAGGTCACTCTACTGGATTCTCCCAGGTTAGGAGTACTATTCTTTGGTTCCTGACTTAGTGTAAGTACAATACATAGTCCCCAGTGTGAGTACTAACACAGGGGCAGTCTGCTGGATCCTAGGTCACTCTACTGGATCCTCCCAGGTTAGGAGTACTATTCCTTAGTTCCTGACTTAGTGTAAGTACAATACATAGTCCCCAGTGTGAGTACAAACACAGGGGCGGTCTACTGGATCCTAGGTCACTCTACTGGATTCTCCCAGGTTAGGAGTACTATTCTTTGGTTCCTGACTTAGTGTAAGTACAATACATAGTCCCCAGTGTGAGTACTAACACAGGGGCAGTCTGCTGGATCCTAGGTCACTCTACTGGATCCTCCCAGGTTAGGAGTACTATTCTTTGGTTCCTGACTTAGTGTAAGTATTATACATAGTCCCCAGTGTGAGTGCTAACACAGAGTCAGTCTACTGGATCCTAGGTCACTCTACTGCGTCTTAAATCTGTTAAGTTACTCATTTAAGAATAATACTTAAATTATATTTGTTTTGTTTTTTTAGGGTGATCATCCTTCATCTTTGAAAAGGAGGCAGTACATCCAATCAACAAAAAAGAAAGGCTGCCCAGCAAAAATAATAATGAAAGAAGTTCTTGTATTTCCAGAGTATAAGGTATACATCTGTATCAAAACAAATCTAAAATACTTTTTAATATATAAATACACATAAAATACCTAATTTGTGGGATACTTTGACTTTTTTTCCTTTCTTTTAAATATATATACACAAGTACTAAGTATTTTCAAATAGATAACAAAATTGCTCTTCTCTTTATTTCTTGGAGTACAGTTCCATAATGTATTTAAGGAATGAAATTAATAGCTACCCAATTTATACAGTATAAAGTGGGTTGGGGCAGTTTACGCTTCATAAACAGCGAAGTGGTTTTTAAAAACGTGTAAACTGTTCCAACCCACTTTATACCATATAAATTGGGTAGCTATTAATTTCATTCCTTATAATTTAATTTTCATTCATTTAGTGTAAGAAAAAAATGCTTGCCCTTAAAAAATGACTTCAAATCGTACAAAATTTAAATGTAACGTCAGGTGGATCAATACGTTTTTGAGGGCAAGTCATTGTGACCTAGGCAACCCAATTTATACAATATAAAGTAAACTTTTTATCCAATCAAATACTGCGTTCTAACCAGAATTAAATTATTCAAAATAAGAGCAAAAGATAGGTACATGTAGAATGAAAGATATACGAAAAATATATATATTTATTTTTTAATTTGCAGGCAAAACAAGATACAGAAAAGGCAAGAAGAATTGCAAGCGAAAAGCTAAGAGAAGATCTGGAAATTATGGGAAACAACATCAAGAAGGAACATAGAATATATATAAGTTTACCAAAGGATGGAGAGCACCAAGAAATGCATCTTCTTGGTCAGGTTCGTATAATTAATTTTTTTTGTGTGTTTGTTATATTTTTTGTGTACTTTGTGATATAAATCGAGTATTATTATTCGTAGATTACAGGTTTTATGAATCCATTGAACAAAGATGTCAGAGATAAGCTATATGAGATGGTGGGACATGGGGTTACAAGCGTATCAGAAATGCGGCGTCATTTAAAGGTGTATGTTGATACCCAGATATTCCCCAAAGCCAATAAACCTGCACTGACAGATGCGGCATATTACCCATCAGATGTCACAATAAGGAAGCACATATACTTAGCACAACTTCGTCTGAGGTATAAGTATGGTACTTTGTGGAAAACATATATTAGGATAGGAAAATTTATTTTTCTATTAGCTCTTGTAAAAAAAAGTTAGTTGCAATAGTCCTTCAAAGATGATCTTATTTTTTCACAGATATTCCAAAATAGACCAGGAAAACTTGATGAAATTGGTTATTCAATGGCAAGAAAGTTATCCAAAAGATAATTTTGATTTTTTGCCGGCGACGTCCAATCAAGATCAGCAACTGGATGAAAACAACATCAACAATGTTCAGTGTGTTGAGCAAGATGATGAGGATGAGGTCTTCTCACAGTTGATCACAACAACCAATTTCTTCTTCTGTCACCAATCAGAGTTCCAAAGACATTTGCTTTACAGGTATTGTACTTCATGTTTTAGATTGTCATGCATAATAATAGGTGAGTTCTTTTGAAATGTTAATAGGTCTTACATTACTGTCTTCATATGTTAAGTGATGCCTTTTTTGGTGAATTTTGATATTAAACAAATTGGTTTACAGTTTCATTTCGTTTTAAAGTAAGTTGTATCATTTTAAATTTTTATTATACCAAATTCTTAATACTGTACATCATACACAATAAGATAATTTATTACATTTATATTTCAGGTATGGTAATGCTCTCTGCTTATTGGATGCCACCTATAGAACCACGAAATATGCGTTGCCTCTTTTCTTTCTGGCCGTGAAGACAAATGTGGGTTTTAGTGTTGTGGCGGAGTTTGTTGTTCAGAATGAGACCAAGGACTTAATTGTACAGGGTCTCCAAACTATCAAAAACTGGGTAAATGCAGCTCAAGACAAACCAGAAGGCTGGGAATGGAAACCCAAATTTTTTATGACAGACTTCTGTGAGAGAGAAATTGTTGCCATAGAGGAGACATTCTCAGGTAGTTTAATTTAAGGGACAGATTAGTTGTAACATGCAAAGAATTGCAACAGTGTTGGAAATTATTTTGTTTTTTTGTTCTTTATTTATTAGCATTATTTTGCTATGAGTTCAAAAATATTTTCTTATTCTTTTTATTTTTTATGAAATAGCTGATATAATTCTCGTTATAGATAGTTTTGTATTCCTTTGCGACTTTCACCGTGAGCAAAGTTGGACTAGATGGGTCAGCAAAACAGACAATGGTGTGGGTGAAAGTAAAGATAAAGTTCTTGCCATGTTGAGAAGGTGTGCCCACTCTTGCTCAGAGGAGCAGTTTGAGGTTGCACTAGAGTCTCTCACAAACTCTGTGGAGTGGAATGGAAATACCAGGTTGAGGAACTGGTTTACAAAGACCTGGCTATCTGAGAAAAAAGTAATTCATATCATCTTATTTCGATAAATCTGATTAGTTAATGAATGCTTATATTTTGACACACTGTTAGACTTCATATGTAAATTATCTGTTGTGTAGTTTCTGTATAAAGTTTGCCAGTTTTTTGTAATGCAGCTGGCTGCTTAATAAGCTCATCAATTATTGTTTAATTACTTCTTTTTTAGCGTTGGGTTTGGGCTCATAGATATGGTCAAGGCCTCTTAGTAAATACCAACAATGGGCTTGAGAGGCAAAACAAAATTTTTAAATATAAATTCCTCGAGCAGAGAAAAGATAACCATCTCTCAGGAATGATCTCCAGTTTGGTCACTGAGTATTTGCCAGCTATGATGCTGAAGTAAGCTAGTACCTACACATATTCCTCAAAATGCATGTAATAATTTAAGATTGTAATTGAATTTTTCTTCATCAGAATGCATGTGATAATTTAGAAATTACTTGTAACTGAATGTTATTATGTTCATCAAAAAGCATGTTTTAAATATTCAAAATTAACTCATTATTGAATGTTATTTTTGTTTTCTTTAGCTGCATGTAAGTAGAACAGTGAAGTAAAGTAAGACATGCTTATGGCATATAGGTAGTACAAGAGTAAAAAACATTTTAATATATATATATATATATATATATATATATATATATATATATATATATATATATATATATATATATATATATATATATATATATATATATATATATTATTGATATTGTTAAAAATATATGTTCCATTTTAATGTATGATTTTTTTTTAATTTGCTATGAAGACAATGGGAAACCAAAATACAAAAGTAATTTCAAGATAACTTTAAACAATATCTTTAAATGCATGTGTCATGATAATGTTAATTTTTTTCTGAGCAGCAGAATTACCTTGACAGTAAGTATAAGCAGTGTATATATGCATTTAATGCTAATGCTTTCCTGTCACCATTTAATTGATAATTTTAAATAAACACATTAGTTGCAATTATCAATTATTTTTGAGTATTTTACCCAGAGGGAATGGATGCATGTATATTATGTTTGTGTGTGTGTGTCTAATAGTGATACATGCAGGAACTTGAAGACAATATTGCAACCTGTTCACTAAATCCACATAAGGTTTAGGGATACATGTAAAGATGTAAATGGGTACCCTACTCAGTATCTTGTTCCTGTCTGACTATTATGACACGTTTCTGTCTCATTTGTTATTAAAAAAAATAAGTTTACAATTTGTTAAAGAGAAGGAAAATCATAAATATTAAGTTTTTACTTGCCTTAGGAAAAGGTGTGTGCATAAATTTTTAATAAAATGTCAAGACCCTGATGCAGTTTTATTTTGTCATGATCCAGGTGGAAAAACTATTCAATAAAATATATGTGAAGTTCATAATACTTTTAGAAGACTCAAATTTACAAAATAGACAGCTTCATGGAGTTACTTTAATTCAAAAAAATGTTTCCAAAAGGAGTACCAGTTCTTAACATTTAATATTATTATTAATGGTGTTGGAAGGTGGAAGTTTTACATGTAGTCTATGGATAATTTAATTTACCAGAAATTTTTTTTCAAAGTAAAATGGTTAATAATTGTTATATGCTAGCAATCTTCATTTTGAGCACCCCATTTTGCCAGAATCAATGCATTCCTTTGATACTGTTTGATCTCACTAAAAAAAAGTGTTTACCCAATTTTTATTTCAATTATTCCTGTTTTAATTTTGAATCTGCTTTGTGTGTGAAAAGTGTCTTTGATTTTATGTTTACTTTTGAAATACTCTGTTTTTACTGAAATAATAAGGTAAAATTATCACTTTACAGAAATACACATAATTCTTGTATCTCACAACTTACATGCATACATAATTTAATTTAGTAGTAATTGATTCATGTAATGTGACAAGAAAATAATTCTCATTTCATTTTCATATCACAAAGATCTTTTTACAATAATAATTTTCACACTTGTCAGCTCTACTTATTTCATGAAAACCCTGTGCTAGCTGTTGCTCTACACCTTTTTCTAATTCCTTTAACTGTTAAATAATATATGACTTGTCCAATTGAAGGCTTTGAAGTTGAAAAGCATGCTTTCTAATAAATATTTATTTGCCTATGGATTGTATCCCAAAGATTTCTTTTTCTTTCTTTCTTTCTTTCTTTTTTTTTTTTTTTTTTTTTTTTTTTTGCTTATGCATTGTACTTTCTTTTGATAGGTATACTCGTGACAACGTGTTGGCCTCAGAAAGAGTTGGTCGTTCTTATATTGCTGAAATACCAGATTTCTTGAAGAACAGACCAGCATCTTTTATTAAGCACTGCATGACGAAAATAGATCTTGCAGAAACAGTGGAAGACACTGATATCATGCAGATGTCTACCAACTGTTTTAAGGTATGTACATGTACCAGGTACTTGTATTGGCTTTGTCTGGAGATAAAGGTGTCAGTACATAAGCATTCAGGTATATTATTTAAAGTTATTTGAGTTTAATACTTTAAACATATTTCATTTACAAACTAATAAATTTTGCAAAGGCATTGTATTTCACCTCTCTTGAATCATTGAAGTATGAAAAGTGTTAAAGACAATATTCTGAAAGTATCTGTTGAAATTTATGTTGCAGATTAAAAGTGTGTCGGACTCTAGGAAGAAGGTAGAATACGATGTTCTGTTAGATAACGGCCGTGGAATGCCGAGTTGTGGGTGTCATGCATGGACCTGGACTCTTCTCCCATGCAAACATATATTTGCGGTCATCAATGGCAGATTTCCTGGAGTGACATGGAAGAATATCCCTTTGAGTTACAGCAACTCACCTTTTTTCACATTAGATTTTGATGTGGTTTCCATTCCAGTGTCAGGATTCATATCAAATGAAGATGAACTTTGTGATGAGGAAGATGTACTAGAAGGTGATATAACTGATGAAAATGTAGTGCTCTCTGATGCAAATCTACCAACTTGCAAAAAAAATCCACGATCAAAGTTAAAAATTTTAGCCACCAAATGCAGAGAAAGTCTGTCAATTATTCTAAATGCCACCTATCTTTGCCAAGAGGAAAGCACACTTGAACATCTAAGTGTTCTACTTAATGAAGCATCATCCTACATGAACAACATGCTACATAAGGAGGAAGGCCTCATTCCAGAACCTTCAAAGAAAAGGAAAGTAGTAGAAGAACCGAAGTCTGCCAAAAAACCAAAATTGGGAACAAAATCTGAAAAATGTCTGAAGTTAAGAAAAAGAAAAGAAAACAGAAGTACCAGATATGGAAAGACAACATCTAAAAACATCAAATTAGAAGATCAAAAAAAAGAACAAGAAGAGGAAACGATAATAATCGATGGCCATTCAACTGTGCCACAATCAATTCTGGAGTGTATTGCAGGTATTCCCCCCCCCCCCAATAAAAAAGAAAGAATGAAAACATTACCAGTAAGATAGCTTTAAACCTAACAAATATGATTTTTTTTTTTTTGCAGAAATGGTCAGTCAGATGCCAAGAATTGAGTGGGAGGCCCTTATATTCAAGGCCAAAAAAGAGGCTGCAACATCAACAGATACAATATCACAAATTGCTGTAACATTACTTGAGGAGTACTGTGAAGATGATCATATTCAGACACTGAAGACCATATCTGATAACCATTGCCCAAAGAATATGACAAACCCACAGAAATTTAGAATGGCACTTCTAATGCTACATAAACTCGGTAATGCTATATTTTATTTTTCAGGGATAAAAATAATTTATATTTAGTGCACCTAGATCCATGAGTAATTTTAACACCATGCTTTTTCAGTGGAGACAAAAAAATTCATTTTGAAAAGAAATTTTGAGAAGGAACGCACAGAGAGGGAAGCTGCCGAAAAAGCATGCGTAGAGGCTATGGCTCAAATGGAAGGTTTCAACAAATCAGAACCTACCTCAGAAGGTGAGATACAGGTTTTGGAATTTTTGATTTTGTTTAATAAATGCCTCTCAACAAATAAATCTCTGATGCTTCAAGTGGTAGATATGTAGCTAAAGAAATAATATTATAATTACATAATTCAATGTCTTATGGACTCGCTTATTTAAACAATTTTTTTTACATTTAATGAATAATGAATGCATCTTTTCCTTAAACATTTCATCTTATATTCTATTAAAGCATCTGAAAAGACAAGCCATTCTAAGAAAAAAGGGAAAAAGAAGGTACAGTGGGAAACAGGTGAATCAGCAGCTCACTGTACTGGAAAAACCTGGACTGACATTGATTCACAGAAAGGTAACATGGATTGTAAAGATTTACTGTTTTACTTTAAAATACTATTGGTATTAATATATCTGATATGAGTATTAATCATTTTATAGCTAAAAACAACCTTATGAAAATATGGGATCAGGAAAGGGCAACAAATTACATTAAAGCCCGAGTTTATGGATATAATGTCAGTGATGCTGATCTCAGGTCTCTAAAGAGTCCAAACTGGTTGACTGATCAGGTATTAATTTTTTCATATTATTGTTTAGTATTTTCTTCAGCCCTTGAGAACATTTTTGTTGCCACTTTTCTTGGAATTTTGTCTACATGATACATTGGAAAGTGGTTCATCACATCACTAATCATTATTCTTTAAGTCTGCATGTGACTATATTGCTTTCACCATCACATTTTGATTGAATAATAAACTGATTATGGCACGATTTTGCATTTATAGGTACTTGATGCATACCTGTCATATCTAGCTCAGAAAGAGTGGGATAAGGGGAAAAAAGTAAAGCATATGGGTGTATCCAAGATGACAAGTATAATTAATGATCATGTTCAGTCTTCAGAGAAAAAGGTAAAAAAAATCTTAAATAATTTCTATTCAACAAAACCTTGCATCAAATGGGTAATTTTTATGATTGAGTTTTATAAGTGAATGATAAGTGTATCATCATTTCAAAACACATTAACTGTAATGAATTTAAAAAAAAATTAAATGATGTATGCCTCATCATTCTTCAGTGTCGTGTTCTGGAATATGACTCCATCATTGGTGTGTATCATCAAAGAGGACATTGGGATCTAGTGGTAAGTTTTCACATTCATTCAAAAGAAATGTCAAATCAAACTTTACTGATATTGCAATATTGCCTTCACTTTAGGAAGTTTCCATGATATTACATAGTTAATTAAGATCTACACATTATATTTCATTCAATTTCATTTCACTAATGTAGATAATTGAACCAAAATCATTCACGGTCTACTTCTACAATCCACTTGGAGAGACGGCATTTCAATGTAGACAAGTGCTCAATGGCTGGAGGTTTGCTCGAACTCATTTTTTCATAAAATCTATATTTCTTCTTATTATTTTTCTTGGATTAAAAGGAGGATTATTTTCTTGTATACGTACTTTTTCAAAATTGTTAAAATATACAGCTAGAAATAATTTTTTTTCGGGTTATGTGAAAAGTTTTCCATGATACTCCAGTTTTCCTAATTCTGCACAATGAAAGTTGGCATTTTTCACAGATTATTATCTAATTTCAGAAATTACATGGGAAGAAACCTTTTTTTAAGTGTTCAGTGGGAATTGAAAGTGAAGGAACATTCAAAGCAGAAAGATGGCTCTAGTTGTGGTGTGTTCTGTTTAATGGTAAGTAAAAGCACTGAAAGATCTTCCCTTGTTTACATAATAATTTACAAGACATTGCATTGCATTGAAGTTGAAACCATTCATATTGTATAAACTGTTAATTTCTTATCTAGTATGCAGAGAGACACCTTAGTGGACAGTCTCTCTTGAATATAACCAAAGAAGATGTTCAGAGAAAAAGGACAGAAATAGGAACTACTCTTCTGCTGTTTGATGGTAGGTTTTAAAATTAACTCATTCCCAAAAGATGATTGAAAGTTTAGTGGCTATTCCTCTTTACCCTTTAAATATTAAATGAACATGAATGCTGTGATAGTATAAGATTATTATTTTTTTTTTGTTAATACAGAACACAGAGTTGATTGTTGTGCTTGTTGTGGATTGAAGTTAGATGATCGTAAAGGGGATTTGGTAAGTCTGGTATATTGTTGCTTATTGAATATCAGCTACATGTACTTTACCTTTTCAAAATAAAATGATAAAATTACAGGAATTATATTTTCATTTTTATTTTTTCTGATTTAAGGTTCCTTGTGGTATTTGTATGAGGAAATTCCACAAAAAAAATTATTGTGTGGGAGAAAAAATTTCTAACATGTCATCAGTGCAGCACTTTACATGCAAAGATTGCTTCATGAAGTCAAATGTGTGAAAATGATGAAAAAGTGAAAAAAAACCTATTCATTGCTCTATTTCATTCAGCTTTTAAGAAAAAGGCACATCAATAACTTTTCTCATACTAAAAGACCATAGACAAGCTTAAAGATACATGGAATCCAGTAGACTCAATCAGGAACCAAGGAATAGTACTCCTAACCTGGGAGGATCCAGTAGAGTGACCTAGGATCAAGTAGACCGCTCCTGTGTAAGTACTCACACTGGGGACTATGTATTGTACTTACACTAAGTCAGGAACTAAGGAATAGTACTCCTAACCAGGGAGGATCCAGTAGAGTGACCTAGGATCCAGTAGACTGCCCCTGTGTTAGTACTCACACTGGGGACTATGTATTGTACTTACACTACGTCAGGAACTAAGGAATAGTACTCCTAACCTGGGAGGATCCAGTAGAGTGACCTAGGATCCAGTAGACCGCCCCTGTGTTAGTACTCACACTGGGGACTATGTATTGTACTTACACTAAGTCAGGAACTAAGGAATAGTACTCCTAACCAGGGAGGATCCAGTAGAGTGACCTAGAATCTAGTAGACCGTCCCTGTGTTAGTACTCACATTGGAGACTATGTATTGTACTTACACTAAGTCAGGAACTAAGGAATAGTACTCCTAACCAGGGAGGATCCAGTAGAGTGACCTAGGATCTAGTAGACCGCCCCTGTGTTAGTACTCACACTGGAGACTATGTATTGTACTTACACTAGGTCAGGAACCAAAGAATAGTACTCCTAACCAGGGAGGATCCAGTAGAGTGACCTAGGATCCAGCAGACTGCCCCTATGTTAGTACTCACATTGGAGACTATGTATTGTACTTACACTAAGTCAGGAACTAAGGAATAGTACTCCTAACCAGGGAGGATCCAGTAGAGTGACCTAGGATCCAGTAGACCGCCCCTGTGTTAGTACTCACACTGGAGACTATGTATTGTACTTACACTAAGTCAGGAACCAAAGAATAGTACTCCTAACCAGGGAGGATCCAGTAGAGTGACCTAGGATCCAGCAGACTGCCCCTATGTTAGTACTCACATTGGAGACTATGTATTGTACTTACACTAAGTCAGGAACTAAGGAATAGTACTCCTAACCAGGGAGGATCCAGTAGAGTGACCTAGGATCTAGTAGACCGCCCCTGTGTTAGTACTCACACTGGAGACTATGTATTGTACTTACACTAGGTCAGGAACCAAAGAATAGTACTCCTAACCAGGGAGGATCCAGTAGAGTGACCTAGGATCCAGCAGACTGCCCCTATGTTAGTACTCACATTGGAGACTATGTATTGTACTTACACTAAGTCAGGAACTAAGGAATAGTACTCCTAACCAGGGAGGATCCAGTAGAGTGACCTAGGATCCAGTAGACCGCCCCTGTGTTAGTACTCACACTGGAGACTATGTATTGTACTTACACTAAGTCAGGAACCAAAGAATAGTACTCCTAACCAGGGAGGATCCAGTAGAGTGACCTAGGATCTAGTAGACCGCCCCTGTGTTAGTATTCACACTGGAGACTATGTATTGTACTTACACTAAGTCAGGAACCAAAGAATAGTACTCCTAACCAGGGAGGATCCAGTAGAGTGACCTAGGATCCAGCAGACTGCCCCTATGTTAGTACTCACATTGGAGACTATGTATTGTACTTACACTAAGTCAGGAACTAAGGAATAGTACTCCTAACCAGGGAGGATCCAGTAGAGTGACCTAGGATCTAGTAGACCGCCCCTGTGTTAGTACTCACACTGGAGACTATGTATTGTACTTACACTAAGTCAGGAACCAAAGAATAGTACTCCTAACCAGGGAGGATCCAGTAGAGTGACCTAGGATCCAGCAGACTGCCCCTATGTTAGTACTCACATTGGAGACTATGTATTGTACTTACACTAAGTCAGGAACTAAGGAATAGTACTCCTAACCAGGGAGGATCCAGTAGAGTGACCTAGGATCCAGTAGACCGCCCCTGTGTTAGTACTCACACTGGAGACTATGTATTGTACTTACACTAAGTCAGGAACCAAAGAATAGTACTCCTAACCAGGGAGGATCCAGTAGAGTGACCTAGGATCCAGCAGACTGCCCCTATGTTAGTACTCACATTGGAGACTATGTATTGTACTTACACTAAGTCAGGAACCGAGGAATAGTACTCCTAACCTGGGAGGATCCAGTAGAGTGACCTAGGATCCAGTAGACCGCCCCTGTGTTAGTATGGCATACTCACACTGGAGACTACATCATTAGATAATGTAGAAGTAATTGATATCTATCATTCCAAAACAGTCTCTACTCTCTAATAAATTTCAAGGTATCTTTAAGATTTTATGTATATCACATGTTTACATATTATAATTGTAACATGTATCATTCATTGTCAAGATTACTATTTTGTTTTGTTATAAATATTTCTATATGTATTTCAATCTTGCAAAATATTTATTTCAAAAAATGTTCTTGATTGTCCTTGTTGTTCGGAGAACTAATGTTGTAATGTAGATTACAAAATTGTGATTTAAATAATGCTTTTTTACAGGAAGGAGACCTCTGTAATTTTCATTATTTACCTTCTCAACTCTAAATGGTCAAAATGACACAATGATTCTTTTTTAAAGATTAAGTTCTTTGCTGTCAGAAAATTTCGAAATGAATTTGCACGCAGATAAATGCAGCAATTAATATTTTTATCAATATGATTATTGATATATTTCATTTTGTTATTGTTAATTGTTTTGTCAAATTGTAATCATGGTTTAAGGACATACGCAACGTACCTTACCTACTGATAATTTTTCAAGATATTCTTAATTTAAGTTTATAGCGCCACCAGATGTTCGTAGATAAAAAATCAGCATGCATTACCAGGGGTTTTGAAAAGATATCAATTGATGAAAATTCTTGTATAATTCAAAGAAAAATATACAAAAATTACTAAACATATATTCTAAATGTTTTGTCTATCCAAACTTGTTTTAGAGGAAGTGTACAGCACCATATATAGACATCAAAATGTAGTACACAGTTCCTTTAAATATTGGAACTCTCCAACTCCAGGGAAAAAGACAATAAAGTTCAAACTATGTTGCATATGTCCTTAACTCCAATGTTTAGTGGTGTTGTCAATATATAAATGAATTAAATTTTAGTAAACATTCTTTCAACATGCATGATCTTCATGTTATTTAATGTCATTTTAATTGAATATATTAAAAAGAAACGGAATAGTCAACAAAAATAAATCAATTAATAATTGGGCAATTAATTCTGACCATTTGCTGCTAACAATTGACACCCCCCCCTTCCCCCTGAAAAAAAAAAATATGGGGGAGAGTTTGCACTTAACAGAAATTATTTGTTGGCATATATCTACAAATCTCTAGCGTTTAGGTGTGAATAGGGTTGGAGATTTTACATAATTCAATAAATACAAAGTCTTTCATGGAATAAAAATGAATGCATTGTTATTCCGGAAAATACATGTCTGCAGTGGGTTTTGTTGTTGATACTATATTGTTCATGAATATTAATTAGGATGACGTAGGGCAGCCTAGCGGATCCTCTCTACCGCTTACCGAATAACCCGCACCCGCATACATTAAGTCGTTGTAAAATGATTCGATTTAGAACAAAATTACCAATTCCGTTAAATTTTAAAACAAAATTGAATTGAAAAAAAATCAACACCTTTGACTTCTTCTGTTTTATGATAATTGATCAAGTGAAGGATCTGATTGACATTTATGAAGAGATAATTTTGTACGAGTTATTTGATAGAATCAGCACTTCCGGACAAAAGAAAAAAAAATCAACAACGTGGTTTTCTTACTTCTTTTCTTAGATAACTGTCATAAATTCAACCATGGCAAAAACGAAAAGAAAAGGAAACATGGGAAAGAAGGAAGATACAATAAATAGAAGCTCACATAGCATGAATCCAGGTATAGTCTTAATAAGAGCAGAAAAACAAAATAGAACAGAAAGGACTGTGAAATATTTAACAAAAAATTGATATCCTCAACACCTGCTAAAGTGTATTTCATATCGATATGATATTTCATTTCCCCCATTAAATAGAATTACTATTCTGTGTACAGTAGGGTTACCATTATCATCTGTTGTAAATAATTCTATGGTACTTGGTGGCATAGTTCTGCCACAGATTATTAAATAATTAAACCAATTTGTAAAATCTTTTTGTTGAAATGTCACTTATTCATCTGTTTTTAAAATTCAACATAAAATCGTGCCATACCCAGTTTGTGCCATCCAATTGACAAAACATTTTTTCTGACAAGACTACATAAGGATCTGACAAGTCGAAATAAAGATCTGTCAAGTCAACAGTCATCTGACAGTTGAATTTGTACTAAGTCATTTATCCTCACAACGTCAGGGATCCTGAGTCAACATGTTGCCCTTGGCCCCCTGACAAATTTCATTTGATATCTTTGGGCTTGCTTCTCTTACTGAGAAGCACCAATCAAATTGAAATAGACAGATAATGTATCCGAAAAGGAATCAGTTGACACCTACATGTATAACAATGGTGGATTTAAGAGGGGCGCACTCGGCATGCACCCCCCTAAAATTGTCAAATTTTGTGTATATCATAGTTTCATCGAGAAAATGTAAAAATGTCTACTCGGTAGACCTCATTTTTACCCTACAAAATCTCTAGAATGCAGGAAGTTCCGGGGGCATCGCCCCCTGGGCCCAACACCAGGGCTTTGCCCTGGACCCACTGGGGGCCTCAAGACGGCCCCCAGACCCCCTGCCTACTTATCACGCCCCCCTAACTTCAATTTCTGGATCCGTGTCTGTATAATGAGGGTGTTATGCATTGTTTATCTCCGAAAGGCTTACTATGATTGGTAGAGAGATAAGAAAAATAATCAAAATTTGTAATTTTCCTGAAAGACATTGCTGAAATCAGCCCAAAAGATATCAAATGAAATTTGTCAGGGGTCCAATGGCAATGAGTTGACACAGGACCCCTGACGTTGTGAGTCATTATAATTATCCAACAAGTCCTTATGAATATCTGACAAGTCAACATAATTACTTAATAAATCAATATGACATCTGACAAGTAAATTTTCGAACACATCATCTTAGAAATCGACATCAGCTGACAAGTTGACTTATTAATCTAATAACTTATTTCCACTTGTAGAATAATGATGATGACACGTCAGAAATTGTGTTGACTTGTAAGAGAAATACGATGGCTTGTCAAATAATTATGTTGAAATTTATTCCCAGGTTACTATATGCCCTACCTGGACCAAACCTGCATGGATGATGCATCTAAGAATGCACACTACCAGGCTAGCTTCAGATACTGAATCTTGGTTACATTTTCCAGATAATTGTAATGAACAGAAAAAGTTTCTGAAGCAAGCTCATTCCCAAGTAACTTGAATTACTATCCAGACCAAACTTTCATAAATGTCACATCTAGGGATGCACACTACCAGAATATTTATAGTGAAATATAGCATTCCTTGAGGTGAGCTTTGTAATCTTTAATTCCCTGTTTTAACTTTCGGTAATCTGAAAAAAAAATAGTTATGCATTGAAGAAAGTGGTTAGATTTTGATTATCGTAAAAACAAATTTGGCTGATTTATAATGTCTGATTTATGAATTTAATTATTTTTTTTTTAAGTAATGGACAAAATGTTTATATTTCCATTTCAATAGTTTGTTTTTTTTTATTTACCACTTTCAGATTTAATACTCTTTTGCAATTTATAAAAAATGAAATGAAAAAATTATGATTGATCATTACTTAGTAGCATATTCAAAATTTGTTTCATCTCTGTGTAGCTGCTGTACCATTTTGAGTCATTGAATAAATTTTCGTCAGACGTGCGTGAAGCTGATTTATAAAACTTAGTACATTTTTTTGTACAATGTAACAGGGATACACAATGGCAAGTGGAAAGTGATGTGTGATCTCACTTTAAGTTAATTTTTGTAAACTTTAATTATTTACTCAGTCGTTCCTGCAAATGTTTTTATTTTATAAGATCGTGCAAAGGGTGCAGGAGGAAACAATATGCGTGATAAAGCTACAATCAAAAGACTACAGATGTACAGAAATTTTAAAGCAAAAAGGTAAGAAACTGTAAATAAGAATTATAATGAGTTAAATAATAATGATATTATTCTAAGAAAAAAAATATGGTTCCCAACCAGTTCTGTTACTTTTCTTTAGAGACAGAACAGGAAAAATAATCAAAGCAGCACCATTTCAATCAAGATTGTCATCAGGAAGTATGGCTAGGGTGGAACCAAACAGAAGATGGTTTGGTGAGTTGTATGAAAACACTAATTGAAATTTAATTATCACTCCTTAAAAAAATGAAAATAAAGCTGTTACATTATTTTGTAATCATTTTTTTTTCTTATTTTGTTTGCATTTGAACAATTTTGACAGGTAATACAAGGGTGATAACTCAGAATGCTCTACAGACTTTCCAAGAAGAGATGGCTAAAGTGAGGAATGATCCCTATAAAGTTGTAATGAGACAGACAAAGCTACCAATTACACTGCTAAACGAAACAGCAAAGGTACATGTACAGCTGTTATTTACCATGATAATCTTATGAAGAACTGTGAAGTCTTTATGTTTGTGAAGCATGTCCTCCCAAACAGACTACAGATATCTGCAGATTCTGTGGCACAATTTTTCTAGATATTTTTATGCACATCATGATCACCTGCTCTTGCTCACTTACATCGGATTAACTGCTGGGGGGATGACATTTCCAATAACTTTGAAGTCCTCCTCTCTGCAGATATTTGTGCAATGACAGATGACGAAATATTTCTTCTTGGATGTAATTCCTTTCATTTACTATCAGTAAAAGATCTCCAGCAACTTAATATGACCAATTTTTGATACATACAAAATGTTGCCACATGTTACAACATGGCCCTTCAATTTCCAGTAGCAAACTTGCCAACCGACCAGTCACCACACTTGCAATTTACAGTAGCCACCAATTTACAAATTTGTAAATATATCAAAACTATTTATTTATTTATTATTTAACAAAATTTCTTTCTTCCACTTTCATCATATTGTTTTGTCATTTATTTGATATACATGTAATTTTGTGTTTTGTATTTATCTATGTGTCTATCCTGGATTTTGTCATTTATTTGATATACATGTAATTTTGTGTTTTGTATTTATCTATGTGTCTATCCTGGATTGCAAACATGTAACTTTATACTTTCACATAATCCTCCGATGAGGGAAATAAAGTATGAATGAATGAATGGTTATTAATATCATTTCAAAACATATTTAAAAATACTAATTTTAATAGAAACCAGTGTAGCATTTTGTTTCGTGTGAAGATTGTAAACTTTTCTCTATAAAGTGCCTGCCCTTCAAATTTACGCTTGCATTTTTTTCTTGCTGTTAATGTAGTATGCAAAGGTCCACCTCCTTGACACAGAAGGATTTGAGACGACATTCGGTAAAAAAGCCCAGAGGAAGAAACCAAAACTCAAAACTGCAGACATGCAAGTTAGTTTTAATACAATCTATTTTGTATGCTATCTTTATTAAAAGTGCAAAAAAGGTAAAGTTAAGATACAGTATTTTTAGCTCACCTCAGCCAAAAGTTTAAGTGAGCTTTTCTGATCACATTTTGTCCAATGTCCATCTGTCTGTCTGTAAACATTTCACATTTTCGACCTCTTTTCAAGAACCACTGGGCTATTTTCAACCAAACTTGCCACAAAGTATCCTTGGATAAAGGGGATTCTAGTCTGCTCAAAAGAAGGGCCATGCTTTCTTACAGGGGGACATAATTACAAATTAGTGAAAAATTAATGACATCTTTTAGAAATCTTCTTCTCAGGAACCACTGGGTTAGAAAATATGAAAATTATATGGAATCATCCTCAGGTAGCGTAGATTCAAATTTGTCCGAAACATTACCCCCCAGTGATAGGGTGGGACCACAATGGGGATGAAAGTTTTACCTAGGAATACATTGGAAAAGTCTTTAAAATTCTTCTCAAGAACAGCAAAGCCATGATTGATCATATTTATATGAAATCATCTTCAGGTAGTGTAGATCAAACTTGTTCAAATCATGGTCACTGGGGATAGGGTGGGGTAGATTAAAAGTTTGTTCAAATCATGACTGCCAGGAGTAGAGAAAAAAATTGAATGTGAATTAAGACTAAAGAAGACAGGATTTTTTTTTTAATTTCAAATCCTTTTTAAAATCTAGGTAAAAACAAATTTTATTGGGAGTAATTTTAACAAATTGACAGATTTTAAAATGTAGGAAAAAGAAGGTAGTAGATTAACTTACCTAACATACTTAGGGTTATCAGCTATTAAATAATAAACATTCAAGGATATCAAGTAAATTGAATTAAGCCTATAAAACAGATGAGGATTAATTTTAGAAACAATACTGAATATCATTGTCATCATTTTGACAGGCATTGGTTGAACAAGCCATGACAGCTACAGAGGGCTACTCAGCTGATAAGGATCGTGACCTTGTCACAGAGGCTCCAGAGTTCAAGGATGAACAGCCAGAGGTCATTTTCAAGGCTGGTCAGTCAAAGAGAGTGTGGGGAGAGCTGTATAAGGTACATGTAAATCCTCTATAGTTTTTTTTAGAAGTTGAAAATCAGGGTAAAAGTCAGTTCAGAACTGTTATCTGTATAAGTGGAATTTTTAGTGAGATGCAGACTTTGTAATTTGTTCATAAAAATTGATATATAATTTTAGCAAGAAGTAATTTTAGTTATTTCACAATGCCATGAACAATAAGTCTTACCTCTGATACAGAAAGAATTATTATTGATATTCAATTTTAGCGACTTCAGCATAGTCACTAATAATCCCAAAATTGAATCCTCTCGAAAATTATTCTTATATGGTATAATTTATTTACAAAAATTTGGAGTGTATGTTTATGATGGAAATTAATTAATTTCTTTGTAAGCTTATTTTTTTCCTGCTAACAGTTTCTTTTTTCAGTACCATGTTTTCTTTGTGTGTAGGTGATAGACTCCTCTGATGTTGTGGTCCAGGTTTTAGATGCCCGGAACCCACTAGGGACTCGCTGTTACCAGATAGAGAAATACATGAAGAAAGAAAAACCTCACAAACACCTCATCTTTGTACTCAATAAAGTGGACTTGATACCAGTGTGGGTCACAGTAAGTCAATTATAGGGCTGTGCATGAAGCAAAAATTTTCAATACAATTCAATATTTATGCCCCCCTTCAAAAAAAGGAGGGCATATTGCTTTGCTGCTGCCTGTCGGTCTGTCTGTCCACCAACAGTTTCCATTCATTTTCTTCGCAGAGGTTGCACATACTAAAATGAAATTTGGTATACAGATTTATCATAAAATATCTAGGTCAGGTTCTGTTTTGGGTACGATAGAGCAATTTTTGACAGAGTTATGCCCCTTGGACCTAGAGAAATTCCAATTATTTGCAGTTTCCGTTCATTTTCTTTGCAGAGGTTGCACATACTGAAATGAAATTTGGTATATAGATTTATCATAAGAATGTCTAGGTCAAATTTTGATTTGGGTACGATTGAGCAATTTTTGACAGAGTTATGCCCCTTGGACTTTGAAAAATTCCGATTATTTGCAGTTTCCGTTCATTTTCTTTGCAGAGGTTGCACATACTGAAATGAAATTTGGTATATAGATTTATCATAAGAATGTCTAGGTCAAATTCTGATTTGGGTACGATTGAGCAATTTTTGACAGAGTTATGCCCCTTGGACTTTGAAAAATTCCAATTATTTGCAGTTTCCGTTCATTTTCTTCTCAGAGGTTGCACATAATGAAATGAAATTTGGTATACAGATTTATCATAAGAAAATCTTTATCTGAATTCTTTAACAAGTCTATCAAAAAAGTCTTAAAAATCATTTAGTGCATGAATTTCATAAAAACTAAGTGTTTTATAACCATTTCGAAATTCCTGACTCATTGTCATTACATTCAAATTACACTTTAAATCCAAACTTTTAATGACTGTAAAATCAACATGTTAAAATAAAGTTGTCTAGATGTATTTTGTAATATATTTTTAAGATGTGCAATCTCCTTAATGTTTGTATCGTTATTAATCAGCTTTAAATTGATTCCAAACAAATAAATATAATCTTTGGTGATTGAAATTCCAAACTTTTCCACAGAATTGTAAGAAAAACTGCCTGCCCAATATGTACTGGAAGTTATTTTTTCGATACCATATATTCTTGAATATCAATAACAGATCAATATATTGACACAACCCAGTTAATTATACATATATCAATACAGGATTTTAATACCAGTGTGAGTCACAGTGATTTATTAGTCCCCTACCGGTGAAACCGGAGGGGACTATAGGTTTCCTCTGAGTCTGTCCGTCCGTCTGTCTGTCCGTCTGTCTGTCTGTCCCTCTGTCTGTCTGTCAGTCTGTCCCACTTGGTTTTCGGCACTTTTTTCCTAAACGCTGGCAGATATTGAGCTGATTTTTGGTATGTCAGTGTATCTTGATGAGTTACAGATCAAGTTTGCATTTCATTCCGCTTCATTGATTTTTGACGGAATTACGGCCTTTTCAATTTTAGGGGTTTTCCACAATTTTCTTCTAAATGCTTTCAGACATTGAGCTGATTTTTGGTATGTGACTTTACCTTAATTAGTTATTGATCAAGTTTGCATTTCGTCCCGCTTCATTAATTTTTGACGGAATGATGGCATTTTTAATTCTTAATGGGAACCAGATTACACTTGCCGGTAGGGGACTAGTATTGCTAATGCAATACTCTCAGAATGCTTGTTAAAGAAATAAACAACGTTGTTCAGTGAACATGGTGTTATGAACAGCAATTGCTCTGCTGGCATATTCCATGATGCGCGCTAGCACATCATGCAAAATATGCCAGCAGAACTATTGCTATTCATATTGCCATGTTCACTGAATAATCGTTGTTTATTACTTATATTTGCATTCTGTGATGTCAAGAATATCAGAGGAAATCCTGGCCTGCATAAGGGCCTGGGTGCTTGTCCCCAGCGAAGAAAAATATGACAATAAAATTAGTAAACCTGATTAATAATAATTTATCCACTTTATCTCCAATTAATCACATACAATGTATATGGTATTTGATTATTAACCACAGTTATCTGGATACGAACTGCGCCGTCTTCAAATTCTTGTAAAACTTTTTGTTTTGATGCTGTTGTGACGCGCCATGACGTCATCCTTTCTGAGAAAAATTATAAATAACAATACATTATGAAAAAAGAGAATGTTTTTACATTGATTTTTACTTAAGAATGTTTTTGTTATATTTCTTTAAGTTCTTAAAATTCTTTTTAAGAGTTAAAATCATTCTTGGAATAGATACACTATTAAAGAAATTTCGCTTTGTCTGAACGTAAAAAAACCCTAGCATGAAGAGTTGTCATTCTTTGCAACAATATGCATAAAAATGAACAAATAAATTAAAGATATAAAGCTCTATTTAATTATCGAAAGTTTTATTTTACAATCAAACACATTGACTAAAATTATTTTTTTTTAGGTCACCTGAGTCACTCAGGTGACCTATTGCTATCCGTTTTTGTCCGTCGGCATGCGTCGTGCGATGTGCATTAACATTTGAACATTTTTAGCTTCTTCTCTGAAACTGCTCAACCAATTTCAATCAAATTTGGCATATAGCATCTATGGGTGAAGGGGAACAGAATTTTTGAATTTTATGGTCCCTGCCCCCCTGGGGCCTGAGGGGTGGGGCTAAAACCACCAAAATTAATGCAATCTTTAAAAATCTTCTTCTTTACTCCTGGACATCAAGCAGTCAAACTGTTGGCATCATTGTAATAAGCATTGAGTCCTCTACCAAAATTGTGAAATTCATGGCCCCAGGGTCAGGGGTTCTGGTGCTAGGTCGGGGCTATATAGACCATATAGTGAAAGTGCATTATTTCTTTGAAAATCTTCTTCTCTGCTCCTGGGTATTAAATAAACTAACTAAGTATATAGTTATGATGAGTAAGAGTGCCTCTTCCAAAATTGTGAAATTCATGGCCCCAGTGTCAGGGATTCTGGTGTTAGGGTGGGGCTCTATTGATTATATAGTGAAAAAGCATTAATTCTTTGAAAATCTTCTTCTCTGCTCCTGGGTATTAAATAAACTAACTAAGTATATAGTTATGATGAGTAAGAGTGCCTCTTCCAAAATTGTGAAATTCATGGCCCCAGTGTCAGGGATTCTGGTGTTAGGGTGGGGCTCTATTGATTATATAGTGAAAAAGCATTAATTCTTTGAAAATCTTCTTCTCTGCTCCTTGGTATTAAATTCAGTAACTAAGTACATAGTTATGATGAGCAAGAGTGCCTCTTCCAAAATTGTGAATTTCATGGCCCCAGGGGCAGGGGTTCTGGTGTTACGGCTGGGCTCTATTGATTATATAGTGAAAATGCATTAATTCATTGAAAATCTTTTTCTCTGCTCCTGGGTATTAGATAAACTAATTAAGTACATAGTTATGATGAGCAAGAGTGCCTCTTCCAAAATTATGAATTTCATGGCCCCTGGGTCAGGTGTTCTGGTGTTAGGGTGGGGCTCTATTGATTATATAGTGAAAATGCATTAATTCTTTGAAAATCTTCTTCTCTACTCCTGGGTATTATTGAAACACATTAAATACATAGTTATGATAATCAAGGATGCCTCTTCCAAAATTGAGAAATTTGTGGCCCCTGGATCAGGGGTTCTGGTGTTAGGGCAGGGCTCTATTGATAATAAAGTGAAAATGTATTAATTCTTTAAAAATCTTTTTCTCTGCACCTGGGTATTATTTAAACAAACTAAGTACATTGTTATGATAAGCAAGGATGCCTCTTCCAAAATTGTGAAATTCATGGCCCTGGGGACGAGTTCTGGTGCTAGGGCGGGGCTATATAGATCCTATAGTGAAGGTGAATTATTTCTTTGAAAATCTTCTCTGCCCCTGGGTATTGTTTAAACAGACTAAGTACATTGTTATGGTACGCAAGGATGCCTCTTTTCAAAAATTGTGAATTTTATGACCCTAGGTTAAAGGTTTCTGGTGAAGGGGGGGGGGGGGGGGGGGGCTTCTATTGATTATAACGTGAAAAAGCAAAATTTCTTTGAAAATATTCTTTTCTGCTTCTGGTTAAAAAAGCAAAGAAGCTAAGTGTATAGTTATGATGAGCAGGAGTGCTTCTTTCAGAGTAGTGAATTTCATGACCCCTGGGTCAGATGTGCTGGTGTGAGGGTGGGGCTTTTGATAATATAGCAAAAATGCATTAATTCTATTAAATAATCCTGTTTGCTCCTTAGCGTTAAGCAGATAAACAAAGTGATTAGTTATGATGTACAAACTTATGGTCCCAGGGTCAGAAGCTCTGGTGTTTTGGTTGGGGAGGGGCTCTATTGATAATATAGTGAATCTGTAGTAGTCTTCTCCGCACCTGGGCATATCTGAGGCAAATAGAGTAAAAATTTTTATAAGGAAGGGAATTTTTACCAGATTTTTGAACATCTGGACCATTTGGTCAAGTGTTCTGGTCCTGGCCAGGACTCTATTAGTTTGTATTCTACTGAGAGGAGTTATTCCCCTTTGCCATTTACTTTTGATAATTTATCACTGTAAATAATGTACTTGAAAGGTAAATAGAATAAGAGAATTATGCAAGAACTTTTATTGTATAATACAAAAAGTACTTTCATTGTTTTAATGATCAGATAGACTTGTAAGTAGTAGATAAATAAAAATGAGACAAAGATAACTTGTCTTATTAAATGTTCATCAAAGACCAAGAAAGGCCAATGTAAGAGATTTCAACAAGGGATTTAAATAGTACAGAAGCATTGATAATTTGTTAATATACTGTATGGTGATAGTGATAAATGGGGAACAGATTAGAACCTAATTTATGAACTGTTAATGAATATTAAGACCAATTATTTTGTTGATCATGACCACCCTATTTTTTTTTTCTTTTGGGCAACAAAGCTTCACCTTTCAGTTCATTTTATACTCTATGCATAATGCAAATTATTGTATCATACTCAGGTGACTGTTAAGGTCCTTGGGCCTCTTGTTTAAATTGAAAACACCTTAATCAGTAATCTTAATCATTTTAAATTTCTTTTTTCCCAGAGGATTCCATTAAAAACTTAATTTTATTTCTTTTGCACAACATTCCATATACATGTATATACTTCTGAATATGTTGAACAAGTGGAGTAGCATGTACTTTGCCAGTGTAAGAAATGAAATGCACTTATAACAGAAGAAGTTACGTTCATGGTGCTATGAACGCAACTGGTGAGTGCAGGTTCATAGTGGGAGAAAACAGAGAGAATGCAAATATAAATACATGTAAATACAAGATCTTAAGATATTATAAACTTGTATTTTGAGTCACTGTAAAAGATACATGGACATTGATTTTTATACTCTCATTACTCTGTAAATGGTATACTGTTATACCGTTACATGTACCTATGTGAAACATAGTAATCATATGTAAACACCTTATCTTTATGCTGAAGTAAGTGAACCTGAAACTTGTATGCGCGGGACACAAGTCATATATAAATATGTAAACTTGGAATCACCTTATTGTTTGCTTAATAAATGGGGTCAAAAACGTGTAGTGGTCAGACGGGTTCAATTGACAGTTGGCATATAGCTTAGTTGGTAGAGCACCGGGGGCCCAGGTTCAAATTCAGGTCTGATCTGTCATTTTTTCTTCCCTCTCTTATTACACATGTATATGTATCACACTAGGTCAGAGTAAGTTATACATAAATACTGATCACATTTACCAGTGTGAATCAAAGTTATACATAAATACTGACATGTGTACCAGTGTGCAGGTTTGTCCCTAAGAATTGAAATAGGAGGGGACATTAAAAAAGTAGAAGGGGGGGTTCCTTTCCTAACAAGGGGTTGAGGGGGAATACCAGAGTAGCCAAGGGATAATGTCATTATAGGCAGGGAAATTCACCGGCCCCCGGGTCTTAGGGACAACCCTGAGTGTGGGTCACAGTAAGTTGTACATAAACACTGATATGCATACCAGTGTGGGTCACAGTAAGTTAAGACTGTGTTTATATCATAACTAAGCATTGTCAAGATGCATGGCATGCGAAAAAGAAAAATAAGGAACTCAAACATTCAAATGTTCTTGGAAAAAAAAAAACATGCACTGGATTAAAAGTATTCTTTTTTTTTTTATTAAATAGCAAAAGTGGGTAGCAATTCTTTCTCAGGAGTATCCAACAATGGCCTTCCATGCTAGTATTACAAACCCATTTGGTAAAGGAGCACTTATAAATCTATTACGCCAGTTTAGTCAGGTTAGTCCTTTTCAAAGTTTAAAAATTGTTATTATATTATCTGTTAATTTTCAGGCCTATGATGAATGCAAGTCACGAAATTCAGTATCTTAACATGTATACATGATGAATAACTTGTGTGTTTGTTTGTTTGTTTGTTTGACAGCTGCACACAGATAAGAAGCAGATCAGCGTGGGGTTTATAGGTTATCCTAACGTAGGGAAAAGTTCCATCATCAACAGTCTGAGGGCAAAGAAAGTCTGTAAAGTAGCTCCCATAGCAGGTGAAACAAAGGTAAACAAGGACTGTTAACAGTCGGAGGGCAAAGAAAGTCTGTAAAGTAGCTCCCATAGCAGGTGAAACAAAGGTAAACAAGGACTGTTAACAGTCGGAGGGCAAAGAAAGTCTGTAAAGTAGCTCCCATAGCAGGCCAAACGAAGGTAAACAAGGACTGTTAACAGTCGGAGGGCAAAGAAAGTCTGTAAAGTAGCTCCCATAGCAGGCCAAACAAAGGTAAACAAGGACTGTTAACAGTCGGAGGGCAAAGAAAGTCTGTAAAGTAGCTCCCATAGCAGGCAAAACAAAGGTAAACAAGGACTGTTAACAGTCTGAGGGCAAAGAAAGTCTGTAAAGTAGCTCCCATAGCAGGTGAAACAAAGGTAAACAAGGACAATGTAAACATTATGATGGCTGCATTGAGACCTAGTGTGTTTTTGAAATTGAATGCAAAATGGATACAAGTATCAACTATCATATGAAAGCTAGAGATATATCTCTACTGTAAAATACTGTAAATGAAATTTATGTACTATATATGGAACTAATTGTGATCATTACTAAGATCAGAGCATTACAGGCAGGACACGTGATGGAAATAATGTTGATTTTAGCTCTTATTCTCGCAAGTTTCAGTTTGTCAAAGTGCCAAATGTTTTATAATAGAATATGACAAATCATGACACATTCGATTATATCTGATTCATGATGTCATGGTACTTTTAATTATGTAGTCAGATACATGCATTTTTAACATTTGGGTAAAACTTTGTTAAGGTTTGGCAGTATGTGACACTGATGAAGAGGATTTACCTGGTGGATTGTCCAGGTGTAGTGTACCCCACAGCTGCCACGCCCACAGAGTCCGTCCTCAAAGGGGTGGTAAGTCTTCATCCACATTACTAAGACCGACTTTGTAGTTGTAGTACGGACATACATGTATAATGTGATACTGGTTTGTACAGTCTTTATAGTAGGGTGAAGGGAATAAGACTTTCTGACATAGAAGAAGCATGTATGCATACAGTTTCACAGAAAATGAGGTGATATTTTGAAGGACATAAGGTCAGGTGTGAAGCTTTAATAGTGATTCTCTGTAACCACTTAAACTTCTTTGCCACGCATGGTCACCGATTTTGATGAAACTTTGCCCATTATTACAACTTGACACCAGAAACATATATCAAATAAAATTTCATTGCTGTGTATCTTGGTTGCCATGGTAACAGCCAGAAAAGTTGAAAAAAATTGAGATTTTCAGCACTTTGAATCTTTATTAAGCCTTAATAAAGACTAAGAAAAACAAACAAACCATTCTCCCAAAAACATGACACCTTGTTGCCACTTATGCTATAAAGAAACTATTTTGAATTTATCTTTAAGTAAGTGGTAACCATGGGTACATTTGAAATACATTTTAGATGCAGAAAAATGCTGAAAAACGCTCAATATTCACAAATGATAGATGTTACATGATCAAACTCAATCAACAACTTAAGAAAAACAGTAAAAATTATTGACCTTAAGTAATCAGGTATTGGCAATATAATTTCAAAAAATAACTTTCATGGTCGCCATGGTAACACAGTGTTACCATGCAAAATCTGTTTCTATGATTGGGTTAATGCTACTTTCTTGAGGAAAAACAATAAAATTCATGACTGGCACATATACATCCTTAGGACCTTGCAACACCGACAACATAAGAAAAATTGGGATTAATTGTTTTTGCAGTGTAACCATGGAAACAACGTACTAGTTGTTTAAAGTGATATATTTTTGCTGCTTTAGGAATTTACTTACCTTTTAATCAAGAAACATGTTATTTGACTAACCTTTAATAGTACTTATCTGGTGGAACTAAAGTTGAATATCATATATTGATAAAGTTTGTTGAAAAATACAACACTGTTGCTATGGTTACCAAGAAGAGAAAATGTTCGATTTTGTTATTAATTTTATGTCAATATAAAACCCTAGGTACTAGCTTTTTGCATCCAGTTAGAGATTGGGTGGTAGTCAAAATTGAAAGTCAGGTTAGTTGTTCATATATATCAATCATTAAAGTTTTGGGAATCTACATACAAGGGTACGTATCCAAGGAAATAGAATATTTTTCAGATTTTTATGCATGTTTTTTTGCCTTATTTCCATAGCAATGCTCTATTTAAAGAATTGAATTTGAATTTGTTGAAATGTGAACTAGAACTGTCCAAAAGGGACAAATACCCCCCGCTGGGTTTTTCAGAGAAAGTACCAAATCACTAATGTTTTCTAGATGTGAGAGGTGTTCACAATTTGCTTAAACATTTAGAGTGAAAATTTAATTACTCATTATATTTTTTTAATGAATGAAACTAAGGTGCAGCCTAATAAAACATCAATACTAATAATTACAGTGTTTTTTATTACATTGAAAAAATAGTTTGCAACTATCTGTCATCTTTGTGAGACATGACACTCTGCAAATTGATTGTTGAAAAAAAAATTATCATAATTAATTATACAAAATCAAATTGATCTTAATACCTTTATATCAAACTCATTTTAAAAATAAAAGGCTGGTTCCAGTAACTATGTATTTTGACAGACATAAATTACAATTAAGAGACTTAGACAACAGAGATCTTTATTTCTTTCTGCCCAATTCCCAGGAGATATAGATAAGACCTGCTTGATCAGAGATGCCCTAACAGCTTCCCACACTGAACTCATTAATTAATCTTTAACTGGATGCATGTCCATTCATTACTCCCAAGGGACAAATGGATTTACACTATCTGCTGTGTAATGTAAAAACTGTTTTTAATACTCTGTGATTTTCTTTTTTTAGTTCTAATGAGATGTTTTAAGCTGTAGTTCACATTTTTGTACAGATGTTCTAGATTCTATGTCTCAAACCTTAGACATGAACCCAAAACGACTAAGTCAATAAAAATGAAAAAAAAAACCTGTAAAATGCAGAAAAATTATCAAATAATGTTGAAAATACCAGGTGCGCATCTTCATATGGTAAATAATAAGTGTACAAATTTTCATACAAATCTATGCAATAGTCTCTGGGAACAGATCCGGACAAAACCACATAATAAGAATGAAAAAAAACACCTGTAAAATGCAGAAAAATTATCCAATCATGATGACAATACCAGGTGCACACCTTCATATGGCGAATAATAAGTGTACAAATTTTCAGACAAATCCTTGCAACAGTTTCCAAGAAATGGTCCGGACAAAATCTCGTCTACAGACAGACGGACAGATAGACAGACGGACAGACAGACGGACAAGCTGATTCCAATATACCCCCCCTAAACTTCGTTTGCGGGGGGTATAAAAATAAGGTCACACCAATGCCTTTAAAAATTGATCATCAGTTATATAGAAATATGCTTTTTAAAAAGATAGGATAAGATTAAAACACTAAGAGAGTAAATTTAAAATCCCTTTGTGGTATTAAAACCATGGCAACCATTGCCAACCTATTAGAAATATCATATTTTGTCCTTGGTATATGTTACAAGGATTTCAACCTATAATTGTTTTTATTCTTAAGTGTATGACTTTACAAAATTAAATGAACAAAATTATTACTTTTGAATACTTTGTTTCCATAGTAACATATGTAATAGTTGATTTATCAAACATGTTTATCATGCATATAAGACACCAGGCCTTCAACTTTCAGAAGCAGTCATTGCCACTTGTTTGCTTTGCTGCAAACGTTAACTGTGGGACTCTGAACATGTTGAAAAACGCCATTTTTCAAACTTTAGGACATGTTGCTATGGTAACCATGACACGTAGCAACCAATTTTTGCCTGATTTGAGTTAACGATATCAAAGACTTTAATCATCAGAGAGATTGGACAAATTCTGAGACTATGCGAGCCACAGCTCCTATATAAAAGTTCAAGTCATTACAGAGAATGGCTCTTAAGTTTTGGGTGAAACTGTTAATTGTTTGATGATTTTGTAGGTGAGAGTTGAGCTGGTTAAGAGCCCTGAAGACTACATTCCAGCAATGTTAGAAAGAGTGAAACCAGAATACATCAAAAACACATACAAAGTAGAGAACTGGAAAAATGCTGAGGATTTCTTAGAGCAGATTGCCAGAAAGTCTGGGAAACTTCTCAAGGTATAGACTCACACCATGGAGATGTTATATTAATTTTTTTTCTGGGAAGTTGCATGCCAAATATTTGTCCATAACCAATTTTTATCTTCATGTTTGATAATATTTCTAGTCATTTTTGAACTTAAAACTGTATTTTTTGTAAATGTATAGTAACTGGTTTTCCATTTACATGTATGTACCAGTATTTATAACAAATAAAAAAAAAATAGTATTAATTCTTTCACTTACAATTTTTAATATGACTTGTATATGCTACAGAATTGGTATGCATAGATTGATATGTTTTCCAATTATACAAATGATTTTCACCACCAGTTAGACATTTATTTTACTTTGCGTAATGCATTGTTTTTTTTTCAGGGTGGAGAACCAGATCTGGGAACTGTGGCCAAAATGGTGTTGAATGATTGGCAGAGAGGAAAAATCCCTTATTTTGTAAAACCCCCAGGGTGTGAGGTACTTAAAGAATGAATGAATTAGTAGCTACTAAAGTTATACTTTGCAACATGGGTTGGGACAATTTATGCTTTATAAACTGCCAAGTGTTTTAATAAATGCATAAACTATTCCAACCCAGGTTATACAAGTATAACTTGGGTAGCTTTGAAATTTATTCCTTGCAATTTTAATTTTCTAATATGTATCGTAAACAAGATGTGTTTGTGAAACACTGATGCCCCCGTAAGGCAACTTATAGCAAAGGTTAAACTTTCTCAAATGCAAATCAAATATGTTGGTACCCAAAGTACCAAAGTAAGGTCTTATCTGGAGGAATAAATCTGTGAAATATGAAAGCCCTAACAGCAACCATTGAATAGATATGGAAAAGGTTAAATTTTTTTCAAAAGTATGTCAAACATCAAGGTCAAGGTCGAATGGTCAAAATTAATGGTGCCCAAGGAAAGGCCTTCTCATAAGAAATATACAGGTGAAATATGAAAGCGGAAGCACCAATCGTTCAAAAGTTATGACCAAGGTTAAAGTTTTCCAAAGTAGGTCAAACTCCGAGGTCAAGGTCAAAGGGTCAAAGTTGTTGGTATCCAAAGAAAGGTCTTGTCACAATGATAACATATGTGAAGTATGAAAGCTCTTGCACCAACCGGTCAAAAGTTATAGCCAAGGTTAAAGTTTTCCAAAAGTAGGTCAAACTCTAGGGTCAAGGTCAAAGGGTCAAAGTTGTTGGTATCCAAAGAAAGGTCTTGTCAAAGAGTCAAAGTTGTTGGTATCCAAAGAAAGGTCTTGTCACAAGGATTACATATGTGAAGTATGAAAGCCCTAGCACCAGCTGTTCAAAAGTTATGGCCAAAGTTAAAGTTTTTTAAAAGTAGGTCAAACTCCTAGGTCAAGGTCAAAGTTGTTGGTATCCAAAGGAAGGCCTTGTCACAAGGATTACACATGTAAAGTATGAAAGCCTGAGCACCAACTGTTCAAAAGTTATGGCCAAGGATAAAGTTTGGTAAAATTTTGCAAAACTGGGTCAAACTCCAAGGTCAATGTCAAAAGGTCAAATATGGTGGTACCCAAAGAAAGGTCTTGTCACAAGGAATACACATGTGAAATATGAAAGCCATAGCTCCATTCAATCAAAAGTTATGGGCAAGGTTAAAGTTTTTGTAGACAAACAGACAGACAGAGAGACAGACAGACAGATGGACAGAGCAAACACTTATACCCCCGAATCTTCGATATGGGGGCATAAAAAACAAAACAATCCCCCCCCCCCCCCCCCCAAAAAAAAGAAGTCTCTAATGAGACTGTAGCTCTACTGGTTGTACTTATAAAGGAAGATAAAAGTAGCACTTGGACTTGAAACTTTGCAACAGCAATAAATAGAATAATGATCCTTGGTTTAGTCTCTTTTTGTGGCAAGATTTATTGCAATCTGACTAAAACTGTAGAAAGAGTAGCCTTTTAAAACAATTTTACAGAAAGTTCGATTTAAGTAACCATGGCAACATCATTCAAGAAAGTCAAAAAAAATCCAATAACGACAATAATGCATCTCAGTGTAGTCTACTTTTATGCCAAGTTATACTGAAATCAGACAAAAAGTGTAGGAGGAGTAGCGTTTTTGAAAGTATTTAACAAAAATTCCTATTTTTAGTAACCATGGCAACAGTGTTCATCGAAATCCAAAACTGGTAAAGAGAATTATGTATCTTAGTGTAGTCTACTTGTGTGCCAGGTTATACTGAAATCAGACTAAAACTGTAGGAGGAGTAGCATTTTGAAAGTATTTCAAGGAAATTTCTATTTTTTAGTAACCATGGCAACACCATTCATCGAAATCAAAAACCGATATATAGAATTATATATCTTAGTGTAGTCTTCTTGTGTGCCAAGTTACTAGTATATTGAAATCAAACCAAAACTGTATGTGGAGTAGCGTTTTGAAAGTATTTCACAGAAATTTCTATTTTTAGTAACCATGGCAACACCGTTCATTGAAATCAAAAACTGATACACAGAATTATAAATTTTAGTATAGTCTACTTGTGTGCCAAGTTATATTGAAATCAAACCAAAACTGTAGGAGGAGTAGCGTTTTGAAAGTATTTCCCAAAAATCTCTATTTTTAGTAACCATGGCAACTTCGTTCATTGAAATCAAAAACCGATATATAGAATTATGTATCTTAGTGTAGTCTACTTATGTGCCAAATTATGTTGAAATCAGACCAAAACTGTAGGAGGAGTAGTGTTTTGAAAAATTGTTTACAGTCGGACAGACAGCTAGACGGACGGACGGACGACGGTCACCTTACTATCGCATAAGCTCTTCTGCTCTCTGACCAGTAGAGCTAAAAATGACAAAATTGTACAAAATTTAATGCAATGTCAAGTAGATTGATATTTTTTTGATGTCAGTCATATTGTGACCTAAGCAATACAGGTTATACGATATAAATTATTTTTTTCTGCCAATCAAATGATGCATTGCAACCAGAAATAAATTATTTTGATCAAATTATAAATAACACTTCGTTTTCAAAAAAAGAGAAGACATATAAGAAATATGGGTAATTAATCTCTACAGTTCCAGTTTGTTGTACATCGTTCTGATGAATTGTTTAAAATGGCATCAACTGATACCAAGATTTTTGGGTTTTCTGTATTTGCATGATTTTAATGAAATGACATTATTGAGTAAATGACATTTTTAAGTAAGCATACTTAGTTCTAACGTGTTTGTGACAAGTTCAACCTATGTGTGCTTTATATTTAGAATGATGAACCGGGTTCCTCAGAAGATCAAAATACTGAAAACCAGACGAAAGAGAAAGTAATAGAGGAGGACACTCTAACCACGACAGACAAGAAGAAACAACCTGCTGTTCAACAAAACCTTACCAAAATTCAAGTAGAACCAGAGTTCCTGGAAGAAGACATCAAGAAAGTGGATGATGTGGAGGGCAAAGACGATTCTGACCTTGAGGCTGAGGCCAAGGACAGTGATGGGGAAGAAGGGGTCATTGAGGAGCAACAAAAGGAGAAGAAATCCACAAAAAAGAAAAGGAAGGGAATAAAAAGAGACAGCAATAAAGATGTGGACGTTTTGGACATTAAAAAAACTGAGAAAGGTGAACCGAGTGATAACGAATGTGTGTCTGACAGGTTACAACCAGGTGAGAGAGAGTCTGGGAATGTGTTGGGGGTGAAGGGGAGGAAAAGGAAGGTGGAGGATCAGGAGTCAGAACGGACACAGATTACTCACTCCACCAGCGGAAAATTCACAGTCAGAAATGATGGCCAGCAGAACCAAAAGAAAATGAAGTCAGGTAGAGTATTTATTGTTAAGATATAGAGGAGTATTTAATGACATTCATTTTTAAAGAAAAAAATATAGTGTTAGGCCATCTTCAAAATAATGTCTGTTTGCCCTCTGGTAGGTGGGAAAAAAAATTTCCCCCAGAAAATTTCAACTTACGCCTTGAAGAGATGAGAAAATTCAGACATAAAAAGAAAAAAAAAAGTTTCCTGGAGATTAAAAGAAGTTCTGAATCAGGCCATTTTTAGCTAGTCAGTCAGGAGGGGGGCAAACATTTTTTTTAAAGATGGTCTTATCAATAAATACATGTACCGATATTATAGTAATGGTTTAATGTTTTACAGTGAATAAGAGACAACAGAAATACGGGGGTAGCCATACTGAAGAGAACAATTCCTCCCAGTCCAAGCTCACTAGTAAACAGGTAAGCTTGCTTCTCAATTCATCTGTGATGGATATGTAATATTTGTTCAATGAAAATAATTATGTAATGTTCGGAGAAGCCTTATAATATTTTTATCCTTTTTTATTCTCCAGAAGCGAAGATTAGAAAGAGAAGCTCGAACCAAGAAAATTGGAACACACTTTTACACAACAACAAATGTTAAAAATAAGAGGAGATGATGTTTAATGTGATATATTACATTGATTTGTTAATGTCATTGTTACGATTTAACAGAAAATTCAATAAAATATGATGAAATTTAAACAACATCTGTATTTTGATATATGTACAAATTTTATGGAATATGAAATTTTCATTACATGTATAGTAAATTTAAATAACTTTGTACATGTATTAATATTTGATAAAAAGTCTGTATGACAAAAGTTCAGTCTTGTATTAAAAAAATAAATCTATATATGTACACTTTGACTGAGATCAATTAACCTCCACTTTCAAATGAACTGTACGACAATGATGAATGAAATTCAAACATTACACCCCCCCCCCCCCGAAATGTTTTAAAAAATTTTTGTTAAAAGGTGTAAAACTACAGAGTAAGGCATCCACTGGTGATGTGCATGTATAGTAAGTCAATTGATACAAATTAATGATTTAGGTTGAACAGCTTAATTTTAAAATTTGGGAACACATTTTCCATGAAAAATTTATTTAAACAGCTACATGTATCTGTGTACTAAGTTATTAAGTATACATTGTACTGCTCAGCCCATGACTTTTGAAAGTGGTCCAGCATAAATTCACAAAAAAAAAAATCATTTTTGAATAAGGCTATTTTGTGCATTAACTCAGAATTTTGATATTAGATACTTTATTTCCCACTTCAGGGAAATGACAAAAATGTGACGTGTTCTTTTTATAGTTGCAACGATCTTTCACTTTGTTGCTTTCCTATACATGCAAAATGAAATTATTTGGATTGAAATAAAGTTTATAGATATTAATTTTTCATGACAAATTTTACGTAATATGAATAAAAAATTGTAGGGAAGTTCAATAACAAAAAAAAAATTGTAACATTCATTAACGATATTTGTTTGTGAAAGTTTACCAGTAGCTATGATCTAAAAGAAAAGTTTGATTTCCACTGCAAAAAAGACACTGAAACACATTTCCTATTCATCTGCTTTATCTGCTGTGTCTGTGTCTAATTTTAATTCAGAGTCGTTTTCTATTCCAGTATTAAGATCACCTTCCTTTGTTTCCCGAACGTCATCTAAAGATGTATTTTTACTTTCCACTCCGTCAATGTATTTGAAATCACTTTTAGGGATACTTCCATTTGTAGCAGCCATGTCTGCCACAGTTTCATCACTTTTATCGACTTCACCGTTCTTTTCATCCGTTGTGCTTTCCGGAAGTGGTTCCGTTGATGACGTACCAGCAGTCGTGTTCTCTTGATCTGCTGATGGTTTTACTTCCACTTCTGTAGATTCGCCACTGTACACTGTGGTGCTTTGCTCCAATAATGGAACCGCTTCTCCACCATTCATCTTCTCATTCTCCACTGTTGCATTTATGGTACCTATATATATATATATATATATATATATATACATATACATATACATGATAACGATTTCAAAATCTTACATATGCCTTTTTTCTGTCAAATTATCCAATGGTATTCATTGAAAGGGTCTATTGATATTTATGTTTTTATTTAAGGACAGCTGATACAAACAAAAAAAAACGGATGTCTGGATTGATATATATTTTTCGACCTATTTTGGTTGTAAATGATGCGAATAATAAATTTCTAAAATATTAAGAAATTATAAACTTTCTATCATGTTCAAAATTCTACCTTTCTGCAACCATCCTTATTCATCCATACAACTCTTAGCCACTTTAATCCCATTATTGTGAAACTTATAATGAAAAATGAAAATCTATACGGTTAAATTAAGTTATTCATTTTACTCCTTTGAACATGACTTAAGTTGTTATTTTCAAGATTTTTGATAAAAGTTTGTTTGTATCATCTGTCCTTAAATGCTGTAATTACCTAGATTGTCTTTCATTTCAATGGCATGTCCATTACCATCTGCATTGGATTTTTTAGAATCCATTGGCTCTACTTCATTCAATTCATAATCTGCACCCTGGTTCCTTTTCCTACAAATATTCAAAACCATTAGCAGATTGGGGCAAAACAAATCTAAATTAACCAGAGTTCCATTAGGAAGAGAATTTACACACCACAGGATAAAGGCAATGATAAAGGCGATGACCAGCAGACAAACGATGATTATGACAACAGCGATGATAGTTGACTGCATATCACTGGATGGATTGGCTAGTGTAGCATCTGCCAAATATAGGAGGAAATTGGTACTTGACCCTTGGCATAAGTAAGTTAAACCGATGGCTAAGAGATCTGAGAACAATATTTACCATTTGATTTAGACTTGGTTGTACAATACATGCCCTCATAACCAGACTGACAAGCTGAACATGTTCCATTGGTTTTGTCGCATACCACAGCACAATTGGAGCTACATTTCTTCGTACAACCAGCGCCGTAGTAATTGTCGGCACAATCTGAAGGCATATATATTTAATATAAGAAAACATCATATACAGATTAAGGGGCTACTATTATACAGTGTAAAGTTATAAATCTTAATACCTTGATTACACATGGATCCAGTTTTGCCGACTGGACATGAGGAACAGGACCCGTCTACCTTGTTACACGGCATACCCATTCCACAGGTGTAGCAGGTGCCCGTGCAGTTATTACCATAAGTACCCGAGGTACATTCTGTAATAAATGACTATGTTAATCTACAGTTATTATCATAATTACCCGAGGTACACTCTGTAATAAATGACAATGTTAATCTACAGTTATTACCATAAGTACCAGAGATACACTCTGTAATAAATGACTATGTTAACCTACAGTTATTACCATAAGTACCCGAGGTACATTCTGTAATAAATGACAACATAGCTATGCTGTTTATTCGGCAACTCATTTTATCAGTGAAATTTTACCTAGAAACCTAATTCAATCCCGAAATACTACATGAACTTGAAATACCAATGTGCATTGGAACCAACCTGTTCTACACAAAGGATCTGTTTTTGTGTAGCCAGTCTTGCACGTGCAGTGCCCAGTCATTGTGTTGCATGTTCCAGTTTCACAGTTGGAAGAGCAGTTGAATGCACAGTCGATGCCATACATGTTATTGTTGCATGCTGAAAAGATTTATGAAACGAAGGTGCAGTAACAAATATCCAAATTTCATTTTCACTTAGATAACTTTAAACATGTTAAACATATACCACAGAGATTGAACTCATTGGTCAGAAACTTACTCTCGTTACAATATAAACCCTGGTAGCCTGCGAGGCATCTTGTACTATTAGATGTCAGATCACAAGCTCCATTGATGTGTGAACAAGACTGGATGCAATTGCTGCCACATTTAATATCGCAGTTATCTCCCGTATATGAATTGCTACTACAGCCAGATATACACTTTCCTGTATCCATCTCACAAGAACGCCCAGAGCCTGAGGACTGGCAGTTAGAACTGCATGTCATGGCGCATCTGCTTCCGTAATATCCTTCCATGCATGCTGTATAAAGATAAAGGAGTTTTTGGTATATTCCAACAAGGAGCTTATTTTGACAAAGGTTTAAGCCAATCTTATGAAAGATACATTGAAGATAGACTTCACAGGCGCACAGGAACTGGTGCGGTGGGTAATTTTGCCCTTTTATATACTATAGAAAACAAAGGTGATTTACAGTTGTTTCTCCTCAATAATTTGCCAGTATTTACCATACGTCAGAATTTACGTTTATGCCCCTCCCCAACTGAAATTGCTTCCTACGGGCTTGCTTCACATTCATGATTTGCACGCTAAGGTCTAGGATTTGGGAAAGGTTCATATTTTAAACTTATACGTGTTAAGAAATTCAGCGGTCAGTATTTACCTTAACTCACATAATTCTTATACTTACGGAAGATTTCTGTGATGCTATCGATGTACGTGAAGAAGATGTCTTGAGCGGATAGTGCAACATACCTCGACACGCTACTGATATTTGACCAACACGGAAATGAAGACATACTTCCACAGCCAGGTTTATTAACAACATTGTAGAAAACTCGGTATTTCAACCTAAAAATATTGCATAAAACCCTTAATGCCTCAAAAATGTTAAAAGGATGATACTGACTTGCGCAATCGAATTTAGTTATTTTGATATATAATCCTTTGAATAGGAATTACTCAACTTCAAAGATACTGAGTATTCGGGTGTAGATTTAGGATAATTTCATTTTTATTTCTCAGAAATATTTCTAAACCATGGCAAAGAACATCATAAGATTTCAGAAGTTCAATGTGACTCTGTGATAGTTTTGCATACAGTGAGTGTGTGGAGCTAGCTTCAGATGTCGAATGCTTCATTGCTTGATTTTGACAGAAAATCTCAACAGCAAATAATGACTCCAGTCGAACATGCGAATATCATCATTGAAGCACATCAAAACTTTGATATTATCACAAGTCTGAATTTTTATCGGAAAAAATATTCCACTCTCTACTAAAATATGACTAATCATGCTTTGCTGTTCTTGAGAAGAATATTTTTAGAGATCGATTTCTGATACATATGTAAAATTTTCAATCATTAATGTGGCTCCACCCTACCCCGGAGATCATGATTTGAAGCAACTTGAATCTACACTTCCTGATGATGCTTTCTTATCAATAAGACTAAACCTGCTTTTAATTTGCTGTTCTTCAGAAGAAAATTTTCAAGATTTTTCCCTATATATTACTATGTAAAACCTTAATCCTCTGGATATAGCCCCCCTTCCTTATTAACTCTATCCAACCCTGAAAGGTTGCTAGCAGGGATTATAATAGATACAATACAGTATTATTATTATTATTATTACGTGTATCAGTGTAGGGAGAAAGTAATTAACCAGGCTAACGAGTCCCAAACTTTACTGCAAATCATTAATTAATGCAAGAAAAAGGGACATTTTTATTTTTAAAAAATCATGGCACCTTATATTCGTGAAAAGTTTTTTTGTATGGATTTTTTAAATATTTTAATTATGAATTCTAAGCTTGCTCATGAACATGAACACCGTAATATTCTTACGAAGTTGCAAAATCTGCAGAAGGGTTGATCATTAGAGCTCCTGTGCCGGCATCAAATCTATCCGTGGTCAACCGACGAACAAAAAACCCCGGAAGTCCCTCCTGGATATTGAGATTATAGGGCAAGTATTTGCTGAACAGCGTTGGAGTGGATTCATTTAATGCTGTCTCATTGTCACTAATGCTACTATTCCTTAAGACAAAATCGAACACGACTACCCCGATGATGTTCGAAGAGTCTCTTTTGTTTGATTGCAAACAATCCAGTCCATCACTGCCACAGCTTTCATTACTACAGAATTTCAGCGAAGTTGCATTAGATAAATCCACACATAAGTTGTCGTCGAAATAACCAGTACACAAAAAGGCCAAGTCCCTGATAAGCGTTCCATTGTCGTACGTGCCGTTACAGACGTCAAAGGTTTTGTTTTGACAGTCAAAGCCATCAAACAGACACAGTTCGTTGTCACATTCACTATCACACAAGCCGTTAGCAAACTTATTCTTACATTGTATACAGTCCTTCCATATGCAATTTCGATCAAGCTGCAAATATTTAAAATATTAGGAAGTTAATTCAAAGTGAGTAATACGCCGAAAGGCTAGACAGGTTATTAGCAAGATTTTTTCGTAAATAATTGTTACCTCACATCGAACTTGACAATTGTAGCCAGTATATTCTACGGGACATTGGCAGGTGTAGTAACCTATAAATAGTAACATTTTTAAAAAAAAAATAAGAGAAAAATATTTTCGACAAAAAAGGAAGATACATGCACTGAAATCCAAAAGAAATACTTTGTCTTTCATTATTTTCGTAATTAGTCAGTTTTTCATTGATTTTGAGAACTATGATCTGTAAACTAAATATGTTTAATAATTTTACCAGGTACTTGGAATATAAAAACCTTCTATTATATGCACCAGGCAAAGAGTAGAATTCCGGATGTTTACAATTCGTTAATCCTGTGCACCTGATTAAAAAAAACTGTTTCCCTTTTATTCTTTTAAAAAGTTTACAAATATACCTGTTTTATCCATGCACGTTCCCCCGTTTTGACACGGAGATGAGCTACATTCGTTAGTTGTGTTGATTGCACAGGTGGGGCCACTTGTCCCCACGGGACACACACACCTACACGAGGTACCAGCATCCGGGACTGACACTCCGCCATTTTCACAACCGCAGTCAACTTTAAACTGGCAGCTATCTCCTACAATGGATCGCTTCTTTATAAATATGGCAAAGACCTATAGGGCCGGGATGAGTTTTAGTCTTTACAAAAAGCTTATAAACATGATATTATAATCAATTTCTTTCCTGTGAATGAATTTAGGTTTTATATGTCATGTTGTTTAAATTTTGAATTTACCTGTTGGTAGTAAATACAATAGATACAATAATTACAACATGAAAATCAAATTTTATATTTACTGCCACCCAGTATAAATTCAAAATTTGCAACACGACACATATATATAGTAACCTGTTTCCATTTCTAGTCCTGTTTCCATTTCTAGTCAAGCATTTCGTATTTAGAGATAGGAGAAACCTTTACATTAACCATGTAGCACGATATTGTCGACACTTTATATCTGTCATTTTTCTCTACTTTCATTGTAATGGTAATGTTTACTGAGTATATATATTGTCTCAATTCTTTTCTGTATCATTGAGTACATCTCTGCTTTACTGCTGTATTAAATTTTAATTTTATTATGATTTGGCGATAGCACAGTGGTCGAAAGCAATTCTTATCACCTACTGATATTTTCATACCTTTGCATTTACTACTGTGGAATCATTTTAATTCGTGGGGGGCAATGTTCGCGAGCAAGCAAAATTTTACTTGTTCGTGGGGACGTAATTTCGTGGGTTACTCATTTATACGGTAGATTCAATGAATCAATATGCTCACAAAGTAAACGTTCGTGGGGGGGGGGGGGGGGGGTTAATTCATGGCTAAGGGTGACCTACGAAATCCACGAACATTGGTCCCCCACGAACTATGATGATTCTTCAATATATCCTGTATTTTCTTTAGTCGTTTACTCATTAGCTAATTTAAAAGTGATACTATGAATTATTAAAACAAGCAGACTTTTACAATTTTGGCAAGATATTTCAATATCTGTAACATTTTCCTACGTGGGCAGCTTTCATAAATCTGTAAGATGTGGTCAGCCAACCAAGTCTGAATGGACATTTAAACTATGAAAGATTGGTACACATGATTCCTTCAGATTACATGCAAAATATACCCACCTTCTTTAAGGTAAAAATGCTTAGAAAATTTCGATATATACACGGTAAAAAAGAAAAAAAAATGAACATTCATTTTCATATGTGACTTTTTCCGGCAAATAGCTCTCTCGTAAAGGTAAATACTTTCGAATTTCCGTATACATCCTTTGTTTAAAATTTATCTATTCATTTTATTTACAATTCTGTCACTCTTCCACATTTTCTTTTTGACTGGAGCGTGTCTGGATGTTTTTCCACGCTCAATATAAGCAATATAACTGTTCATATAAAATGATGCACAAGATTAGTATTCTAAGACAAATCTGATCGATTAATACTAGTATTTACTACCCTCTAAAGTTGAAAAAATACTAATAAAATTCCTTGAAAATAAATTACCATAGTAACTGCTATTGCAAGGACATGTTCCGTTGCATTCTGGGAATGAGCCGCCAGTGTAACACAAAGCACTACAGTTGGTCATTGCTTCACAGTAAAGTCCAGCATAATCTCCTTGGCATTCACATGTTGGGAATTTATTGAATTGTCCATAGACACAACTTCCATTATTTAAGCATACGGATGTACTGAAATGTTTAAAAATAGAGTTAAACAATCGAACATTGCTAAAGCTGTAGATGTCCACAACAGAATCACACACTAGATACCAAAACAGACGCCTTTCCCTTTCAAAACTTATCTCTTGACTTTTTTGCCTTTAACTTAAAATTACATAATGAGTCAAAATCAAGTGTTCCTTTCAAAATAATAGTATCTGAAAACAAAAGATTAATATGTGAAATATGAATAAAGGGAAGTTTTGACAACTCAACTGCACTGTTATGCAAGAAAAGAACTGCAAAATGTAAGTGCCGGAAAAACAAAGGCTGTATCTATTGCTGAGTTGTTAATGTCAATATGTCAACAATCTCAAGGTCACGCGACTTTAATTCTTAAACAACATTGAATTGGAGCAAGCGAAAGTGAGGAATAAGTTTTGACCATCTTTATTGAAGATTGTATCAAAATCCTCGGTCATCCGACATTTAGATCTATGGAATTGACACCATGGTAAATTCTTCAACTTTTCTGCGCATGCGTAAAATAAAGAGGAAGAAGTGAAGCAATATTTTTGTGTTTGGGCAAACAAAAATTATTTTTACTTTTATTTTTTTCCTTAAAAGTAGATTTTTTTAGGTTCTGAAACCTGTAATTTCTGAAACCTAATATCTTCAAGAATTGAACAAAATTTCCACTTTTGTCAATTTTCCTCCTTTTCCGTCACGGTGTCTCTTTAAGATTCCAAAGTGATGATCGAAAGTTCATTGTTCTGTGACCTTGACCTTTGTATATATTCCATGAGTCAAGATTACACATAAGTAACGAACAACAACATCCTTAAGTTTAAACCCAAGAATTGGAGAGTTACATCCCGAACACGATTTTGTAACAGACACCTGGAAGTACATTCGGACAGAAAATCATTTAAGACTACCCCCTCCCCCCTTCTAGTCGTAATATAGTGGATTTAACTTCCATTTCTGCTTGATTTACTTATCAAATTATTAAAACTAAGTAGCAAACTAGTAGTTTGTCATAGCAATTAAATCAATTAAGAATTAGTATTTATACAAATTACAATTTATTACAATGCTAATTATATGTAACGCCACATTCATAATTTTAAAAAAGCGGCTACTGTTTTGGTCCTACTATGCTTCTGTAGCTTAAATCACATCTCTTATCGAGTAGGTTATTGACAAGTCACAAATGCCAGACAGTGATATATACCACATACTTGCAGCGGAAGATAGAAATACTCACGACTGAGTACACAAATCGAGGCTATACTGGCACTCGTTTCCGGTATAACCATTCGTACAAATACAGACTTCCTGCGTCCCTTGAAAATCACATGTACCATTGTTTCTGCACATTTTATCACAAGATAACTTAAGGTTGCACGTCAAACCCGAGTAGCCTGGCTGACAGATACAAGTCGATGTGTTGAGGTCACAACGTGCGAAATTATCGCATGTGACTGAAAAAAAATTAACTAAATCAAAATTTCTTGTCAAAAATAATATATGTATGCAAGAGTTGAAGGAAAGAATTTTGTTTTCTTTTGCATAAACACCTGCACAAACATGATTAATACAAATACATTTTTCATAGATCCATAGACTCAAAACAACGCAAACTGAAAAAAAAAAACAACATAATTTCTAATTTACATTTTGACACCTTTCAGTATTTCCAAAGTTGGGTGTTATAAACGTTAATTTTATTTAACACTTTGAAAACATGTATGCCATGCCAACTCGTTGCGAGGGGATATAATAATAAAATTTAGTGATAAGCATACGTACCTGAGCCACAGACGACTCTTTTGTTTCTATTGACCGATTGACTGTCATCACAGAAGAAGTTTCCATTTGTGTTCTCACAAGTGCCTTTCGTACACGGGGCTGAACCTGGATTTAATGAATTCCGAATGAATGTAGATATGTTTATAGATATTTCATTGTTAGTGTGCATGAGTCAGTAATGCTTAAAAATGCTTCTGAAACTGAAAGTTTTACGTTGCTAATACTTTGGTTGCTAGCTCGAATCTGTCTCTTCCTCGAGTTGAAAGAAGCATTTATTGATAAAACAGACATTTAAATTAGTATCGTTTTTGAAAAAGGGGACCAAAGAGGAGAGCCAGAAAAAAAGTTGACAACTTAATTACCTGAAAAAAAAAACTAAATAAATAAATAAGGAAAAGCGTCTAAAATCGAAAATCCTATTTCGTTTGGGGGGAGGGGCGGGGGGTGGGTAGGTTCTAATTTTTTTTTTTTTTAACTTTTTTAACAACCAAATTTTGTTAATATATTCACCCATTACCCTTAGTTGACATAGTGCAACAAATACAGTGGTGGACCAGGCTTAATCTACATTTCCAACAGTAAAAGGTTATTATATTTGGAAAAAGTTGTTGAAGGGGAGCCCTCCCCCCCCCCCCCCCATATTACGTGCTTGTTATAAATCAAGTATTTTTTCTCGTATTAATGCTGATAGGTGTATATCATTGATATGCGTCAATCATGTGTCCTTGTTACACCTGACTGCCTTATGATTAAAAGATTCGGGTTTTTTTGGGAGGGGGGGTGAGGTACCATGAACTAGTATGTTAATTACTTACCCTGGCATTCGTTGACATCTACACACGTTCCCAGAATTGTTGCTTGAAATCCCGAAGAACAGTTAAAAGCGTGGGCACCTGAAATTAAATTTCATTCAAGGTACATCTACTTCAGAGTATAACTTGATACAATTACATAATTATTAGCTTATATACAATGCATTCATGTTTTTTCTGTGTATACAAGGGAACTCGAAATTTGGTCAGATGGGCTCTTTGAGGTAATTGCTTATAAGATTTTGTTTAAATTTTATTCGTAGGTTAGACCTATCAGTAAGTTTTCTTTAAATCATTCCAATACAAAACGTTGATTGAAATCAAAAAGATTAAGCGATGTCTAAGCTCGCAAATTATACTTTAAAATATCTGTCAGCCTCAAGTTTGCGGAACCTTTATGATCTGAAAACAATTATTAAATTGTACATTTTTGGGTGGTTTCCAACATGTTTTTATAGAACTAATAGACATTTTCTTCTGATACTTTGTTCATATCAGAAATGTAAAGAAAATATAAGCCAAAAATTTAAAGAAAATGTAAAGCAAAAACTTCTACACGACTTTGAATTTGCATCTTGCAGAATTTAGGATTTGTGGCCAAAATTTAGCGCTCATGTATTTCTTCTGTTTCTTATTAGATAAATGGGGGAAAAACCTGCATGGAGACCTTGTGAAATGATCGTTAAGTTGTATTAAGTGCAGTTTCTTATGCATCTTTATCTGTTATAAAGCACTTTAATCTAATGTGTAGTAGTGCTCCTTCAATAAAATTAAGAATCATCAAAACCGTGAAGTATACAGTGCAGGGAACTAATTTTGTTACAAAAACCAGCATCAGCATAAGCATTAGTAGCATCAGGATCGAGCTAGCATCAGCATCAGCATTTAAAAAACAGCATTACCAGGATCAGCATCAGCAAGCAAAGGATAAAACCAGCATTGACCTACATAAAATCAGCATTATCCTACTAGCATCAGAAAATCAATGAGTTTTAATTCAGTAAAAAATCAAAAAAGAAAGAAAGAATGTTGGTTAAAGTATTCACATTATTGATACATAGTGAGATATTATGATCAAATAATTGTAAAAGGCACTTTTATTGCTTTAAACGGCAATGCTGAAATTCATTATCTACTTCCAGTAGCATGATGCTACTTCAGGTAGCATTGACCTAATTATAAAACAGCATCAGGATAAGGATTACTAGCATTAAATCAGCAAGCAAAGGAAGCATTCAAATCAGCAAGCAAAGGAAGCATTCAAATCAGCATCGATGCTGTAACAAAATTAGTTTCCTGCACTGTAAATTACAATGTTGTAGATCCTCTAGATTTCATATTCATTGTGAACGCTATAACGGATTCGCCCTTCAATTTTCCGTTTCCGCCATTAATCATCTAACGTGTTTAATATAATTACTCACTGAGAGGATTATATGATTTAGCAAAAGAAAAAAAGGGAGTGGACATGTTTACTTTATATAAGTAGAGCTTGTTATTTCAAAGAATTTCATCCTTCCTTGTTCATCTTTAGAAACACTATTAAATTTTTGCTATCAGTCCCCAACCACTGAAACAGGAAGGAACTCCTTCTCTGTCCCTCTGTCTGTCTGTCCGTATTGCTATCTGTCTGTCCCTCTCTTTCTATCAGTCTGTCATATTGGGTTTTTCGCACTATTTTCTACATACTCGCAGATACTGAGCTGATTTTTGATTTGAGAGTCTATCTGAGATCTTGATGAGTACAGATCAATTTTGATTTTTTTCCCCCGCTTCGATTGTTTTTTGGCAGAATAATTGCTGCTTTTTAAATTTTTTAAGGGGAACCAAATTACACCTGCTAGTAGGGACCGCTTGTTGAGAATGGACCCCTTAAAATGCAGTATTGGGGTTGATATGAGGCTGGTATTTTCACTGTTACGTGCTTTCCTTCCTGAGTCATTATTATTCTATTAATATTAATGCGTAATACGGGTACATACGGGTCGTGCTAGGTCCTTAGATCCACCCCTCTAATTCAAGAAATAAGTTGTGCCATCCACATTGTAAAAATTAATTTTTTTTTTATTAAATTAAAACTCAAAAAGAATTTATAACATAAAATCGCTGTGCATACACATGTACATGCATACGCGCGCACAAAAAGGTACATTTCTGGAATTATACGTATATTTCCTTGTGTAGATATGAAACTGATTTGGATCTTGTTTCGTATGCCACAATTCTCCATACACGATTGACATGCTTTTAACATCGGCAATGCTGATTATTTTTAAGTGACTGTTCCTTGCTTATTGTAAAATTTCGTCCACACACTAATAATTATTAAATAATGTCTCATTGTTATTAAATGATATTTATAATCCCCCCCCCCCCCCAAATCACATCTTTAAAATCCACATGGAATTCGTTGTTTTAATTCTGGAGTTAATTAATTTTGGAATTAGTTAATTACTAGTCTGCTGGAAATCCGAAGTGCCTTAACGTTACCTACAAGTATTTAGCTACTTAACAAAGCATTTTTGGTTACATATAAAGAAACCAAACTGGTTAGCAATTTATTAGAAACATTCTATGTACATGTTGTTAATATGCAATTCATAATCCATCAACTCAAATATATTGTTTGTATAGAAACTTGAAAAAGCATAAAAATAAATGGCTATTTCTGCAGAAATGTTTTTGTTACATAAATTTTCTTCATGAGATCAAAATTATTTTCTCAAGTATATTTCCTTACCCTGAAAAACACAGACAATCCAAAGGAAGAAAAAATAACCCATGTTCATCCTTATAGCGCTGCAAGTTGTAACAAACAAAATTAGCTTTGTGTCTGACTCAAAGGCGACAAAGTTTCTGTAGTCTCTTCTTCCGGGGTGGGGGCTAAAAAAGTTCACACTTTTAAATTTGAACAAGCTCTCTAGTTTTTGCCAGTATATGTTATCCCGGTGAGTGTGTGATGGGGAGACCTCTTTGTTACACAGTTTGCCTCCTCTGTGAAGGTCACTTTCCTCTCGCGGGACTTCCTGTAGATTCATGGTCATTTCCTATCAAGATTCGGATGTATTTATCTTTCGCCACAGCTTACACATAATTAAAGTCGAGATATGATGGAAACCATGAAACGTTGTGACGAATTACAAATCAACACCAGATTCTGAATAGACAGCAGCCCTTAAGATTTTCAAACTTCACTCTCTGGTACTGACATGACAGGTTGATACATCAAAATTCTAGAAATTTTGTTTGGCAGTTTCATGCATTTTTCCCCTGAATTTGATAATGGATGGAGACAGCCGAAAAATATACATATTTTTTAATCTTAAAATTCTATATCGGGGATACTATTAATAACTGGCATTATTTTTTACTGGCTTCCTTGTACAGTAGCGTGAAAGAGCTCAGTTATAAAATAATGCACTGAAATTGACCCGAGCAGAATAAGTTGTAATCTAGTATTGTGTATTTTCAAAAATGCACCTTTAATCAAATCATGGTAGAAATGCTCAAATTGTCCTCACAGTTTTACTGAATTTAAGGTATTCTTTCTTTTTAATTTTTTTATTGATTATGTGTGAGGTTTAATCGAATTTTATTGTGTAATCCAAGATTCGAGTTTTTTTTCTCAATAAAGATGTAAAAGGTTAATTTATGCAAAAGAGGAAGGGAGACATAAAACAACGGTGTAAGGAACTCGAAAATTGATACTTGGTCACCTCATCGGTTGTAATATAGGAAACAATTGTACTTGTATCAGCACCATTTTTTGATTAATAGTTGTTCATGTTGACAGTTATTCATTTTGATAAGATTAACCCAACCTTTAATTCTTGTTCGCTATGTTTCACTAAAAGGCACTTGTGTCCAGGATTTGCTTCATCCTTAGACGATAACTTCCTGAGAGAAACTCATATGAATATATATATATATATTATTTACTTTCGGTATTTAAAGGATTCCTAATTTTTTTCTGCTGACTGACGTTTTTCATACTAATTTTTAGGCCATTATTTACACATGAATTGTCGACGGATTTGATTTTTCCGTTTTTACCCGATCATGACCACAGGTACTTGTGGACAGGACCCCCCCCCCCCCGATATTGGACATTTGTTGGACATTTTTTCTCAAATTATATTTATTGCACTTATTCATCATGTGTACCATAGGAAAAAGTCGTGAAAACCCCAAAATAATCGTTCCACACAAAAATACCCCACTATACATTATAAGAATGTACACAAGTACCTGTGATCATGACAAGGAATACACGCCGGATGTGAGCGATCGGCAGGGAATGCTCACTCCTCCTGATCCCACCTCTGATGTTTTAGAGGTCCGTGTTTGCTCTGCTCCAAAATTTGTATAGTTTAAAGGACTTTTGAGCTTGAATACTGTTCGTTATCTCCATACATTTCATGTCAATGATCAGGTGGAGCCAATCTCGGTTTTCTAAGCCATAAAGTTACAAAATAAACATTATTATAAACGCGAATCCGGGAATTTTTTTCATGGAGGAGGGAGGTGGAGACTCCAACTCATTTTTTCCAGTAGAAAAAAAAATGACTCAGTCTTACTGACTTATAGATATGTCGCTCTCCTTCCTATGATGTCTCGTCTCCTGTTGACTGGCAACCTATCAACCTATGCTTCTTCCTTATATATATATATATATATATATATATATATATATATATATATATATATATATATATATATATATATATATATATATAATTATATTCCAACATTGTAATTTTTCAATCATGATACTGTTCATTAGAAATGAGGAGGGATGTTGTTCCGACAGTTTGGAACTACTGAGACATACATGTAGCACTGTCCATAGGCACTTTTTTCGATAATAATTTTTTTAACCCATAGTTTAATAATAACAAAAGGTATTCAGCTCCGAATTACATGGAGTCCCCCCCCTTCCCCAGAATCGTCCTCATTTTACACTTTCAGAGGAAAGGCAATGGGAAACTATTTAATATACCTGTCTTCTTAAGCAGAATTTAATTCTAATGAATCAATTTCGACTTCTTTATCAAAATTTTCCCGAACTTTTTCGTAGACCTCTGACTTTTCCCTTAGCTCTATAACACTCGGAACTCGAGAGTTACACGCTAGAGGCCTGTTCAACAGAGCGAACGTTCGCGAGCGCTCGCCAAAATTCCTTATCCCTCCAACAGAAATGTTCGCGAGCGCTCGCTCTGTTGAACAGGCCTCGGGTGTCGTTTTTGCATCACTTCCGTAATTTCTACTCTGACATTTCCAAATCTTGTAGCATTTTTCACGTTTGACGATGAATACTCGGATTATTATGGAATGCCTGGGCAATTGAATAGCACGATTAAAGACAAAAATATCTACCGAAACAAGATATCATGACACATTTTGGTGACATGTATTAGGTAAATGATATTTCGGGCCTGATAGCCAAGAGGGGTCCAGTGTAAACAAATGGAAGTGACTTACCTTCTCTATTTTATAATACCGTGGGTATGATTTTTTAGTAAAACGTTAATTCTGCGTTGTTTTTTGGATTTTCTTATGGAATACATTGTAAATGTGTACTAGAAGAATAATTTATGAAAAAAATACATAAAAAATATTTTTTGACCTGTGGGGTATATTCGGGGGGGGGGGGGGGTCCTGTCCACAAGTACCTGTGGGCGGATCAAGGAATTTATCTTAAAAGGGGGTGAGATAGAGTGTTCCAACACGCTATCACTGAAAACTCTCCGAGTCAAACAAAAAAAAAATAACAAGCGACAAGAACAAAACAAAAACAAACTAATAAAATCCCAAAACACAAAAAAAAACCTATTTCGCAGTGGTGTGTGAGGGGTGTGTGGTGGGGGGGGGGGGGGTCTTATCTCAAGCCGCTCTCCTTCATATAATTACTTCTCCATATACATGTACGAGGGTTGTCCGGTAAAATCGTGGACAAAGCGTTTTTCTAGAAAAATAATGGGCGCACTAAGCTGAAATTTTCAGCAAATGTTTATTCATCATATTTAGGTGCATCTTAATTAATTGTTTTGATAAAATATAGGCAAAAATAAAGATTTTATTATGCTTGAATGTGCACAGGGTACGGTCCTACGGCGCACGATCAAAAACCCAGGGTTTCTTTAGCGAATACACGAGTATTATCTCGAAATAAAAGTATTATATAGATAAGGTTGGGGTAAAATTTATGCTATTTTTAATCCACTATCTATTATTTCGTCTTTTCTAAAATATCAAGGCATTTGCTTAATTTTTGGCAGTTTACCGAGCATTTGAAATGGGAAAGTGGTAAACGCAACACACGAAAAATGGCGACTTTTGGTGACGTTACGGCGCACCGGAGAGCAGTTCAGTTTGATTTAGATGTAGTAATGACACCCTAAGAAACTTTAAATGACTACAGAAGAATAAAAAATGTCACTAGATCCTTAGTATACAAGTGAAATGGAAGTTTTCTTAGCGGAAGCTTTTTGATCGGGTCCCCGGGTAGAACAAAACATACGGACAAACAGCTACTGGCATAGCAAAAGACGCTGTCACTGTAGACCGTCGATATAAGAAGCCTATTTAGTTGAATGATAGTGAGAGTACTGTCCATAACTTACTAATAAATATGTAGAAGGTCCCAGTTGTGTGCAAGATTGGTTCCTCGGCTGTTTATGGAGGAATATAGGGAAAATCAAGTATGTGCATCAATAAAATCCCCGAATTTAAGTGGGGCTTATCCTACTTTTATTTAGCAAAGAGAAAACGTGACGCTGCTTTAGACACTTTGACGTTATCATCCGTGCGCCGTAAGGCGATACCACATATAACATAAAGTCTCATATTTTGTTTATTCGAGCATATTCTATTTGAAATTTGTGTTATGTATATTGATGGAAAATGTACTAAAAAGTAATGAAAGTTTTAGAACGCAGTGATGATTATTTTTCAATCTAGACAACTTGTCCACGATTTTACCGGACAACCCTCGTATATTAAATAAAACTGAAAATTCTAGGGGTGTCCGGAACATCCCTCCTCCTGCACCCTCCACTGGTTTCGCGTATGTGCGTTAAGTTCATATTTAATGGTCTCTTGCCGAAATTCTAAACTACACAAGGTAAAAGAGATTTTATTATTATTTCTATGAAACGTTTAATTACAGAGAGTTACATATGCATAAATAAAGATTAAAAGTTGAGCAATCCATATTTTGTCTGGAAATAACCGATATCCGGAGTTACTCGTATCTCCATTATAAATGACAAAAGTTCCATTGATGACTTTAGATCCGCCCTGCTTTTGAGGTAGCTGGTCTCCGACATAAACGACAATTGCCCCTGTACAAAATTAGAAAAGATATAAAATACAAGAGTGTGAGGGACACAGCGCACCCCCCCCCCCCAAAAAAAATATATGTTTCAGTAGATGTGTCAATAGGGGTCAATACATTATAAGCGGATTCGCTATAAGCGTGTTTTACTGTATTCTGAACTCCATAGACCAGTAGATGTTGGACCGTTAATTAAATAAATCAATAGATAAAAAAAATCCAGTTGGGTATGAAAAGATAAACAAGTAAGTTAATTACTAAATGGACTGGTCTACCACAAGTAATTGAATTATTTACGAGAATCCCCTATGTATGTGAAATAAGTAAAATATTTCTGATTTGATAAGTATTGCAGTTACTCAGTTCTGAAGAATTAAATGTCACTTATAAATTCATAGAATTAAGTCCCCGTCTGCGTTCATGTTTTTTTTTTTATCCGTCAAGATCATGGGTTCCTGATTATCATGACTATATATATATATATATATATATATATATATATATATATATATATATATATATATATATATATATATATATATATATATATATATATATATATATATTAGGGATGTCAACGAGTACCCGGTTAACCGGGTACTCGATCGAACGTCCGAGTATCGAATACTGAAATCGCTACTCGGTTACTCGGATGTATATTATTTTTTTCATATTTCAAAGAACAAAGTATATATTTTTTTAAATCAAAAACTTATAAAAATGCAATTTCAAAATGATTTGTCCATGTTTCCTTGTATCTAGCGTCACCCACACCTGTTAATACTCGTTATTGTCTGTGGCCATGCACTTGTTTGTACAGTAATTATCACTGGTACACAGCTGTTATCACCTCTTGTGATCCGTTATTTTTTGAATGGCTTTAATGATTAGTATTTAATGAACATTGTTTAATTAGGGTTTATTATCCTAAAATAATTTAGTTCAGTCGCATACGGTAGCAAATTCGGACATGCAAAGAAATGCCGCTACCACTTCAAAAGTGAAAAAAAATATTAGGAAAGAATTAAAGATTTAAAAAATGTTTAGAATTAGCTGTGCAAAGTAAACATAGCGTATATGGGGAAAACAACCAACATACAACTATTAATTAAATAATATACTGTACGTCTAGCGATCTCGACACCGTCTCTTTTTCCTTTATCTTTTGTGTTTATTTGATAAAAAAATTTAGTGAAAAAAAATCATTTTCGTTTTCGTTTTTGCTCGATGTTTGTGTACAGGGATAGAAAACGTTAAAAAAAACATCGATGGGGTTAAACAGGGCTTAACTGGTCTCAGTGAAATGAACACATTTGTATTTTACAATTTTACCGAGTACCCGGGTACTCGATCGGAAAATCGTCCGAGTAACCGATTATCAAATATTGACCAATTTGACATCCCTAATATATATATATATATATCTTTCGCGTTTATACGCGATCGTTTCGCATTCGCATTATAACACAATTTTTTTTACCTACGAAAATGAGCTCAATGGGCTTTCGTAATTCCTTGATCTCATACAAATCATTCCAAAGTATATTAGACTTTTGACCTTTTTTAATATACATTTTAACATTTCGATTTCCTTTGTCATTTTACAAAACGGTGTACTGTATATTACTCCCAGGCCCTTAGAGCGCGGGGGGGGGGGGGATCACTTTTTCTGAGTATAGTATTTCTCTACAATAAATTTTCATTTAGATGCTGGTCCCCCCCCCCTCCTACATTTTGTTGCGGTATGGTCGAGCACTGGCAAATTCCAGGATTTGGACAGTTAATTAAGGAGAGTTTGGTTTTTTTTTTAATTTTTGCTTGTCAGATTATTTTGGGAAGTTCTCCTCTCCCCTTCACTTTTGGAACACTGTTTGGAACACATTTTTTGGCCTGTCAGATTTTTTTGAGAGGTTGGCCCCCATGCACTTTAGAAACCATTGTTGCTACGGACTTGACTCTGTGACTACCAATACAGAACAAGTAATGTATACATGTACCTGGTTTTACTATCCGTCCCTTTCCTTTCACATAAAGCGCCATCTGATGAGGATATATTGTGAAATGTCCGGTAACGGAAGCGCCACTCTTTATTCCGTACCTCTGAAATCCCACCAACTTTTGGATAGGAGTGTCAGCTGTCGCATTTTGCCATGAAATGTATAATTCAGCAATCTAGGGCAGATACATGCATTAATTATAGTTCATTCACGATTGAGGATAGAAAAAAAGGAACAGGTTTCATAGTAGGTCAAGCTACTAGAAACATTTACCATCAAAGTGGACTTCTTTCTTTCATATTTTTAAAGTATGCTTTCGACCCGTGTGCATGCCAATCAATATTGCAAATATTGCAGAATTCGATCTTTTCAATTTGTATTGTATATATATATATATATATATATATATATATATATATATATATATATATATATATATATATATATATATATATATATATATATATATATATATATATATATATATATTTCTATTCGTATTGTAATAACCATTTGTATTCCTTTCTAGTATTTTTTTATTTGTTTTTTATGATTAGAATTAGGGTATATGTATACGTTTATTTTCTTTCTAATTACTGGCATTTGACCTCAAGGGTTAAAAATGAAAATTCTGAAAGCTTATTGCACATATACAGGGCACCACCAATAATCTTACAAAAGGTGATTTTGATATCGCGCTAAATGTAAGAGCTTTGGGAACAAGTTTTTTTTTTAATAGAAAAAAAAATCGTTTTTCGACTCCCATTTGGCCCCTATGGTGAAAATAGAAAAAAAATATAGAATACAAATTTATATAAATTTCAATCGAAATAATGAAATATGCAATGTACAATACGAAAGGACAAAAATATGAATGGAAATCCGAAAGTTCGAATATTGCAACGTTTGACATACCATAACTTGATTCTTTTTCACATTGCTGTGTGTAGCAGAAAAATATACCTGTTCGTGGCTTGAGACGATATATAAAAGCTTACAGATTAACTTTCGTGAAAAACAAAATGTGATTTTTTCTTTTCTTTTTCCGCAAGTCTTTCACTACTAAGTATTATTATGTAATACTAGTAAATAAACTGCTTAGCATCATACTAATATTCTCATATCTTGTTCATCAACGGATATTACAATATATTGACATCATATTTAGAAGAGAAGAGCTGTTTGCTTACTATAAATGGAATTTTTCTATAATTCTGCAAAATTTGAAGTTACAAAAGACAAGGATAAAATAAAATTCTGGCAATTTATTTTCAATGCGCGGCAAAAATCGATGAAAATGAAAATTCTATTGAGGAATCGGGGATACCCGGTAGGGGGATACCCGGTAGTCACTGGACCTAGTTTGTGTACTTCATGGCTGTGCAAGCCCAGAGAGATACCGAACTCATGAGTGTTTGATTCTCTTTATTAAGTCTTTGCTGCAAACTTCTAATTAAAGTATATGTGCATTGTACTTGAAATCATGCTGTATGAACATTGGTACTTATATCTTATGTGGGGTATGTACATGTAGCAACCGCTACTGATAAAACGACACTTAGTGTGCAATTGCAAGAAATGAAAGAGTTAAATGTATATCATAAAGCGGTTGAGAATGTCAACTATTAATCCAGTAATTTATGACATTAAGCGTTGCATTGCAACGTTTAATGATATTTCTATCATTAAGCGGCGTTTTATCATTAGCGGTTGCTACAGGAATATCGTATTATTTAAAGGTATACATATCGACTGAATTACAACAATGTAGTAGGTCAACATATTAGTCAGTATTATCAGTAAAAACCCTCTCACCTCGTCTCCATCACGCTGGCCCGTATTAGTGATTGTAAAAGTCACTTTGACATTCTTCAATTTTCCATGTTGTACTCGATCCGGACTGATGATCAATCCGCTGTACTCAAATGATGTCAAACCGGAACTAGATCGTCTTCGGTCGGATTTGAGGGAAATTGCTGGGTCATCCTTGTAAAATGGAATTGATTTAGTCAAAGAGACTGCATATACGTGTATTAGTATTACAATAGGTACGACTCCCCATGAAACTAACATCTTGTTTAATTTTTTATTAGTATACAGTTTTCCGCACTAACTCAGATATTATACCAGAAAAGACTATGAACAGCTGATATGTTATGTAAACATTAGATATCAACTGTTTTTAATGTGTCAATTTCGGTTTTACAAACAATCATAACTGGAGATGGAGTTACAAACCTTAATTTATTTTCAATTGAATTGTTCAATAAAATATGTTCAAAGTATAATTTATTTTCAATATAACAATAAATTTTTATATTTCAAGAAAATAAATGAAATATTTGGTAAAACTCCGGAGCTTGTAGGCCTTCACCAGCAGGCACGAAGTATCAGTGGAGCCTCCCCCTACTTATTTCCAAAACCTAACCTTTTACTATTGAAAATGTACATTGAAAGGGTTGACCCTCACTGTTTGTTGCACCATTGTTAAATCATGGTAATTTGGTAATGTATTAATAAAAATTTGGTTTGTGAACGATGGACATCCCCTCAACCCCCCCCCCCCCTCAACAAACACACACACAAGACTTCGAATTTTGATACTGGACTTTGAATTTTGACAATCTTCCTTTTTCGTCCTTGCTTGTCAAAATTTTTAAAGTTGTAATTTTTTCCTGGCTGGCAAAAACTATATTACGTGCCTGACCAGAGCCCTTAAACACTGGGAGGGGGGTTCAAGACCCCCCATCCAACCCCCTGCCGTTCTCTGCGTACACATCAGTTCTATTCTGGCTACGCGCCTGAGTGAAAATAGTATTGTAAACATTTTTTTTTTCAGTTTATATCATGATATGAAGACTACATAACAAAATTGAGAACTTTAACTTATTTTTACTCTGCTTAGAAAATATGGCAATTTCCTTACTGAATAATCTCAATACGATCAATACATTTATAATTTCCTACTTACCAAAAATATATTTCCAGTAATATTAATTTCATTTCCTGCACTAATCATGGCCTCCTGTTGCTGTCGATGGCTTTAAATTGTCTGATACAGGCTTAATAAAACACTTGATTTTCGGTTTAAAAAAATTCAGCTATAGGAAGTTTTGTCAATAAATATTTAGTAAAACTGTCAACTTTGGATAGGTATAAAAGTACGGATTGCTAAGAACGCATTTTTGGCATTTGCAACAAAATAAAATTAATAGATATAAGAGTTAAATTATCATCTTTTCTTCCCTTTTTTCCAACCAATTTTTATCCCTAAGAAAATGATGTGTAGGCTACAGCCTTTTTGCCTATATGGAAATTAAATGTATTGATCGTATTTAGATTATTTATTTATTCAACTTTCTGTGACAATTCATCTGTAGAACAATATCAATTTTAACGAATGGAACGTTTTAGCTAGGCTCCCCCAATTCCCACTACTAGGAAAAAACAACATGGGACATTGCACGCAGAAGCATATTGCACTATTTGCCTTTAGAAAAAAGGGTCAATCTATGATGAGAGACCCGCCTAGATCACAGTTCAACTTGCATTTTGAGCCCCCCCCCCCCCCCAACACACACACTAAATCCAAGATTTAACTGTGACAGAGCTCTTGTTGAAGTTTGAATTGACATAAGAAACAGCTGAACGAAATAGACCCCACTCTAGTGGGTTATATGTCTATATTTTTGTGCAATGACAATCCAATGGTGCAACGAATTCGAAAAGTATTAGAATGAATTGATTTGTTATCTTTAAAAAGAGAAAGTGAAAGTTATATTTCCGGTAAACAAACACACGTGTTTGACCATGTCATCGAAGAGGAAATCAGCTAAACCGGAGGCTGATGTGAAGTCAAAGAAAAGTAAAAACAAAAGTAAATGCCACATTGACGTCAACAAAATATTCGATGACGAGCAAGCTTTACAAAGAATCAGAAACTTCGTTGTTTTTCAAGAGAGGCGGAAAAACAGTGACAATTGTAGGTATAGCCACTGATAGCAGTATAGTCAGATAGTGGTGTTTAATAGACAAGGTTAAATGGATCATTGTGAAAGTTCTTTTATGATGCTTTAAAATATTGTATTGTATGTATCAGCGAAAATTGCTGATCAGATTTTATAAATCTACAGTGCGTATTTGTGAAAGACATGATATGTTATCTGTTTGAAATTTGATGAGAAATGTTATATTTATGTTTGCTGATGATATATCATTTTTCTGTAGATGACACTGGCGTTGTGCAGGCATGTAAGAGCCCCTTCTTTCATTGTGTATTGTCCAAGCTTGTGCAGAATGAAAACTTCGTAGAAAGCTTGATGGATGAAGTTCTTGACCTTAACTTTGTAGAAAAAAATAATGATTTGTATAAATTTCATCAGGTATTGTACAAAATGCTCCAACTTTTTCCTTTCAATGCATATTTCACTTTCTTCGAATAAAGAATTCTAGCAGGGACCTTTATTGTTTTCCCATAGCACAGTGTAAATTTCACTGTTTCATAAAAAAAACTTTATTTTGGACTTTACTCTTCAACTTTTTGTCTTTGTCACATATACATCCCTGATTCTAGCTGCTAAGATTGAACACCATGCATATTTCTACTAGGTTCATACATGTAAATGTATATGGGAATAACTTTTTCTCAGATCAAATGTTCTAAAAATTAATTATAAGTCATGACTTACTTTGTGTGTGTGTGTGGGGGGGGGGGGGGGGGGGAGGGGGGTGTTTGTTTGGGGTTTTTTTGTAATCAAATTTTGTATTTGTTTAACACAATTTTCTCTCTCATTAATATCCCAGAGTACAGAAGATTTAAAGACGACAAAGTTGCCATATATAAGTGCACTCAGGTCAGTACATGTATTTCATTCTATTACAATGTATATGTTTTCTGTAAGAATTTTATTTGAAGAAATTTACCAGGAAATATTTACATTACACATGTATTTTGCTTATAAAGTGTGTGGAAAGCTACGGTATTCAATACACAGGCAGGGGGTCAAAAGGTTATAGTATGTGTTTTATTTCGACGTCACAAACAAAGAACAATGTCGAAGTGCAACGTCATATGCGAAATTCAAAAGTCACGCTCACATGAAACGGAAGCTGTTGCAACGGCTCTTCGTAACTTAGCCGAAGGATAATACAGGGATTTTGAGATATAAATCACATTTGCAGTCAAGGCAGGGAGTTAAAAAATGAAAATATAAGCATTGAATGATTATTTTTTGAAAGATATAGTCTCATTACTGCAACGGTGTGTGCAAAAAAATTTTCATAACACACTAACTCAATAATTTGTTTGCACATACCATTGCAGTTATGAGACTATATCTTTCAAGAAATAAGTGTTCAATGTTTAAAAGTATTGTAATAAATGTATTTCTTATAAACTTTAACAGAGAAGTAATATATAACGATGTCCGTGAGTGGATAATGAAGGTCACTGGAATAGAACTGACCACACAGGTGGACATGTCCTGTGCCATGTACAGGTATACAGGTAAAACAGCTTATTTTGTTATTGATTTCTGTTCAGTATGAACTTTGATATTCCATCATTTTCCATCTCCTTTTGTATAATTTAAAAATGATTATTACACATTTGATGGAATTATATCTCTCCATCAAATGTGTAATAACCATTTTCAGATTATTCAAAAGGAATTGGAAATGGACAGAGGAGGGTTTAGTTCTTAGAGATGAAAAGTTTAGAACACAATGGATAAAATATTAGATGGTTGGCATATTGTTCAAGAGAAATTCTTTTATTTGATTCACAGAGTCTGTGCACTGCACATGAATCTGAAAAAAAAAAACAAAAAAGGATTTTTTTTTTCCTACAGATGTGTTGTCTTGTCATGACGATGAGTTAGATGACAGACGCGTTGCTTTTATATACTATCTAGTGCCACCATCTTGGAAAGAGGATGATGGGGGTCGTCTCCAAATGTTTTCTCTGGATGGTATTCATTTTAAATAATATACAGTTCTCAGATATTTGATTTGAATTGAAAAGATATCACTGTGTGTAATATTGAATCAGTGAGAGTATATGAATAGAATGTTAATTTCAAAACAATTCTATTTACAGAAAATGGAGAACCTAAAGAAATAGTAAAAAACTTGATTCCTGTCCAGAACAGTTTTGTTTTCTTTGAAGTGACACCTGCATCTTTTCATCAGGTAAGAAGTGATAATGACTTATGTAAAGTTATTTGACAAAAATTAAAAATACTGGTATTGAGTAATGTCTTGTAAAAATTTTTCTTCATTATAATGTAAGGTGGAGGAAATTCTAACTGAGGACAAGACGAGGCTATCAATCAGTGGATGGTTCCATGGACCTCGAGTGGACAGACCTCCTCCATATGTTGAGACCCTCCCTGCCCCCTGTCTACCTATTTCAATAGAGGTATAAGCTGCCATAATGTAGCCCTCTCCATTTTTTTTTTGGGGGGGGGGGAGAGATAGAGAGAACATAAGATTTAAAATATCGGAGAGGGGCTACATTAATGCAACTATAATTAATTTTGCTTAATTAGTGATTAGATAGGAAAATACTTTGATGAAATCTTGTTTTACTGCTCAATCATTTCCTCAATGATTACTCAAGCATTTATTGGTTTTTGCAGGAAGATGAATTTTACTCCTGGATAAATCCACAGTATTTGGATACTGTTACCCAAGCCTCCATTAAAGAGACTTTTGTGGAGGAGTCACAGATAGAACTCAGCAACTTCTTACAGGTAACCAATCACTGAAAAGCTCTTCAACAGGCAACCAATCACTGAAAAGCTCACCAACTGGTAACCAATCACTGAAAAGCTGTTTAACAGGCAAAATTCACAAGGAATTAGTCTTTAAAAAGTAATAAAGAATATCTGACTTTACAGGAGAATAAGTATGAAGAGCTGGTCTCATTGCTTTCAAGTATTGACAAAAGTAAATGGAGTAACAAAGGTCCTCCAAATAAAAGGTAAGTTCATTATATAGCAGTGCGAAGATAGGCTTTTTTATGGTTGTCTGTTCTACATAAAATTTTGACAATGTTTTTTCAATTAAAATGAAAATATTTGGTGTGATTTTTTTTATTAAGCTCACCTGAACAAAAGGCTCAAGTGAGTTTTTCTGATAGAAATTAGTCCATTGTCTGCCATCATCATCATTGTAAACTTTGCATATTTCATCTTCTCCAGAACCACTGGGCCAATTTCACCCATTCTTACCACAGAGCATCTTTGAGTGAAGAGAATTCAAATATATCCAAATTTACAGGGAGATAATTAAAGCAATATGAGCTGCAAATTTAATGTCTGAAAATTTTGTGGCAAAATTGTAATTAACAATTTCAATGACAGAAAAAAAGAGCATTTATAAACTTCTGTTGTTCATATTTGCGATGGAAGAACTATTTAGAAGCTTTGATTGAAGCAATACACATACTACATTATTGTCGTCCTGTACAATATTGTTTTCTTATATAATACTATACATTCCATAGTACAGAAACCTTTCTTCTGGAAAAAAAAAAACAACTTTATTTTAGTCTAATTAATCATAAAGGTTTAAATTACATACAAATTTATCATAACAGCACATTTTAACAGCAAAATAAAATTCTCAAAAATGCAGCTCATGTTGCTTTAAGAAATAATGAAAATTGGATGGGGTTATTTAAAAATCTTCTTCTCAAGAACCACTGGAACAAAATAGGTGAAACTTATTGTTTCTGACATAGTGTAGATTGAATTTCTTTCAAATCATTGCCCCCCCCCCCCCCCCCCAAGTAGGGTAGGGTCACAATGGGATATCAAAGGTAGTGTATTCAAATCATGACCCCCAGGGGTAGGCTAAAATACAGGATCAATATTTTAAAAGGAATTATATATGGATTTTTTTTTTTTTAAACTTTTCTTCAAAACACATGTAGCAGAACCATACTAAATTTTCCATTTGTACAGAAACTTTTCCAAGCTCTGTGGACTTCAAGTTATTGATCCTGGGGTTAAAATAGGACTTAAAACAGAGCAATTTTTACCTTACACATGTTTAACTCTTCTGCAGAACAACAAGGTTACATTAGTCATAATGATATTGAAGCATCTCAAGGAAGTGTTATGACATAACCTGTTGGGTTAGGATGGGGACACAATTTCGCACATAAATTTTTCATGTGAAAGAGAGAAATTATTTTTTTTTTCAAATTCTTTGATGAAGTACAGTAGGGCCAATTTAAATCAGCTAAGCATTGTGGCTCATGGGTCTCTTGTTATCATTGTTTGCCATTAAAAATAAAGAATACATCATTATTTTTGTACAATTTTTTGAAGGAATTACCTGGTTGTTGACCAGAGTGAGGTGCCTGACCATGTGAGGAAGTGTTTGAATTTCATCCAATCAGATGCCATGTTTGTATTGTTATCGTCCCTGACTGGTCTGAAACTCCATGAGCTGGCTGAAGTGTCAGATTCAGAAGGAGATGAAGAAGAAAATCAGAAGCAAAGAGGTGGGTTTTTGTTGATTTTTTATAGATAGGTCTTAAACATTTTATAACTTCCTTATATGTATTTATTAGGGATGTCAACGAGTACCCGGTTAACCAGGTACTCGATCGAAAGTCCGAGTATCGAATACTAAAAATGGTACTCGGTTACTCGGATATGTATTTTTTCTTATTTTAAAGTACTTATTTTTATCAAAAACTTATCAAAAACTAATTTAAATACATGTATGCATACGGTAATTATAGCTTGTAGTCTTCTACACCTCTAAAACACCAATTATCGCCTGTGGCTGTGTATATACAGTAATTAGTGACCCAGCTGTTCTCACCTATTGTGGTCCTTAATTTTTGGATGGCTTCAGTGATTGTTTTCAGTGAATATCGATGGTCTATTATCTTCAAATCATTTTTAAATTATTTAGTTAATATACGGCAGCGAAATCGGACATGCATAGAAATGCCACAACTCACTTCAAAAGTGAAGAAATACTTAGAAATAACTAAATATTTTTTAAAAATGTTGAAAGTCAGCGTAGTAAGTTTAGTCAGTTAGTGTAATCAACATATAAAATTGTTTCCCCTGATACACTAAACTTACTATAATATTAGACTAAACTTACTATAATATTAGACTAGCGATCCCAACAACGTCCGTTGCTTCTCTTTCGCTAGTCTAATCATTACAAACCTGCATAACAGAGTGTCCTACTTTTGATGAAATATAGATTCTAAACAAGAGCTGTAAACCATTTGTAATTTTTGATCTAATAATTATGTCTTATGTGTTTATTTGATAAATAAATTTAATGCCAAAATCATTTACGTTGGAATCGGTGTTTATATAGTACATTTATACACGTGATAAAAACAGCCTTGGGGTTTCACGGGGTTCAAGAAAATTAACACACTTGTATTACACTTTTATCGAGTACCCGGGTACTCGATCGGAAAAACGTTCGAGTAACCGATTATCAAAAATTAACCGATTTGACATCCCTAGTATTTATTGTAGTAAAATTTTTAACTTATCTTCTATATTAACAGAGGCAGATATTTAATGTCAACTTGTCAATTTAAAACAACCTTGGACACATTTTTTTAACCCAAGCTGTAGAAATGCAAGTGAGCTGGAAACAAACTTATTTTGACTTTCTGTTCTCAGGAGATACACCATGTTGTCACTGTGAGGTGAGGAAATGGCAGCATGGAAGCTACACTCTGGTTCATGACACAGACACTGAAACAAAGCTCTGTGCCCTGGATGCTGTTTTATATATTGGCTGTGAAGGTAAAGATTTTAAAAAAAAATCTATTTCATTAGCCCTTTTATGATGATTTTGGTACTAATCTTTTGCAGGGCAAATTACTATATTGTTTGGAGAAGTACCACAGTTATTGTGAAATAGCCTGTAAATTTCTGTGATGTAGAAATCAGGGTGGTTTAGTAGTGCTAAACACTTTACCTTTCATGGATGACACTTGTTACTGTGTATTGAAATTTTAGCAAAGTTATATTTTTATGAACTTTTTAGCACAGTTATACGAATTAGTGCCCTTGTTCTCATTTATCCTATGTAAGTATATGAATTCATAATTTTTGGATTATCATGCACCATATGCAGTATGTTAAGTACAAAAGCAAAATCCTAAACTACATATACAGTATTCCAAATTGATTTGACTTGCATTAAGTTTCTTCCCACTGTGACCAAGTTGGAGGATTATGCTAAGTTAATATAGAATACAGTCAAACCTTGTTATCTTGACCATGGCTGAGTAAAAACTTCAAGATATGCATAAAATACATACAGAAAAAATAGCTGGGACTTCCAACAGACCTCTATTAATTGAATTGATGGTATTCAAGATATTAATGCTTCAGATACCAAAGTTCAGCCGCCTTTACTTGCTTACAACTCATGTAAAAATTTTCCTATAAACAGTGAATCCTGACTTTTGTAGATTGGCAACCTGAGTATGGGGGAACAACTTCTTACATCGCAAAAGGAGAAGATGAAGAAGTAAGCCAACTACATGTATATATATATATAAACATCAAAGATAGTACAACCATAAGAAATGGTGATAAAACTGGTTGCTTTAAGGATACATAACACAAACAAAAATTTGATGCCTGGATTGATATGTATTTTTTGACTGATTTGGAATAGAAATGACATAAATAATAAATCCCTAAAATATAAAGAAATCGTAAGTTTTCTTTGGTGCTAAAATATGCGACTTTGTTTTGGTTTCTATATAATTCTATACAAAATTTTGCACATAGTTTTAACATTGTGACAAAATCTTACCAAATTCTCCCCCTTTACACCACAAACTTATTTTGCTTACATATTCGAATATAAATCTATGAGAAATATTGCTGATTTCTGAAAAAAGTTTGCTTGTGTTATTTATCCTTAAGGAAGCTCTGAACACTGCAGACGAAAGAGTTCTACTTATATGGTTAGTTTTATGCAGTTAGAGTGGTCTGCCCTTAGAAGTAAGATAGAAAAAATGGTTATTAACAGTTAATTACATAATTTGTAAAAGATTAAAATATTCTTAGCATTATATTAGACAAAGAATAAGTAATTGAATTCATTTTTTCCATTAATTTTCCCAATGTTAGTAAACAACTGATTTCTGTTCACGAATAGTCCTTGTCTTTGAACATTTTTCCTGCAGAAATAAGGCAGACACTCTATGTTGAAAATGAACTAAATAGACTCAATGTGCACACCTATATATGATATATTTTTCTCCTTGTCCAAAAAGCACTTTTTGTTAATGTTTAGAGCTTCCTTAACTGATGAAAGGGTCATTTGACATGGTACATATATTAGAGTTATCTTTCTTTTCTGATTAAAGGATTTACGGTAATTTCTTTAAATTATCTACTTCTAAGAAAAGAAAAAAAAAACACTGTGAATAGAATGTAAATGCATTGAGCAGTGCAGATAAACTACGTCTGTCTACTTACAGTTGTTATCAGTGTGTCCCAGCCCGAATAGTTTAGCTCTGGTTTATAGAGACACCGAGACACTCAAATTCGTGAAGCACATCAACGCTAGGGTCAAGGACACTCAACATCAAGGTTTCATGGACATTACATGTGTGTATTATGAATAAATTGTACCATTTTATCATCAATTCATTGTTATTACTTTATATTTGGTAGACACAGTGGATTTTTTTTCACATTTGTACAGCAATTCAAGCAGATGTTCCCAGTAAATCAGAGGTCGTATGTACCAACTAGACATAAACAGCTGAGAAACAGCTGATAAATGGATTTTGTCTTTATTTTTTCCTGAAAAAAATTCCTAGCTTCTTTATTTTTACATGTGAATCACTATGGAATATCAGAAAGGGCAATAAAGTAACTTTGCATGAGAAAGATAACAAAATATTACTTATGGTATTTTTTAATAACAAATAAATGAACAAAAAAAGATAATCATATATGCATAGAATTAAACTATCTACTCTATAAATTAAATTTTAGTAAAATGAACAATGGACAAACTGAACACATCTGGTTGACATTATAATTCTTCTTTAGAAATTTTAGGCTGTTTTTTCGTTGATTCTTTGTAAAACTTTTGCATCTTTTTCAAGTCCTTCATTTTCTGATCTGTAGTTTTAACCCAGAAATTGGCTATCCACTTAACTCCCCTTTTCACAGGACATCCCCCATGGAATGTGAATTCATCTAGAGGACCTAACCAGCCTGTGTCCTCATCCACAAAGTGATTGTACCAAATAATGGCCTTGCCCTTGGCAGGGGCCACCCTAAGGGGGGAATCTTCACATTTCCTGTATAAATCTATCACTTCTTTCTCCAGCATAGACTTATAGAAAAGAAAAAAAAACATGACGATTCTGTTGAATTTCTATTTTAAAAATGTGTAGCATTAAAATTAAACTAGCGTTTGAACCTTCAGAAATTTTCATTTAACCTTACTGTGATATTCTTTTAGTCATAATTTAAAAGGTTGATTTTTTCACAAATCTTGTAGCTATAATATGCATGGCCGTAGGAACCGGTATATTTTGCCGATATATAGATTACTATAGAAAACATAGCTACTATATGCTTGTACCCCCTCAATAAAAACGTCTGAGGACCTTTTTTTTTTTTTTTTTTTGCTTGTCAAGGAAATTTTGGTAGTTGATAGTGCCCCCTCAACTGAAAATGTATGGCTGTGCCCCCCCCCCTCCCCAAAAAAAAACTGAAATTGCTTCCTACGGGCCTGAATTATGTGGTACAGTGCTTAAACAATAGATTATTAGATGATATACCTTGTAATCCAGTGTTTCATTATTGGCCACTGGAAATGCCGTCTCTCCTCCGCCTTCCACGTCATTCAGATAAAATAGAATCGTCATGTACCTAAAGCAGGAATGAAATTAAAACTTTACACGTATCACAGGTGTTATGATTTTACATGTACTAACTATCAGTAAACATGTAAATTACTGAATCATTTAATTAAAAATTCTTATTTATTATATCGGGGGAGGGTTTTTTTTTTAGATTTCTTGATAAGCACCACATACCTACATATGCGACACTGCTTGGTACGTTCTCGTGTACAACATGGGACTTTTGTTTCTATACGCGACGAATCCCAGTGAGCATTATAATGGCCCTTGATATCATAAGATACAACCTGCAAATACGACAAATTTGATATTGATACATGTACCATAAACTAGAGGACAAATTTAAACATCTTATATTGTACTCCATATTAAAGCACCCACTGACCTGAAAATCGCTGAGTTTAATCAATTCTATAGGAAGCCCCACAATAGCCGCAACTCTGAAAGAATAGAGCTCAGGTACAAGTATAACACATATTGAAACAAATTAAAATATACATGTATAGTTAGTGAATTTAAATTAAAATGGACTCTAAGGAAATAATTTATGTAATCGGCAGGATTTAGCAAACAGCCAGCGCGAAATAAAAGCAAGATCTGATCAACCTCATACCAAAATTATTTGTACTATACATTACTACTGTGATAATGTGTTGAAACGTTCATAAAGAAGTGATAGTAAATTAGTGGTTTATAAGGGGTATAGGGAGAGACTGGTATCAACAAAGGATCGTCAAAAGGTTTCGGGGGGGGGGGGGGGTAGGAAGGTTACCCCTCCTCTGAGCTAGCTTGTTTTTAATCGTCGGGTATTCAGTTTGGTGGATGCTGGTTCTTTCTTTAAGTCATTTTAAACAAAATCTAGCAGCTTTACTTTAAGCAGAGAAATAATGCATGTGTTTAGATATAATACGAAAAAGGGAGATGCGATCGCAACCAACTAACCCCCCCCCTTTCCTACGTCCTCGCAACAACTTTTGTCAGTATTCTATGGAAGCTTACCGTTTCTGTACAGTGGCAAACACCTTGTCTTTTGACTTGTCTGGATACAACCAAACTTGTTTACTCATCCGGGAATGTTTTTCTGGAGAAGTCTTCAAGATTTTCTCTATTTCTTTTCGTAACATCATGGGGGAGAAGCCTTTCAGCTCGTCGTCCGTGATCATTTCTACCATGTATAGAGATTTACTGAATGAAAGTAGGCATACGTCATGTACATGAATGTGTCTTTCCTGTTATTTACTATTTATACTTAATTATATTGTTGTAGATCAATGGTCATTTATTATATATAGTACCGTGTAAGCAGCTAAATTATAGTAATAATCTCGCTTACCATCCCCGTTCTTATCCAGTCCCGTCTCTTTGTACCTGTGAATACCGAATGGACAAAGGTAAGAACATGTACCTACATGTAATTGACACAGTTTTGCTCACCTGAGCCAGAAGCTCAAATCACAGGCACTTGTTTCGGTAATAAATTTTTAACCCATAGTATAATAATAACACAAGGTATCTAACTCCGAATTACACGGAGTACCCCCCTCCTCCAGAATCGCACTCATGGAAATACACTGACAAACTGTTTATACCTATGTTTTCTACGATAATTTATCTACACAACCATATATGGCATGCTTTAGTCTCCGTAAACAGCGTCAAAACTCTGCTCGTCGAGTGGAAAAGTCGAATTCAACCATGAAATGGTATGTGCTAATCCCGCACAGAGAACAAAATTTAAAAAATGAGTGGGTTTAAAAATTCAATTCCAGTGTTTAAATATTGCATGAGTAAATAGGACTTGTTTACGTCTGATTTTCCCTGAAAACATTACGATGTTTATCCGATGTAATTTTAGAAACAGATTTTTAGCCAATCAAAATCTCTGTGCGGGATTAGCGCATACCATTTCATGGTTGAATTCGACTTTTCCACTCGACGAGCAGAGTTTTGACGCTGTTTACGGAGACTAAAGAAAATAAAGACAAGCATGCCATATATGATTATGTAGATAAATTATCGTAGAAAACATAGGTATAAACAGTTTGTCAGTGTATTTCCTCTGAAAGTGTAAATGAGTGCGATTCTGGCTGAAGGGGGTACTCCGTGTAATTCGGAGTTAGATACCTTGTGTTATTATTATACTATGGGTTAAAAATTTATTACCGAAACAAGTGCCTGTGGCTCAAATGCATTTTTCTAATTAGAGTGTGGTGGTCGACTGTGTGTTGCCTGTATTCATTGGTTAAATACATTATTTAAAGATTCACAACTTAATTCAAATGAAGTCATAGTTTACAAAGAGTAAGAAAAGAGAGGCATGTTTTATTGTTGGTCTTTTAGTCCAACATAATTTTAATTAATACAGAGAAATGTTATAAAAGTGGTGAATTCAACCATGTCACAAGAGACAGAGTTTGTTATTAGAAAACTTTATACTAACATTTTCAATATATCTTCATCATCCAAATAAACATCAAAGCTACCTTGGATAGTATGTCTCATCTGTAATTAAAGCAAAGTACTCTAAATACGATCTCTTCTATTACAGTTAGATTCATGAAATGAATTACTAAATCTCCAAACTTGTAAAAGTAATATACTAGCACTATAATGTAATTTAAAGACAGAGGGATGAATCTTCATGAATAATATTTTGAGTTATCTGAAATTTTAGGAGACTGCATGTTCTCAGAAATGGCGCTGTGCAATAACTACCAATATATTGCATTTATGAGTACCTCGCGAACTGACAGCTTCCGGTTACCGTCAAGGTCTCTGAGCACGAAACGCTGACTTTCCGGTTGGTTGAGCACAGTCTCGCTTTCTTGGAGACCTTCCTCTGTAGCCATCTTTACGAAGTAGTCACATTCTTCCGCTGACAGAAAGTTGTCCGCCTCTGTAATTTAAACTACATATAGAAGTTGTGATCTATAGCTTATATTTGTTTGGAGGTAACAGATCTTACTTGAAAATGAAAAGTAAAAATGCAATTCGATTTTCTTTGTACTTTTCTATCAGAACAAATATGTACGAATTTTGTTTGCAGGCCCGGAAGAAAGGGGGGGATCTACTATACATTACAAAACAAAGCTAATTTACTGTACCCTCCCTTTCAATAATAATCTGATAACTTTTTTGGCTTATCAAGAAAAAATCTTAACCCTAAGCTGAAGTTGCTTCCTTAGGGCCAGATCTGTGTGTAAGAAATAAGATCACATAGAATTTGGCAGAAATCAAATATACATTTACAAAATCAAAAATTGCTATTAACTTTAACACTGACTGTGATATCAATGTCGATTCTAGTATCTTGTCACATATTATTGTTTAATCTTTAGAAGAAATTCTAATCAAAGAAGATGGGCGCATTATGCGTCTTATCTGCAGGAATAGTGTATACGAATCATTCGTGGTTTATATGTCGAGTCAAGCAGACGTTTTGGTCTGCTGACCATAGCAGGACAGATATTACGAACGAAAGTCACGCACATAGATACGCAAATAAATAACTTTTATATATTTTTGTACCAAATGACTCATCCTGCCATATTTCAGTGCATATTTTAGGAAATCAGATTAAATACTTCACTTTCTTATTTCATAGGAATCTGATCCATCAATAGAAGAGTGCTAAAATATCATGTGACGGATCAATGACATTTTCACTTTTCAAGTGCGCCCAGATTCCTGCTGAATCCATATCAAATGCGCCCATATTCTTTGTGATAAATGCATATATGGACATTAAGGGAGACCGTTGATCGTAATATAATACCGGTTATGCCACATCTGAAAGATTACTTCGTATAATCCACAGGAAAGTGCATTTTTCCAAACTATATACAAGTATTGGATGTCGAGAAATCAAGTAAAATACTAATAATATTTTTATATTAATTTCTTCATAACCCCTTTTACAAATAATAATTTAATTAATACAGAAGATAAGAGGAACTTGTGGTTGAAAACAGAACAATTTTTTTTTAAAATGCAGAGAATTGAATGATAAATTGAACCACAGGAGTTCGCATACCTATCAATTTTACCGAAATTTTTAGAAAATATAAAAAATACGTAATACCTATAATAATAACACATGTTTTTATATTACACCTCATTGACATTGACATTTGGCCAATCATAGCTACAGATAAGAGCGTTTTTCACACGCATATTTTATTTAAAGAAATGAATCTCCGCCTCTGCAAATATATATATATATATATATATATATATATATATATATATATATATATATATATATATATATATATATATATATATATATATATATATATATATATATATATTTCATCACCTGGAATGGTGCGTAGAGAAAACGGTCATGTGAGCACGGTCTTAGAGATTATCTCATATTGTTCGTCATATCTTAACTTTCAAGGACATTTAACACTTGGGCCGTGGTAAATAATATCTTTGTTTTACGTCCCTTAATTCTTTGAGAAGGTTCCCTCCCGTCCGACTAGAAAACAAACACATGTTTAAAAAAGAAAACCCCACATTTAATAATTAGCAAGATATTGACAAATTAATGAGAAAGAAAGCTATTACATTCTGTACTAGTATTCGTTATTTTCAAGAACTAAAAGTACTCGTGTCAAAACCTGCGGATATTTTCACACAATAGCATTTATAAGATACAACATGTTTTAATTTTTGTAAGGTTTTCCCTTTCTACAAGGAATTTTTGAATCGTTTCTTTTTCTCTCAAAGACTCAAAATACTGTAACCTTTAAAAATCGAATGGATTCCAGATATTTCCGAAAAATAGAGAGAAAAAATGCTAAATTTTGACGAACTTGTGTATTTTTTTCTCTCAGCTTTTCCTGAAAAATTACCACCCGGGAACGTAAAACAAAGCATTAATTAACCGTGGCTTTGCGGCATAGAACAAGAAACCATCGGTTATCTAATAGAAAACCTACCAAGGACTAGAGGTTTGGTGTTGAGCGTTTTCAGGGTAACGCTTCCCTGTTTGTCATTAGTCTCGATCTTTTGAGTATGTCCAACCTGCAATGTATAGAATTCATTATTCTCAAAGTGGATAGCTTTTAAGGGAAGGAGAATGTTTAAAATTTATCAATTCACCATATAAAACCGAATGTAAATAGTTCCCAGTTACGCATACTTTAACATAAAAAATGGGCTTGCAAAAGTGTCCACATCTGTTTTATTTATTTATTCTTCTTATTATCTATCTATCTATCTGTCTATTTAAAAAAAAGAAGAAGAAAAAAACTTATTTACTCTCTTCTATCTACTCTGAATTTGACTATTCGCTGTCTTCGGTAGCTAAATAAATCACAGAAGAGGGGTGTGTTCGTTGCAGTGGCCCAAAAGGTTGGCAATCAAAAATAAGATTTTACTATACGGAAAATATTTGACCAAAAAAGCACACACGTCCCCTCCCCTCCCCTCATACACACAACGCACTACAGTTCAATTCGACACTTTGTTAATAAAATACGCTTGTATAACCATCTACAGTAGATATGGGAGATGATTTCGTCTGTTTCAACATTATTAAGAATAGTTATTATTCACAACAAATAAACTAATTCTATACTTCAGTATGTGCTTAGCAAATATGTCCTGAGGAATGTGTTAAAAAATACTATTCGTTAACTTATTTTACTCAGGGTTGGTTTTACTTAGTCCATTCTACATGAATTCGTTAGAAAAAGATCGATATTTATGTATAATCTCTATTGATTTTTCACTGATTTTTTCACTATTATTTGCCCAGTATGTTAGTGTTCCAGGCTTCCTTTCAACTTTGCCGCGGGGGAAAGGGTCGGTCTGATTACGAGAAAACAACTGCAGCTATATAGGAACTTCCTCTTATGTGTATGTTATTTGTATGTATTCTGGAACAACCCCCCCCCCCTTTTTTTTTTAATGGTAATTGGCTTTTCAGTTCGGAAAAAAGAACATTGTTGTGGTTTGTTTTATCGTCCATTTATACTAGTATTTGGAGGGTTTGGGTGTAATCTCAGCACTGTGATCCTTCCCCCAAAATCTGAAATTGCCGCGACTGTTAGATAGACTCTCATCACTTAATTTCATGTACAGTCTAACATCATTACCATTTAAATACTATAGATCAGGAGTAAAGTGTAATCAAATGTAATGTGAAGACTGCTTTTTTGTGTTAAGTACTTTGTATATAATTTAGTTTCAAGTGAATGACTTTACATTGTACTTGATATACGGTATATATATATAAATGTTTAACTACCATAAGAGGATTAAAGTATTTTTAGATATACAAGTGTGTGCATGCAATTTATGTATTGCTTTACTGTAAATATTACATGTTTGAGTGTTAATGTATTTGTTTATTTTGCACGAATGTCAAAAACAGTATAATAATTTAATGCTAGGTCAATAACACATAACAACGCAATCAGTATTACATTATTCATACCTCGTTTCCTGATATCCTAGTGAGGCGTACATGATTCCCATCACCACAGTGTACACCCGTATTATCTGTCACACACAGTTCTACTGCAGAGACGGTATTATAGGTCCACACTATCAATACCTGCACAACGAGGAAGCACCTGTCCCACGTCCCCATACTAATATCGATAACACTAGATAAGCCTTCATCGGAGTATGACGCTCCGTTAGTAGTGCGGAGTTAAAAATCAATCGCAAGTATAAATGTAAGCCTATTCGATTCTAAAAGTCGATATTCGGTGGTTAATGAAGATTGATTAATTAATAAATATGGATATTCCAAACTGTTTTTTGTATTCTTATGAAGTAGATTTTTTTTTTCAAAAACTTCTACATGAGAAGAAAACTCTTACTGTGGCTTTCAATTAATTTAACATTTCTACAATCGTTCTACGTTTTATCAATTAACAATAGTTATTTTCATTCATACTGAATGTCAATTCACTATATACACCAGTAATTTCAATATAAAGGACACCACAGAGTCTGCCACATCTGCTTCATACTTGGATGTTTTACTGACTATATATAGACGCTAATGGCCAACTAACAACTAAACAATGTGACAAAAGGGATGACTTAGCATTCTTTCCATTGTTAACTTTCCCTGTTTCTGTAGTAGGATTCCACAATCACCTGCATATGATGTTTATGTTTTTCCAGCTGATTCGATACTCAATAGCAAGTTCTGAGTGCGTTCATTTTTAACTAGAGGCAGGCTACTGACAAATAAGTTGATGTAACATGATTTTCAACTACTGTAGATTCCTAAATATACGCGAGGAATAAATTATCGCGTAATTACGCGAGAAGCACCGCTCGCGAAATAAAATTACTCGCTTTTATTTTTATGGTGCTTTAATGTATGCAAAATCTCTAAATAAATCAACCATTCGCGAATTATTATTCTCGCGATTTAATTGACGTCCTTGGGTCATTTCGCGATAAAAAGTACTCGCGTAAAATAAGGAATCTACAGTATCTTGTTATGCAGCTTTTTGCAAAGGCTATGATCTTTATAAAGACCTTGATTACAATCTATCACTCGGTCGTATTTTGATCGACATGTTTCCAATTGTAAGGCCATTAGTTTTATACTATTTTTACCAAGGATTACCCCGTTTACCTGACCAATACTGAAGGCTGAAGGCGAGTGTGACCGGTCAACAGGTGATGGTAACTCCTCCGAGGCACATCCCACCTCAGGGTGTTTCCCGGGTCCATTTTGCACACTTTACGATTCGTATTCCAAGGTCATCGCCAGAGGGGGGCGTTGGGTACGATCGCATCCCCGTTTTTGAAACAAAATAACATCAACTTATGCACCCGTTTTTGAAACAAAATAACATCAACTTATACACCAGAACATGTGTGTGCTCAGTGCCCTACCAAACGCATATATCTGTACTCGTGAATGTGTGTGTACAGTACCCCACTAAAAGCATATATCTGTATGCTGCTACAGATATATGCTACTGGTGGGGTAGCCTACTGTACACACACATGCAATGCAAGTGTGTGTACAGTACCCCACCAGAAGCATATATCTGTATGCATGTGTGTGTACAGTACATGGGTAACAGGATGTTTCGCACCTATGCATGGTTCGCCCCACGATGTTTCGCGCCCATTCTGTTTCGCGCTGAGATGGTTCGCCCCACGATGTTTCACTCCAAGTATATAAATGTGCTACTGAGTTTAGTTCATTTAACAAAATTTTAGATTTTAAATATATGTAAATATAGAAATTTTTGGAACATTTTTTTTTAATTTAAGAAGATTATATTTGAAGCAGAGACGTAAATTATTTATGTCTGTGTTTGAAGTATACATACATAGCATAAGTTTGAATTATTATAACACTGTGCTAATTACGTATAAGTAGATAATTATAATACCGCCATCTAATTAAGTAATTATTGCTGGCTTGGACAACCGACACATCAACTTAAATTCTCACCTTCTGATCTCCAACTTATTATACAATTAAATCCTCAATGAAACACTGTTGAATTGTTGAACAGACACGCTGAGCAAACGGGCACCGTACGATCCGTTAACTATAGTAGTGCATGTTATTAAGTCATGAATTTGAGCACACAAAATATTTATATTATATTTGATAAATAATTTAAAACGGATGAAAATGTGATGAAATATTTAAAATAAAACGCGAGATGTTTCGCGCCCAAATTGGCGCGAATCATTCGTGCGCGAACCATCTCAGTGCGAAACAGAATGAGCGCGAAACATCCCGGATTCAGTACATGTACAGTTTTTTTTCCTTGTCGAGGAATTATTGGTAGTGCCATAAACTGAAAATGTATAGTACGTTGTAACCCCCCCTCCCCCCCCCCCAACTGAAATGGTTTCCTAGGGGTCTGTATGAACAGTCTATACCATGTATACAGTGAAATGGAGAAAACCGTGAGAGTCGGGAGTCGGCAGTACTTGATTTAACCCGCCCTTTTTTTTCCTTCTCGGAATAGGATTTTTGAGTTTGAACTATTTCCCGGTTTTTTTTTCCTGCTCGTCAAAAATGCCGATGTGCATGAGAAACCGATATATAGACGAAATGAATTAATGCGCGAATTATTTCAAGCTAACCGCACCTTTAAATAGAAAGAAGGATATCCGATATGGGACCATCACCTGTTTTATCTGAAAATGGAAAGAAAATAAGTGACTTACCTGAAAATCTGTTGCTGAAAATATTTGGTTACCTACCTGTGAAGGAATTATGCATTATCGGAAGGTAATGAGGTGTCTAAGAAAATGATATTATATATTATTTTCATCTATAAATGTTTGTTGGTTTGAGATGGCCATATATCTTTTAAAAGATTCCAAATTTATCAAGTCTGTTAGTAACTATTTCTAAAATAAAATCCTATTTTTGAAGCTAGGGAAAACCTTAAACTCGTATTCAGTATACGTCTGGCTATATGCTCCATGTATTTAAAACTAGGTTGGGGTATATGTTATAGTTACACTATAGACATTAATTGACTATCAGTAAAGACACTCACAGTTTTTCATTCACGAGGGGCGGAGCCCCGAGTGAATAAAAACTGTGAGTGTATTTACCGATAGCCAATTAATGTCTATTGTGTAAGTTACTTGTACCAGAGGACCAATGACAGAAAAGCAAGTTATTAATTAGCACCGCCTACTACAAGGTGTCAAGCCACGGTCCGGAGTCTGTATCATGAATAGCTGTCTCCATCTGCAAGGATCATATTTTGCTACGGCGCTGCTGCTGCAAGTCACTGATAAAAAATTCGGAATGGGTGCATGTGAAAATGTTGTACTTTCGAAATGTTGAAGACACAGAAGACATGATTTTTTTGGTCAGGTACAGGGGTAAGGAAATGTAAACTACATGTATTATACTGATGCTGTCAACTCTGAAAGAAAATTCATCTTTCGAGATCATTATTTTTAAAAGGGGGGGGGTGTCAATGGAAAACGTACATCGCCGTTGAAATTTTTATTTATGGCAATTGACGAATAGAAACAGGGACAAATATACTGTCTAGAATATAGGTCCCTGATAGACACTATGAAATGATTTCTGACATTTTAATGAAAGTTTGAAATGCTATATGAAGTAAAAAAAAACAAAAAACAAAAAAACAAAAAAAAAACGCAGGGACTTCTGATGTTCAATTGCTGCATGCACTTGGAGAAAGAGAATGACGAGAATTCGAGATATCATTAGAGAGGTTGAGATTTCATACGTGTACGTGTACGGGTACGTCTAGTAGGGGAATTCCGTAAATTTCTTGCGTATTACGTCATCATTTTTTGCGTTGATAAGTTTTCTACACGTTCCTACAACTTGTAAAAAGGCATCTACACGTAGGTGTCAACTTGTAGCTTTTTCAATAAAAACTAGTCAATTTATGTGTGAAACTGTTATTGGCTTATTGCTGTTAATTATTTACGATGTAAAGTTTCATGAACACTTATTTTAACCATGTTTTGTTCACTAACTAAAGTCAAACTAATGTCACAAAACTACTAAATAGTTGAAACAGAGACACCGATTACAGTCTACACGTTCACGTTACACGTCATTAAAATCTCAACAGACAAATGACAAAAAAAGTGTACGTGTACGTCAAAGTTTGTGCACACGTACACGTACGCGTACAAGTTTAAAATCTCAACCTCTCTATTTACTGAATAAGGAAATGCATAGAAAAAATACGGAAAAAATTACGAGGCGAGTTTTGGCAAGTTAATGCTAGTATTTTTTAAATTCAAAATGTTGACATCATTCATTCATCAGCCATTGCCAAGGTCTGGAAATTAACATCATTCATTCATCTCAAGGTCTTGTCACAGTATGGCTTGTTGCCAAAAAGTGGGCGTGACTTAAAAACTGTGATTCTTCTGGCAAATACACCACAACAACATCAAAGCAAAATCTAAATTTACCGCCAGTCCTATGGTACAAATATATATTATATATACAATAATATATTATATATAATGCACACTCTGACAAACAGTTTTTTAAATGATATTTTGTTTTGCAGAGTTTGCAGACAATGGAGAAGAATTGTTCGTGACAATTCCCTATGGAGACATGTGGATCTTCTCAATTATCGTCTGGATCTGAAGAAGATGTGGAAAGTGATACGCAGTCATCTGTCGGAATGTTTAATTTCCATTAAAGTCAAAGGTTTCATGGACACTGGTAATTAAATTTTAGTTTATGCTTACCTGAGCTAAGAGTTCGAATGAGTTTTTCTGATTGTCCAGCACCTCCGTCATTTTGTCCATTCATCTGTAAACTTTTCACATTTTTGGTGTCTTCTCAAGAACCACCGGGCCAATTTTAAACAAAGTTCCCAAGTTGAGTTGGTTCATTATTTTTAAATTATGGACCCTAGTTAGAGTTGGCTATAGAAGTGGGGATTAAATTTTACATAATGCATGTATGGTACATGTATGCAGGAAGAAAAAAAATAAATATCCATAACAGCAAGGCGATGTTATAGAAGCATCCCAATGTTGTGTGGATTCAGAGGTCCTAAGAGTTAGAGTGGGCCATAATGTGGGTTACAATTTTTTGTGGGGATATAAAAATCTTTTTGAAATCTTCTGAACAACAACAGGGCTAAAGTAACTCAGGTGACCACCGCTATGGGCCTCTTGTTAATGTAAATAAACAAAGGTTTTGTGTAGACTAGAAACTAGATAAACTAGCTGTTCTGTCGTTAAAATGATACTGTCCTATGGACCCCGTTTAATGGTAGAATTTGTTCCGTATGTTGGCAATATAGCAAAATAAACAGGGGCAGATGATTCTAATCTATTTTTACTTGGAATAATCCAGAGAGTTCAGAATGTCAACATGCCTCGTAAATTCAAAGCGAGAAAAAACATTGAGAAAATGAGTTGAATTTTTATCTCTATATGGATTATTTTTTGGGGGTAAAAGGCATATATATACAAGTTGAAAAAGGTTTTTTGTGATTAATTTGGTAGTTATTTTCCGTGCAACTCCTTTTGTGTTCTTCAAAATCATTTCAGAGTGGATCCGCTCTGATTTGCTACATTGCAACTATATGTGACATATTCTAACTGTGGTGAGAGCTTGTCCCAAGACACAGTTAGATTATTTTATGTACGTAGAAATTGAAGGTTGAGGAAATCAATTTTCAGCAGTATGATAATGCCAATATTCACTTCTAGTACTATTTCCCAAATTCTCAGGGGATGTTTTACTCATTGAGATTCATCCTGTGACCACAGCAGTTGCTAGACTGGCTGAGTAAGGTTGGGAAAGGGAAAGTGCATGCAAAATAAACCTGTGTCTGTTTTTAAAGTTTGTAAGGGATTTATTTAAATATAAAAATTAGAGATTTCCCACAATCTGATGCTTAATGATATTTAATGAATATGACAGTATATTAAGTTGAGAAGTTTTGACAGATTTATTAAATTAATTTATTATGATTATTTATGATACTTTAAATGAAAAAAGTTCATTAAGACTCAGAGTACATGTACATTGTATCATAAATTATAAAGATAAATGAAATAGTGTGTATATGTATTTTCAAATGTATTATATATATTTTTTTTAAGGGAAACCAAAGTCAGGAGCCCATTCATTATCTGATGCAATGCTGAATGATTTAAAAGACAGATGTCCAAATCTGGAAGAAATACACCTGAAAAACTGTAACACAACAAACCTGAACCCAAAACTTTTTCCATCAACACTTGTGAAACTAACGCTAGAAAACTGTGCAGTACAGCCAGGTTTAATGAAGAATTTTAGTCAAGATTTACCCCAGCTTTTATTTCTAAATGTATCAGGAACTGTTAGGTTTGATGACATAGAGCTCTCTTACTTATGTCAGGCAGAGCAATTAAAAGTATTAATTATAGTTAATGGCTGTTATTGTGTGTCTGTAGAAAGTCTATCAAAAATAGCTCAAAACTTGAAAAACCTACTAGAACTTGAGTTGGCAGATACAGGCATAAAGAATACAAACCAGAATCTTGAGCTAGCAGTTCATCACATGACACGGAACCTGAGTTCTTTACAGCATTTAAATTTCAAAGGTTGTGCTTCATTATCCCCTGTAATTCTCCAGAACCTTTTGTCAGGTTTAAAAAAGTTAAAGATACTTAATATTGCTTGTTGTTCAGATGTTAAGTACACTTCTCTTGTAAGTATGGAACAAAACATGAAAGGACTGAGGCTGTTGGAACTTTGTGAGTCTCAGATGGAGGGACATAATATAGAAGGTCTGGAGTCCCTTCTTCTGGAGTGTTCCGTTCACTTGGTGGAACCCTGTACCTGTAAATGTCAAAGATAAATGTACAACTAGTACCAACTACTGGAACCAGTTCATTATTAGACACAAATAAATGAGCTCTGTCTTCAATAGCTACATTAGTTGACTTAAATAAACTTATTTGATACAGATATTAAATGAATGAATTATATCTGTGTAGTTCAGATGAAAAAATTAGATTTTTATGATCATACAGAATGATGATATGCAAGATATTTACCTATTAGAGAATCTATTTTTTGAGTTTGAGATTTTTAAAATTATAATTTGAATCTGTTTTTTACAAACAAGAATAATTATTAATTTCAGAGAGTAAAATATATTTATTTTTGTAACATATTTTTTCTGTGATATTGATTGAGCATGTTATTATGTGTCATATAGCATTGTCCTATTTATTATTCATTTAGTTTGTAGATATTATATTTATGTTTGTTTTTCTTAATAACAGTATCTTACATGAAGCAATAAAAAAGACATTTAAACATACTAATTCAAATTACATTGTATTTTGAAATTTTCACATGGGCCAATGAAAGCGTTCTGAGGTAGTGTAGATTCTAAATTGTTCAAGTCAAGGCCCTTAAGGGTAGGTTGGCCCCAATAGAGAATCAAAGTTTTACATTGAAATATATAGGAAAAATCTTTAAAAATCTACTTCTCAAGAACCACTGGGCCAGAAAAGCTGAAACTTATGTGGGAGCTTCTTTATATAGCGTAGATTCTAAAAAAAATTTAATCAGAGTCCCAGGGGGTAGGGTGGGGGCACAATAGGGAATCAAAGTTTTACATTAAAATACATGTATATAGGAAAAATCTCTAAAAATCTTCTCAAACCACTGAGCCAGAAAGTTGAAAATTATATGGAAGCTTCCTGAGGTAGTTTAGATTCTAAATTGTTCAAATTATGACCCCCGGGGATAGGGTGTGGCCACAATAAGTATTACAAGGGGGAAAATCTGGTGAAGAACAGCAAGGCCAAAGTTACTCAAGTGAGTGTTGTGGCCCATGGGCCTCTTGTTAAAAAGATCTGTGCAAACTTGCAATGCCAATTTGTCTACAATTATTAAATTTGAAATTTTCTGTTAATTTGAAAAATAACTTCAGTTTAATGAATTGAACATAATACCTGAAAATTCTTATATTGAATGGCGATTGTATTCTTCACAATCTTAAAATAAATACCTGTGTTTGTAAATATCCGTTCTATCTCTGTTATTGTTTATGTCATGTTTATCATACATCTTACCTGGTGTGTTCATCACACTGCACATATCATTGAACATGAAGAAAGAACACTTTGTGTGTTGGTTTTGATCTCTTACAATAATTCTTTTCTGATTTTTCTTGATTTTTTTACTTCCTTATCTTTCTGTGGAGAGTTGGGCCATGTTTGTCAAAATGGTTGTGTGATGCATCTTGTGTATACTGTATAAAGGGATATTTTTGCCCTCTAATTATTTTGCCCTGTTTTAAAATTTGCCTAGTCATTGTTCTTTTTAAGAAATTATACTGTATTTTTTGAATTCGCCCCATTTTAAATTTGCCCAATTGAGGGTAGGGCAAAGGAGCAAAAATAAAATGGGGGCGAAAATTTCCCTATAGATGTACATGCAGTAACGTGGTGTGAAGTGTATGTTGTGCATATGTAGCTTTATATCCCTCACTTACAGACCCACTGTTGGCTAGCACAATATGCAAACAGAGAGCCAATTGCTTAAGTCTCTCCTGCCAGTACACGGCCTCTCCACAAGTCCTGTGCAGTTTCCTCCCTTTGGTGATGAAAGGAAACTGGGTACGGTAACACCCCAGGCTGAGCTGCCAGAACTTGTCACTGACAAAGACTTAGTCCCTAGATGCATGACGCCCAAGGACCATCGGTGTGTGGATATGCCATGGCATCTCCAATCAAGCTCGCCCCCCCTCCCCCCAAATAGTTCAGTATTGTCTATTGAGAAATGAAAAAGCTATGGGAGTAAACCCAGACAGAAAATCCAGACAGATCAAGTTTGTCAGCATAGAAAATGCAATGATCGTCTAAGGGAAGGCACACTCTGACAAAAAAGCCCAATCCTGCAGGTAGCAGGTTGGGCATGGGGCCTGAGTCACCCAACACCATAAAAACCACTATATATGGATTTTTTTTTTCCAAAAAAATCTTGATTTAAGTTTTAATATCTTTTAATAATACACTACTTTTCTAAAATACAGAGGATAATTAAATTTTAGTTCATATTGGAAGTACGACAAACCACATCTGAAATATGTAGTTTTGATAATTTTCTGATGAAAGAGGCATCTAAAGGAGCTTTTATAGTATAATGGCCTAAAACACTCTTGCAATGTGTAAATCATGAATTTCTTTCTCTATTAATTTAGATTTTGTAAACTTCAAATCTGTCTTTGTCCAAATTAGACCATATGAAATATCTATAAACAATTTTAAGTGGATTACTGTTTTATTAATATATGTATTAAAAACACTGAAATTAAAAGTAATACATAATTTTTACAAACATTGGTATAAAAAATAAAAAAAAAATAATAAGCATTGAAACATAAATAATTATACAAGTCAATGTTGCAATGTACTTGAAGTTCATGAAACTGTTTTTTAAGAGCTTAAGTCTTCCTTTACCAATTAAGAACTTGTCACATGATTGACAAAACTAAGAATCAAATTTCCCTGCCAAATTCCTCAATTATTAAGTTTTTGTTCGTTCTGCTAGTCTGTCTTCTTTGCCTTCTGCTGTTTCTTAATTTTGTTGATGTTGGCTTCTCGCTTTGCTTTTTTCTTTTGTTCCTTTTCTTTTGCCTCAATCTGTTTAGCTAAATTCCAAGCTAATATAGCGCTGATCATGAAAAGGGGAGATAGACAAAGAAGCACATAATAAACAAAGTTCCATGGATCTGTCGCTGCCCATTTTAACATATCCGTCAGCATCTCTCGCCAGTCCCAGTCAAACATGGTCTAATATTCGATATCAACTACAACAACAAATATTTATCAGTCACATAGCAGTAGATAAAAATATATCCGATTTAAAAATAGAATTTAGATGAATTACATATTGCATATTGATATGGGTGTTACCAGTTCGAATTTACTCTGCACAAAAGACAACGGATGTTTCTCTGTGTACAGTTTAATGCAATGTTATAATTAGAACCTATACAACTTGATATTTTATTCATAGAATACTTAATATGCGTTTATTTTAAAACATAACTTACAGAGAAAATGAAATTACGATGTTGGCGTCGGTAATGAAAACGAAACAGGAAGTTGTATACTTAAACAGGAAATGCAGAAGCATGATAAATCGGTAGACAGACATCTCGGCCCAACGACACCTCGGCCCTTGACGTCTGACACCCAACCCTGACAGGTCGGCCCAAGATTATTGACACGTCGGCCCATATAAAAGACACCTCGGCCCAAGCGGAATCTTATGATGGAAAAAATTAATCCATTGTCTGAATTGTTATTATTATCGATGTAATTATTCTTTTTGACGGTTAAATGATTTTTTAAAATAAAAGTCAAGGCGGGGGGGGGGGGGGGTCTATAAAAGAAAATTGGTTCACTTCCCTAAGCAAATCAGATCAGCACGTTAACTAACATAGATCTATCTCTTGTGGAAAATCCCCAATATATACACTTAAGTGAAACTATGATATATATCAACATTCTTATGATCTTGACTTTCTATAAGAATTGCCGGAATTTTATCGTTTTATTTTGCATTACTTCTCTGACGATCTGAAACATCTGAGATGGGTTGATAATTCGTGAAAAGATATATATGGACTTCATTTAAACCGTAACTTTTTTGTAAATGCGAGAATTTCTGCTGTATGGTTGCGGTCGTTAATCTTGCATTAACAAACCAAAAAAAAAAAAAAAAAAAAGGAAGGACATTTTATTGTTTATACTTATGTCAGTATAAATAATCGTATAAAATAATAGTTTAAGTACGTAAAATAATTGCATTATTGATCTGAACTTCATCGTATGTTTCATCATGTTCATTGATTGAAAATCATAGTTTGATACAGATAGCTTAAAATAAAATTTAAAAAAAAAATCAGTGCTCAAACTAGTTTTTAATGCAAGTGAAATTCTTAAAAAATAAATGGATGTAAATGTTCTGAATGGCTGTCTCACAATTAACAGATTAAGTCTGCTCGTAATTATTCCCTTAATAACACCAATATAACACGCACTGGAGACTCCCAAAGGATGCGCCGCGGCATCTTGTTTGTTTATCTGTTAGCACTTTTAAAATTATAATTGTCTTTTTATTCCTTGATAATCGTCAATCATGTAGCTCGTGGAAGGTCTTTTTAGTACTAAAAATAATCTTGATTGTTTACTTTTTTTCGGTCAAAATTTTATTGACATCGCAGATTGGAAATATATAATACTTTCTAATAAAAGTTTGCTTGGGCCGAGGTGTCTTAAATTTTGGGCCGACCAGTCTATGCCGAGGTGTCATTGGGCCGAGATGTCAATGGGCCGAGGTGTCGTTGGGCCGAGGTGTCTGACATTCGATAAATCGTACATTAAATGGTGTTGCTAAAACGCGGAACTGAACGGATTAAATTAACAAGTTAAATTGATGCAAAGAATCAAATAAGCCGAAAACAAAAGATAATTATTTTTAACAATTAAGCTGGGGAATGCCTATGGCCTAAGTGTTCAAAGCCAGCGCAATACATTCAAAGCTGAAAGAGTGGACATTTTTATATCCGACTGTCTTCAACATGTTCAATGCAAACATTGCACGGTAAATAGAAATTTCAGTGCATTTGTTCATCATATTGATTCATTGATATGAGTATCAGAGATAAATGATAAGAACGTATTGGCATCAAAATGATGATATAGGCCTAATATTTATAAAAGTTTAAAAAAAAAAAAAAACTTACTGAGGAATTTTTTTTTCGTCGAGGGAAAGGATGAGTGCACTTAAGCTATGAGAGTTGGGTCCCGGTGTTTTGCGCAAAATAAAATTCCAAAGTTCATAAACTTAATGTTTTATAGGTATTACACAATGTCTTAAGAGCAGGTTTTGGTGTATTATATTATATGAAAGTATTAAATAATGCCGAGCGACACTAGCTTTTGAGACGGGGGTCTAACAGTTTTGTCACATTTCTATTGTTATTCATATGTATACCAGTTTTCAACGACATTGTTTACATCGAGCCGCAACTTGTCCATTGGTCTCATTTGCACAGAATGTGTATTTTGATTTAAACTTCAACATATCCAAAGGACAATGTTGGACAAATTGCGGCTCATATCTAATTTTTTGAAAAAGTC